TTGGATATAATGGTAATTCGCAAGGAAAGTCTGGAAAGTTTGCATTTAACCCAGCCAGTTTACGGAGATTTAAGCATCAAAACTAGGCAGCCGGCATTTCACCCATGAATAATAGTGGATGTGGGGTCGTTCAAACAAGGGTGATTTACACCCAACAAATCGCACTATCAATGCGACTAATGATGATCAACCATTATATGTTTGGGTACAACAGTAACCTTATATTTGGACAAACCATGACAAACCTACATCATGGGTTAAGCACCAGAAACCCCTATGATCCCCTATGCACAGTGCAGTAATCAATCCCTTCCCATACTGGTATACATCCGACAATAAACTACAGTTCACCGTTCACCGTTCACCTAACAGCACTTGGGATATAACAGGGTTTACCCTTCACCCCAAAATGGGATGGTCAAGGTCAAGAAATCCAGCTTGGATCCGGCGGCCCTGGGCCCTGGTCATTCAGGCTCCACCCTTGAAGATCCGCCCAAGTCGCACCTTTGGTACTCTTTGGCTTTCACATTCTCTCGACCAAGCCTGGCCAAAACTTGGGGGAAACAAAATGCTTCGCCTTCTGAAGAGGGGGAAAAAAACAACTACTTTCCAAGTACATCGATTCTATTGAGACACCTTTCCAAGTACTTTCCAAGTACACTATTTCCAAGGGGCAGTTCCGCCCATTTTTATGACACCTAAATCTAAGCCCAGCTGGCTCCAACATTTCGAGGATCTACCCTCGCGAGGCGATGCTGGAGTCATTTTTTGGGTTGCCAATCACCACCACCATCACCATCACCATCATCGTCACCATCATCATCGTCACCATCATCATCATCGTCGTCGTCGTCGTCGGCGGCAATGCCACAAGTTTCTCTTTCGCCGCCATTCTGAATCACAACCACCATTTATTTGATATCATCGACTGGCTACTCCTCTAAATTATCATGTTCCCCCCATTAAACGAAAAAACAACACAATGGATCTCCATTCATCTGGATGAGCCATAATGATTCGCCAACCTGAAAAGTTCGGCCATTGTATCCCATTACATCCTCATTGTGCCACCATTTTTTTGTTAGTTAAGTCACCATTCTTTCTGTTTTCACCCCACCATGTTTGTTAGTTAAGTCACCATGTTTGTTTCATCCACTACCCCATCCATGCCCGACACCGAAATCCCCAAATCCCCAAATCCCGGATACCTCAAGGCCCTTCCCAGAGAGCTCTTGAGTCCCTCCCCATCGGCGCTCGGCCGGCTGCTGCCTGGTCAAGATCCAGTGGATTTTTGGGGACTCCCAAGCCAGGTGATGCTGCTTGGTACGGGACACGGGCATTGTTTAGCGGGTAATAACATACATAAATCACTTAAAAGTGCATGTAGATGTGTATATATATATAATGCATATATTATCCATATACGTCTATACATATGTATGCGAGTACATATCATATACATGTATATACCATTATATACCCCGTAGAGGCGCAGGTTTGTGTACTGGATCGGTACATCATTCTGGGGCCCCATTTAGTTGGTATCAAGAGGGTTTTCTTGTTACTGCGGATATCTCTGGATTATTCACGATTTCCTCTTGATGAAGCGTGTGCGCTGCAAAATGTGCTTGTCGCTCTAGATGAAGCTTCAAAGCTCCTTGAAATCACAACCAACCGATTCATCTCAGTGACTTCTAGGAGAAAACTGCGTCACATGTTGCGGCCATCCCATACTTTCACTCTGAACAAGTTCCATTCCCATAATTGCAACTCATGAGGGGACATGTACAATGTAAACGTGCACAGATAAAAAGATGCAGTCGCCATTCAGAATTCATCTCCCCATACATTCCCACCAAACATCCAGGATTTTTCGTGTCGCTGTCGACTCAAAACTTGCGAACCCCCAAATCCCATGGTTGATCATCATTTTCCCCATCCAAAAAAACATGTTAAACCCAAGTTTCATCTGAAATAAATAATGAAAAAACATCCAAAAAAAACTATCCCGTTCCGCCTGCTGTCTCCAAAGGCTTCTTCACCAACTCCTTCGAACCCGTTGCAACTTCGCGAACATTTTTCAGAAAAGCTCCAACGAAGATAACACTTTCAACAAGAGCCTTGCTTCAGAAATTTATATTTAGTGCCTTCCTTGAAACAATTTTTGAAAAGAAAAACGGCTATGGCTATGGTCTGGTAAATAAGCACAGAATAGTATTGTCTTACTTATCTTACTTCGGAGAACGAAAACATGTTTCTTCAAGTTTGTGAAACCATGCAGGTTTATCTGAGAATAGGCTACCCCTAAATCCATCAATTAATCATCATTGTCCGTGATGAAATGGCGTTTGCACGCCTTTTGAGGGGCGGTACACATTTTCAGACCCACCCAAATATCAGATTGTTAATATTGAATCCCATTAAATCCATTTAATTATATTTAATTCCCATGAATATCTCATTAAATCCGAGAATATTCCATTAAATCCTATTCATGTCCCATTAATATCCCACGAAAATTCAATTATGAATCAAAAAAGCAATGAAATCCCATGAAAATCCAATTATGTCATTTTAAAAAACAATTATAATCCCATCAAAATCCAATTAAATCATGATGAAATCACCATTTTTCATGGTTAAATGCAAGATTTCCCATGATTTTCCCATGCATCCGTTTCGACAGGACAGGTGGTCACCTCCAAGGGCTCGGAAAAGCCGCCCTGCACCTGTGAAATCATGGATGCAAAATTAGTAATAAATTAGTGATTTAATAGAATTTAATAGTATTTAATAGTGATTTAAGCAACTAGAATCAGTAAAACTATAGCAACAATGAATTAAAAATGATGGATTTAAGATGATTTAATCATATTTAATCCGTGAAGAATTGGAATTAAAGCTGAAGTATCATATATCATAAAGGGACATGTGGGTTTTAATCATCAAAGTAAGGAGCTATTGTAGGGATTTGCCCTGAAATGCGGGATTTAACGCCAGAACAGATATTGAACGAGCAAAAACTTCCAACCGAGGATTCTTTATAACGTCGAAGGGGATTTTTGCGGCCTGCTTTAGATTGCCAGTATATAATTAGACCTTGAGGAACTTCAACAGGTTTCCCAACATATTTCTCCCACTGAAGAATCTGATCTTGCGACATATTAATGGTTCTATTCACGACCCATCAACCTCCACTTTCAGGCTGTCAACAGTTTCAACCCGCTCCAAACTATATATGACTTAGTCAGTTGAAGATCATGACAATTAAGGCTTGAGTCGGCTTGAGAACCAAGACAAAAAAAACACCAACCAGCTACCTGCTGGGATCTGAACATCCCAAAAGTTCAGCGCCTCCGCAAGGATATCCAGCATGCGCTGCTGCATGGGCGCCATGGCTGCTGGGCGGTGTCAAAGATCACTGTTTTTTCAACTAAAAGACATGGGAAATATGCGAAAATATGGGAAAATGATGGAAAACATCTCCTGAATCTGTTCAATTCCTGCCTAAAATCCGGAAAAAAGAAAATCCTTCCTATAGACTGAGGATGACTGAGGTAAAACCCTGAAACTCAAGAAAACGGTCGAGGACTGAGGCTAAACGTGAGTGGCTCATTGTTCTGATTCTTAGCGGCCGTCGGTCCATGGGCGGCAGGCCACGATTGGATCATCTCGAATCACACTGCGGGGTGGGTTCCCATGTTTTAGCTGTAGTTGTATAATGTTGTATATATATATATGTACATGAATGTATAATAATGTATACACCAATACAAATAATTCTTCAAAGTGTCATGCTCCCCTTCAACGGTTCAACGGGCAAATCTTTGCTGGCATGCCCCCTTTAACATCCAATTCACCATCTCAGAGACGTCACGTGGTCATCAACGAGGTGTCGAATTCTCTGACCTTTTACAATTCATAGCATCCTGCGATGGGAGCGTTGCCGCAACGACGGCAACGACACACAGTCAGAGACATCGTTGGTGTGATCGTGGTAGGCTACCATGTTGAAAGTCAAGGTGGAGATGGGTTATATAATGTTATATACTACAACAATAAAGAACAACATAAGAACGGCATGTTGAAGGTCCCCCAGTGCAAGTTACAAGCACTTGCAAACTTCCATGCAGAATATGCAGAATCTTGTTGTTTCATATATAGTCACTTGGAGCTCTCAGACTTTCGCCTAGGCGTCTCCAAGTCTTGAAGTCAGCCCTGTAACGCTTCATCATCATGCGGCTCCAGTACTGGCTGATCTGGCTGTCTCAGAGAATCAGGATGTCATCACAAGGCAGAAGTAGTGCCTCCGACCTTTTACTAAACATCCATCATGCGAGCCAAGCCAAACACATGTCAACTCCCAAGGCAACTCTTCCAAGTCAGCAAGAAACCCAAGGTCATCATGTGTCATCATGGCAAGTGAGACCACTTGAACGGGTGGTATTTTTTTTCGGGCAGCAGAAAATGGATTCGGGAGGTGCAGAGGTGGTCGTAAACTTCTCAGCCTTTCGCCTTGTGTCCTCACGGGATCAGACCTGTAACGCTGTCAGTTGCATCATGCGAGCACGTCCCAAAGACATCCCCCAAGATCAAGCCATCATGGGGTATCTACAGCACTGTACCAGCACGGTAATTAGATATCCCACCATAGTAATAGTATAAACCAATGTATTCTACCATTAGAGTATCAAATGGGTATAGGTCATGAGGATCCATGAGGCTGCAGGACCAGAACACCCAGCTGAAGTGACCTTAACAAGCCCACCGAGTCTAGATAGTAATGACGATTGATTCCTATTGTTCTACTGTATAATATATATATATTATGAATATTATTACGGTCAGTATTACTAATTTTCATGTATGATCAACATTGTTTATCAGTGCTGTTATTGTTATGTGTATACACATGTGCACATATGTACGTGTGTAATATTATATAAATATGATGTGATACACAAAAAATAGCCCGTCCACCCTTCGGCCCATGGCTGAGCCTGTGCCAAGGGTGTTTTCTTGGCTCCAACCAAACCCACTGGCGGTTTCGGCACGGTTACCTTGGTTAGGGAAAATGGTGTGTATATAATATGATACCGGGAACCCGGTAGTATATAAATATCGATGTAGATATCATAGGTTTCAACAGATGTTAATGCATCTTCCAGTTTTTAGGATCTGTTCGGCTGAAGACAACGGATTTGGGGAAAATGATGAAAACATCATTTGCGGTGGAAAATTATACGGTTTCTGAGGCATGGGATCGCGTTTTTTAGGACACCAGAGGGCATCCACCCCCTGGGAGTCAACTCTAACGGGAAAAGTCATGAAACACCCAGCACGGAAAGTGTCTCTTGAATTTTCCAATGATGAGCCCGTTGCCACGAGATCCATTCAGAGTTCACAAGGTTTTTCATTCTGTTCATGAGTCAGTTGGCTTGTTTGGTTGTCAAAATCTTTGGTTCTTCAATCCCCATACATTGCGTAGAGTTCCTCTCCCAATGCTAAAATCACGTAAATCATTGTAAATCCCTACCCCAATCATTCCAAGTCATGGGAACTCCACACTCTAATTTAAAAAAAAAAAACATATCGCTGGGCAGGTTGGGTACACCATTTTGAATACTATTTACCTTTTGGTTGCAAAGAAAGGGATCGGAACTATCTTTCGCATCAACCAGAAAAGCATGGACATCTACGGAAGATCTGAAGACGTCAAAATTGGGATGGAATATATTGCACAACCAATTTATCACGATTTCTATCCCAATTGATCACAATCCCATCCCCCCTAATAGCAAATACCCGCCCAAGTTGGTCCCCCATATAATAATGAACACCCCATTCATTTGCACCAACAGTAACGGATATAACTCATGATATCCCTTGTTCTTTGTTAATTGACCATACCATCTCAATGAAGAAATGTTGGATGCACCAATCATCCCCTCATGCCACTGCTTTGAAGCTACAGAGCTGAAAGGAATACCACGGGCCTCGGCAAGGCGGAAGCCTATTTTGGATCTGTGTGCAGAGCAACAATGATGGTGATTGAACCAACAAAAAACAAACAGGGAAATTGACTGGATTCTAATGGATAGTTAAGTCAAAACATATCAAAACCATTTAAATCCCCTGTTGACCTAATCAATCGAATCAACGAGAAGGATCCATGCATGTTTCGCTTAAAAGCTGTGGATTCCATCAACGATTGCTGTTCTGAACAGCTCAGACTCGGGCCGCATTCCTCATGGCTGGCAGGCCCAAATCCTCAAATGGGAAACAGATCAACTCTATACGAAGACATAAAACCACAAATTGGATGTGCATATCATACACACATATCATATACACATATCATATACACAGTCTTCTCTCCCAATTCTTGGTGTCATCAGCACAAGCTGCATACATCTGTTTTGTTCATCCGCACCTTCAGCTGGGAATCTCTGAGGGCATCGCTGGCCTGCGGCCAACCCCTTGGGAATTGACCCAAAATTGGGGATGGAAAACCCCGAAAAAACCGAAATATGGTGGATCTTTTCCCAAAAAAATAGGGCCTGGGAATGCCTGGGATGGTATTTAGCAAGCTGTGTCTGAAAACGCTGGCTGTATACCCCATAATTATCGCTATTTCATAGAGAAAATGAGTTTAATGAACCCCTGGATTTAGGGCAAAATTCCATGTTTTTCCATGTTGTTTCAGGATGCAAAAAGCGGACCGGCGGCACAAAATTCACTCCTTCTGCGGAAGGCCCCGTGGAGGTGGATGAGGCGCCTGGCAGTTCTGTGACCAATGCCATCCAACTAGCCATGGGCCTGGGCAGAATTTAATACATGTATAAAACGATATGATGATATGTATATATATATTAATATATATATATATATATTAATATATATATATATATATTTATTTATATATATATATATTTATATATGATATGATATGTACAATACATGTATAAAATGATATGATGTGTGTATATATATATATTATAGGAATATGTTGAAAACAATATGTGTAAATTAGTGTAAATACCAACTGTATGATAGTATTTCGATAGATACAGTGTGCTTTTGTAACACATAGCTGGAAGCCACTAACCATCCCCTGTAGAGATCATTTAGCTTGCCGATATACAACTGGATGTGCAAGCTACTTCAACCTCCCGGATCTACCATGTCTGAAACTCGAGAAAATCAGCCGTCGTTCTTTACATGACATGGATATTACGTTCCAAATGACTAAATCTAGAAGTTAGTATTATGAAGAACCGAGCCAGCTACACATTGGAAATCTTCAAAATAGTTGTTTTTTCATGTTTTTTATCATTTACTAACTGTTAGTAGTTCCAACATGTTCTAAACAGTTCCAAATGATTGCCATCGACTATGACCATCAGTTTAGTACTATCGAGCCTAGAAAAAATTATATAGCAAATACTTGAAATCACTAGGTCAAAGTTACTGAACCCCCATATGGATTGTTTCACCAGCCTGTAAACACTTGAAATGATGGATTTTTGCAATGAAAGGCTGGGGAACCTGCCATCTGGCCCCATCTTGGCCCCATAGCTACCTCAGGATCCTCAAAGTGCTTCCGCGCCGTGCTGGTGCCGCCCCGGGGCGCCTGACAGGGATGGAACTTTTCACGGATTGAGACCGAAAAAGCCGTTCATATGAACTATATACATATATATATATATATTATATATATATAACATATGTAATATGTATACAAAATACGTAAAAATACACATGATGGGGCTCATGTTCCAGCTTTTCTGGTTCTTTCTTGCGACGAATTGTGTATCTACACAACTCTGGAGCCGCAAGGGTCACCAGAGACTCTACGTATGATTCAAGGTACCACTGGACCCCTGTTGAGAAAGGAAACGTATTATGTATGTGCCATGGTGAAAGTTTTGGTTAGTTGGGGGATTGTCATTAATCCATAGGGATTAAGATACCGTGGTCAAGACATGGCACAGTTATTTACGCTTTGAACGACCCGGAGGTCTGCAATCAATTGGGGGCGTTACCCCACACCGGCAGGCGCTTTTCCGCGTTCAAAGGGTGGGCGCGGCTCAACCGCGTCTGTTGCGCGGCTGAATCACCTCGAAGATAAGTCAGAGCTACTTCCAACAGGCCCAGGGCCAGGGGAGAAGGGATACAGTATGATGTAAATCATGGAAAATTGGGGTAGCAATCTGGAAGAATGGACCAAAAAAATGCAAAAAAAATGTGAGATAATATGATAACAACATATACAGTAACAACTGTGTCGTTGTTCATTCTCCCATCCTTGTGGGGGAAGTTATGTCGAGAGTACGAAGATGCAAAAAAAACTGGATTGGTTAAGGGATTGGATTGGCCTGGATTGGTCATGCAAAAAAACTGGATTGGTCATGTACACATACAAACACATTTTGGCCTCAAGTCATTCTTATCATTCTTTCCCAATCATCCACCAAAAGTCATTGGATTAGTTAATGGATATTTTGCGGGGAAAAACATCTGATGAGAGCAGAAGCCCATGGTTTCCTGTGGATTTCCAACCCGAAAAAAATTATCCCAGCAGGGTGAAAAAAACACACATCCAATTCATCTGCCGAGGGGCAAGCGAAAGTCCTCCCCCTTGCGATGAGCTGCTAGAGCTGTTTCCAGCATGGGGGATGGCAAGTAGCTTTTTAGCTCATCGCACCTCCCCAAGGATGGATCAAATATGATCAAATGGTCCCATCTTTGGACAATTTTCGGATAAGCTTCCGTGGCGCAATGATTCTCTTTGAACTACTTTTGAAGCCTTTAGGACTGGGCTTCAGTGGACTTCCTCCTTTGTTCAAGCCCGAATTCCAACTGCGCAGAATGGACTTTGTCTTAACAGGCTCTGCAAAGCCTCTCCAAAACCAGGATTGAGTAGTGTTTCCATATTGGCTGCGGGCCACAAAAATTACAGTATATAAAGCCCCTGCATGAGACCCATCGAATGCTAACCTCAAGTTTGACCCAAAACATGTCAAAACTATATTATCTACCATGTTCCAACTTAGTTTGAACGACTGTGTGTGTATGTCAGCCCTAATGTACGGGATCTATGTTTTACAACACCCGAGAAATATCCTCAAATTGGATTGGTGTTTGCTAAAATGTGTACTAAGTCTTTGTATACATTCAAACTAGCCAAATTCTATTAATACTTGAATTGGATGCTTGGTAAAATTAAAGAAAAGTTCACTTACCAAATTCTCTTGGTAATTACATTGGATGCTGTTTCATAACTTAGAACCCAATAAAAATATAGTGCAAAAACGCCCCAAGTCTACAGGCATCATCCACGACCGTTCCCACCTGATGAGCAGCGCCGGCACCAGAGGGTGCTGCAGCGGAAACGCCGCGTCGGCCGTGTCCGCGTCCACGGTGACGTTGTCTTCGCCCACGAAGGTCACTTGACCCCCCGGACGGTCGCGCTCATCCACCAAGCCTCAAAAACACGGGAGAAATGCTGAAAGGATGGGGATTCCTTGGCGCCAACCACGGATTTTGCTCAACTTCCAGTTGATCAAAATAGGGCCAAACGGGGGATAGCGGGTTGCAGGCATAGCAATTCACTATTTTGCGAGCACTCCCCCATGAATTGCCAGGGGTTATTGATCCGGGATTGATATTGGCAAGTTTTGAGGATTTGGAAGGATTGATCCAGAAATGGCAAGTGACACCTCTCCCTCTATTGGCTCTATTGCCAGCCCAATGTCCCTGGCAACATGTGGGGATGTCCCAAAATGATCCGCAAACCATTGGTTTTCCCCCTAAAAAAACAGTTTGATCAATTTTGGATCGCAACTTGAGGTCCCTGATGTGCCATCCCAACAGCAAGCAGCAATGGTAGAAGGGCTGCAACTCGCCCCGCAGAAGCTTCGTAACACCTTGGAAGTAAAGTTTCACAACTCATCGTGGAATGATATCATCGTGTATTATATCATCTTTATTAAAGCCGTGTAAATGTGTCTATCATCTAGATGTTGTTGTCAAAAATGTAATTATATATAGATATATTACTAATGTAATACTAATGTACTATACATGTACTATATATGTATGTATATAGTTGATCATCAAAGCATGGACTATGTATGCTGCAGCATAGTCTTATCTGCATGCTGACAGGTTCAAAATGTACTTGTCTATATATTCTCTACACTGGTGGGCCCCTGCTGCAAGTGGGGCCACAATCCCAATCAACTCTCAACAGGGCCCATCACTTCTCACTTGTCACTTGATTGAATGGTGTGATGTTCCCAATAGTAGGTGTTGATGATGAAAACCCGATGGGTTGATTTCCTATCTTTGTCAGTTGGGTATAGCTCCCATGTGTTGATGATATGTTCACTGTACTTCGTTATCACCCTACTTTTGGTTGATTATTGCCTCACTCCCTCCAAATCAGTAAACCCAATAACAAACATGTATAGTATAGCAACCCCCAAAAAAAGATAGAAATGTATCAGCCGACACTAAAAATAGCAACAAATTAGTGTGTTCAAGTGACTTTCTCTCTATTTTTGGAGGGGGAGTTACCGTATATCATCCATTTAGCCCTATAAATATCAGTCCTAAAAATCCTACCGTCCATGGTATCCTATAAATCCTGCCGTTCCACCCACAACGGGCCGCGGCACCCATCCTCCGCTTCCAGGCCCGTCCGGCGGTACACCAGGGCTCGCAGCAGAGCACCACTGCGCGGTAGCCGTAGAGCCGGTGCACGAAACCTGGCAGGAAAAACCTGAGAAGATCCCACGGGAAAATGGGGATTTCACCAGCAGAAATGGTGATGTAACCAGCAGATCTTGGAAAAATCTGGGAAAAACCTGGATTGATATGGATTGTAACCAGCAGAAACCACGAGAAGTGATGATTTGGTACTGGAAATGGTGATTTCACCAGGAGAAACCATGATTTCACCATCAAACAGATGGAACTTTTGGGAATTTAACCAGCCAAAATCTCAGATTCAGCCATTTTAGCCATCAAATATCGTAAAAGTAGTGATCAAAACCCATCAAAACCTCCGAAAGTCTCCCAAAAAGCAGAAAACAGACGCAGCATCGGCCCAAGTGGAGCCGGACGTACAGCTGCCCGGAACCTCACATCCAGTGGAGCAGTAGTCAAATTTCGACCCAATGTTTGTGGTTTCACTTGTTGAATTTAGACTATGAGACTACGGTGGAGTTCATTTTGACTAGTTCATAATTAATCTGATATCACTGATATAGTTTTGTTGTTGCAATAATTGATGCTATCTTTGGTATGATTGCAACAAAATCAACAACCCTCATGTATGGCCTGGTCCAAGTCATGTCCGTTGGTGTTCCGAGGCACAATATATCGCCCAGAAAAGAGTCTCACTTGCTGTTCGAGCTCCAACTGGAGATCTTCAGCCACCTGGGGCCGCGTTATGGTTGGTTCAATCCTCAGTGCTAAGTTCAATCCCAAAAATTCATCAAATGAAGCCTCCAAATCTCAATTTTCTTGGTTGAATCCCATGTTTTATCGATTCTCATGGGATTGGTTTCCGATTTCACCTTTTTTGTTGGTCACATCCCATGTTTCAGCCAAATCATGTCAAACCATGGCATCCACTCACATCAAGTCATGGAAAAAAGCATCTCATTATATATATATATATATATTATATATATATATACATATATTATATATATATAATCTCTATCAATATCTATTCATCATACATGTTTTCTCATCTCATTGTCCCCTCTATTTTTCCCTTCATCCCCTTCATCCCCTTAGACCTACCCGTCGCGCCGCGGCACAGCTCCCGAGGTCCAGCGCTCCACGAGTTCCGTGGAGCGCTGCGTCTCCTGCGCCACCAGGCTGGACCACAGCTGCCGACGCAGCTGCTGACGCTCCTGGTGGGATGGAGAAAACGTTGGGGATATATATAAACTTAACATAAGCCAGCCAAATTTGGGGGATTCTTTATGATTGTTTGAGGGTCCAGGCAATTTGGGGAAAGATTGAAAAGTTACTCGCCTTAGGTGATGGGATGATGAATAAAAACTGGATTTTACTGATTTTCGCTTCGCCAAGTTAGGTTTTTGTTGGGTTTTGATCAGCCAACAACTCGGACACTTGGGGATTTTACAAACCAAGTTAGGGACCAGCCAAATGGGGCTGTAATGGACACAGAAAAATGGTAATTTAACCAACCAAAATGGGGATCTTATATTCTTTGAGGATAGGATGGGTTATGATTATGATGGAAATGGTGTTGTAAAACCAAGTTGAATAGGGATGTTATGGAATATGAAGCAAATTTTGAAATTTTACTAGCCAACTTAGGATAGTTGTGGATTCTGATAGCTTATAGATTTTGCAAATGTTGGGAAATTTTGAGATCTTCAACTATCAAACGAAAGGCATTTGACCAATGTTTGTTCAAACAGATCTAAGAATGTGCATACATCAAGAATCATGTCAAATACTGTAGTGCAAAATTATATAAAATTGGTATTTCAGCAACAAAGTGGGAAGTTGCAACCACTTTATGGGGATGTCATGGGATCTGCCACCAATCCTCACGGATAAAGAAACAGTTCAGAACTCCCAACGACCGTGGGCAGGGATAGAGAAATGCTATGGACCGTTATGGATGTATGTTTAAAAAAACAAATACAATCGAATTCACAGGTTTACCATTTCCTAATGCTAGGTACCTAGGATTACATTGGGTATAGGTATAGTTACAAACAATTATAATAGTTACCATTGTTATGATTAAAAAGCAATACATATACTGGTTGGTGGTTTCAACCCCTCCGAAAAATATGAAAGTCAGTTGGGATGATTCTTCCCAACTGAATGGAAAGTCATATAGCAGCCATGTTCCAGTCACCACCAACCAAAAAAAATCATTTATAGATGGATTTTCCAACATAAACCATCCAGCTATTGTGTACCCCCATTTAGGAAACCACCATTCCCATCAAATTCCCATAATATCTCTCTGATCCGGGCGTGTCAGCTGGGCCCCATGATGGACCATGACATGCGGTGCTTTTGAAAGGCTGATGGACCAGCGATTCCCAATTTGTATATGCCTTTAAGGTTTTTTTTCCGCATCTGTTTACCATTATACAAAATATTTGGATATATGTGGGTCAATGTTCAATTTGAAGCCTAGGATCAAAATCTTTAGTTTCGAGACATGTTATCTATATCACTATGGTTCCCGATCAGTTCATAAGCGGGATGATCCCCAAGTATTCCCATGTTTTGATTCCCATCCCCTATAATACTGGAGTTGGTAAATGGACATTTTTAAGAAATGGCTCATCACAATCCCCAATCAACAACTTGGGATAACTTAGTATAACCCCCTACACTAATCAACGGAGGTATTTGCACTCGCTCAAGTAGATGGGTATGTCTGAAAATAGGGTATATTCCCAATTATAGCCATTTAATAGGGATAATGATCAGCAAAACCATTGGGTACGATGGGGTACACTATTTTCAGACACACCCAGATTGTTTCCAAGCGTCCGCTTTGTAGCTCAAGAAGAGCTCTCTCCACTTGAGCTGCTCCGGCGTGATGGCTTCGGGTCGGTTCCACGAGCGTCTGGCCGGGAGAAACATCTCCAACGAGTCGTGTCGAAAGATGAAGAAAAAAAACGAAAATGGATGGAGACGTGCTAAGTTTGGGCTTCATTTGTACAATGTGTTCAAACAATCCTCTACAAAGCTCTTTTAGGATGCTTTTAGGATGCTGATCACCTCATTCTCCTCATTCATCCTCATTCAATATTACAGGGTATGCCCTACAGTCAAAATTTGTGGTGGGAAGATTGCCAACCGGTTGGTCGAAAATCGCATCAAGGGTGACAATCCACCTTTCGTGGTTTCATTGTGAAAACCCCCATTTCGGCTGCTTGACTTATCTTCGATCCTATCTACTTGGCTGATGAAACCATGTTAAATCCCGAACTTTTTGTCCCAGATTCATGAACCTCACCAGATTTTCATAGATTTAGCACTTAGTTCATCCCCATTTTTGGTTGGACGTGTTGGTTAAACTTCCATTTTTCCTTGGTTCTATTCTTATCTAAGTTTGATGCTTGAAAGTCAAATTCCTCTAACAAATCACCATTCCTGCTGGTGAAATCACCATTAGTGGTGGCGAAATCACCGTTTATGATGGTGAAATATGGTGAAATCACCATTTTTGATGGTATAATCACCATTTATGCTTGTGAAATCATATATTTTTACTCCAAAAAATCCGAGAAATCCCAGGCACCTCACTCCGTTGGGGAACTGCCACATGGGGCTCTCTTTGGTTCCCACGAAGCGCGTGCCGCGCAGCTCCAAGGCCAGGCCGGTCAGGGCATCCGCCTGCAGGCGCCAGGCGCCTGTGCCGTCACCAAAGTCCTGGGATGTCATGGGCCATGGCCATGGCCGTGGCCGTGGGATGGGATGAGTTTCGCCTCTCATTGGATTGGTTTAAGGGAAAATCTACAGGAAACCATGGTTTTACCATCAAATATAGGGCTTTCCGGTTAAAATTTTCCCATCATCCAATTCTATGAGCCTCTGATTGGTGGTTGACCTACCCCTCTGAAAAATATGAGTTCGTCAGATTATGTCAGATTGGATCATGATCCCAACTATTGGGGAAAATAAAAGCCATGTTCCAAACCACCAATCAGTCATGGTCATACCGTCATAGCCACAAAAAAACAACTATTAACATCCATTAGCCACGAAGCATGCCATTATTAGCAAGAGTGTTTGACTGTGGTACTGTACTAACCACCATAGTATGGCTAATCATGGTTATTCTCATGGGTACAAAGATGGGATTTTAACTGGGATATGGGATGATATGGGGCCTGATTGTTAATGCTTATGTGTCCACTTCTACCTAAAGGTATGTTGGGGCGACGATGAATATGGCTTCACTGAAGCACAACAGACGACTAGTGACTAGAGCCAAGAAGCCACTTCATTGCCGTTGACCTTGATGCTCAAGCCAACATCATCTTCCCATTGACCTTGTAGGCTCTCAATCAATCCTGCGATGTCCAGCTCGGAGTCATCACCCAGCGGACCCAGCGCCTCGGACCAAGCCAGGAAGTTCCAAAATGGATCTGTCTGGAAATGGGGATTCACCCCATAAATTCCCAGTGAGTAGGGAAAAAATGATAAATGATGAGAACTGATAAACCAGTTAATTTTTGGGGTACCCAATTTTCAGACAAACCCAAACGAAAGACACCAAAAGTGTTTGCCAAATGAGAACACCAGGCGTCTGTTGCAGCAACTCTCATCCTTTGGCGCGTCTTTTGATGCCATCGTGCTGCGACAAGGCACAGTCCTCGGAAGTTCGAAAAAGGATTCTGTCGGAACCTGGCTCCACTACTGTCAGCAGCATGAGGGAAACCAATGTTTCAAAGGGCTTGGGGTCCCGAAACTTACCTCTTGAAAGTGTGTATTTTCAATTGCCAGCCAGATTGTTGGCCAAAAAGTAAGGTTCGCGTTTCTGGTGATTCTAGCCTCATTTAGTTGTTCGTTAAATCCCAATTTCTCTTGCTGAAATCCAAGTTGTGGATGGCTCAATCCCCATTATTCTTGCTTGACATTTTGCACTGTGTCGTTCATGAACTTCCATTTCTGTTGCTGAAATTAGTTAAATCATGGTACACCTGTTCTTGTTGGTGCTGAAATCCCGATTTTCCATTGATTACTGTAACCATATCAAATCATATGAAAACCCTGCTTTGGTTATTTTCCATTGATGCCATCCCCAGTTTCCATCGTCAAGTCACCGGCCACCTGCGGCCCCCTCCGCCCTGGCAGCGCTTCGGCCCGACGGTTCGGGCGCGTGGGCGCGGCTCGCAGGCTGGGCACGGCCACGTTGATCGCGACGCCGGGGAGGATGAGAGCCATGGCCGGGGAAGCTGTGGAGGGATCAAGGATGATTATTGGGCAGTTTACCATTTATTATTATTGGGGATGATTATCCCATTATTATCCCATTACTATTGGGTTTACCACATTATTATGGTTTATTATTATCCCATTTATATATTACGGGGTTTACCACATTGTCCCATTATTATTGGGGATGACTATGATAGATTATTGTAGAGAATGAACAATGAACATTGTACTTTCTCTGATTTGACTTAAGGGTCATGGTCATACTCCAAAACTTCTCCGATATTCAAGAAAATCAGTGATGAACCATATATGTACTATAATTCTTGAGGGAGACAATCAATCTGGAAAACTACCAGAATCGATCATCCAAGGGGCACTTTTGGCAGTGAGTAAGACGTCATCTATTCGTGTTCCTTGCAGTGAAACCTTTGCTTCGAGGATTGGAGAATCGGATGTGTAAAAAACACCAAACCTATGAAAAATTCAAGTCTGTGCCCTTGAAGCTGGCGAGGTCATTCACTGTCCTGCTTGAGGTGGACTGTCATGTTCCTCTAAGGCAGCTGTGTGCTGGTTCGCAGCTGCAGTCGCAGGAGCTCGGGGCCAGAAGTTTGAATCACTGGTCATCCCTGTTTTGTATTGCTGATCCGGAGTTTCATTTCTATCGTTCCTTTTGGATACATGTTCTTATGATGACTGGCTAGCGGTATGTTATATCTCTACATAGTGCTGTATTGTATCTCGCATGATATTCCATCGTATGTTATCAGTGTTCATTATAATATAGAGCATTCTATTTAGATTATACCACATGAATCTACAATGTATTTCTAGTACGCATTTCATGCCATAGACTTAAGTCTTCTATTTCCCAATTAACTCGAAATATTATCATCAGTACCTGATATATGGTAAACATAGCTACAGGAAATCACCACTTTAATAGGTAAATCATGGTAAATCCACTATGAATGGGCCATGGTTTCCATATGTTTCCATAGCTGGGAGGGTACCAATCATCCTTAGGGTCCCCGATGCGCGCCGTTGCGATCCGTTGCGCCTCGCCCAGTGTGGTCTTGGCGAAGCTGCTCCATGCGGATTCCTGGGAACGTCTATGAACATCTACAGGACACCATGGCGATGCCCAAATAACTGCTAAATACAAGGGTTTCCAGTTTTTTTCCCTACTAAACCAAGTCAATGATTCATTGACCCGCATCCCTGATTTGGGGATAATTAGGGATCATTAGGTGGTATTTGCTATGATCGGGGGATGAATAATAGTATCCCATCCTCGATTAATTAACTTCCAAGTCCTTATGAACTTATGGGGTATTTGATATGGTCAGGGGCATGGTCCTTGGTAGTGCAGTTGGGATTTTTAAGGAACATGTATAACTGTATAACAATGAAAAAAAATAACATCAATTAGAATATGATCGATACTTGTGGCCATATACGGAGGCCAAGTATTTGGCGTTGACTAACAAATGGATGTAGACCGAAACGCTGAGGTATGGTACACCCCTAAAACTGACATCATTTTTAAGGGAAATACCATTCCTGGAGAGGAAAATTATCTTCTGGCTAGTTTCACAAAAATACACCCTGGTTGAAGTCTCCGAGCCCCTGACATGGTTAAGAGAACTTCCGGTCATTTGGAAATGCCAGTTGTACATTTACATATATTCGTGTAAACAAATGATTAAGTATAATTCATTATGATCCATGTCCGTGCGCATATAATATAATAATCCATGTCTGTGTATATTATATAATATAATTTCATGTTTCTGAGGTGCATTTAATCGATCCAAATGTTGGACCTTGGAAGCATTGCGGGTCTTTTTCAGCTCACATTGTGAGACCGGGAAGGGAACAAAACCGATGAAATTAGGGGGAAGAGAGCCGCACTCCCATGAGGAAAAAAAGGATCCGCGGCAGTCCCTGTTCACACCAAAGTGCTCACAAATTCCAACAAGTATCCAAATCATGTATATTGATGTATATGACTGTACATTGTATCTGCATGTCCAAAGAGTGTCGGGATGATTTCTCGTGATCCAAAACGAATTCTGTGACTTGAAGTCGCTCTGCTACATTTTACACAATTTAATTTTGAGGCACTCATATTTATCTGCCCCACCCTCCCACCGTACCCCTACGCCTCACTCTCAACCCATTCCGCAGCATCTTGCCGCACTGTGCGCGGGGGACTCATTTGATCCTGGAACGCAGCTGCCAGCGTTTGGCAATGTGGCTGCGGGTCAAAATACCAAAGCGTTATAGTAAATGGATGATCATTCTAATATAATGATCCAAAATACCAAAATACCAAAATTCTAATATAATGGATTATCAAAATACCAAAATGTTGCAATGATATCGGTCTTGAGTCTTGATCCATCCTCATATATCCCCATATAAGCTGGCAATGGAACATCCACCTCTTTAAATCCACAGCTGCGGGATTATTCATTACCATGTTTGACTACAAAAAGATAAACAGGAAGAGTATCTTCAAGAGCACAGAGCAACATGTTCACATTGTGGGTCAGGTTGTAATCCCTACTTTTCAAGCTGTGCATGATCGCAGTCAGGAAGCCTGCGCAGTTTGTGGGAAGTTAGCCTTTGAGAAAACCTGTTTGACATTGGTTGACCCTGTTCTACTTAGACGCTTGAGAATCTTAGGGCAATTTTGTCCCTGAACATGTCTTGATTTGTTTGTCTTTCCAAACCTTGAGGCTGGGAAACACTTGTCTTTGGAACCTTGGGCGTGGCGCTGCCTTGGGGAACTTTGCGTCTCCGACCCATGTTCTTGGAAACCTGCTTGACAACCCTCCTTTTCAGAACCTGGTTTTGGGATTTAATTTTTGAGTAAGCTTGCAAGCCTCGCTCTAAAACCATGCGAACCGTTGGCTCTCCAGGGGTAATCTGATTTCAGGTGATTTCAGGCTGCTCTGGATCTTCGAGAGAAACAAGAAGGCCCGCAGCACTTGTTCTTGCGAACACACAATGCCCTCACACTTGACCCTTCGACTTGCATTTTGTTTGATCCAAATGTCTTTTGCAATATCAGCGTCTTGTAGCAACAGCACATGTCCAAAACAATTTGCATCAAACCGTGATGAAATATGTGATGGTAAGTAAGTACTAGCAACTTAGCAGCACCAACCATAGACATCCATATGCCCAACCAAAAATTAATTATTTATATCATATATCATCATATATCCACAGAAAAAATGGAAATCCCCCAATCAAGAATCCACTAGTTGATGTTGATCACTTCTCCAAGGTTGGGCCCAAGGGGTCCTCCACTTCCGTTTCTGGCTGGGCAGTTGCTAAGGGAGGCCTGACAGCAAGAAAACTGCGGTGGTTTCAGCAGGAAAAAAAAACACTATAGCAACAACCAAATAGACAAAGAAGTGGTAAATCTGCAAATTATGGGGGAACAAAGGAAACATAATCCAAAATGTTTTTGAACAACATTTCTATCTGTTGGGGGATCCTTCTAGCCAAGGTCTAATCACAACAAACCGCTTTCACAACAAAAACGAATGTCGACTGCCGAAAGTTACCACCGAACCCCAAAAATGCCGCCCCAGACAAGTTGATGTTGCCATTTTCAGGGCTGTGATATTTGTTCAGGTAAGGAGATTTTGGGATAAACTAACAGACACCCATGTGCCACCAATGGCCCCCAACCCCAGGCGCGCATCCCATATCACCGGGCTGCCGTGCAGGGCAGGTGTGGAACTCTCAGTGAGTCCAGCGGTGAACTGTTCCAGATCCATGTCCTGCAATTTGAAAAAACTGAGTCAAAAACAACGGGAAATCCCTTTTACAATGCCTTCGAAGGATTTGGAAAAACAAATCGCTGTTCAACAAGTGTTTTGCCTTTGCTGCTTCGTACCAACAAGTATGATGGAAAAAAATGTCAGAGAATGACATCAACTGGGGCAACACAATTGGGCCTTAAATACCAGCGGAAAATGGGATGTGCTCTTCAGTGTGGCTCCAGCCGGCTCCAGCGGTTTTTCCCAAATTGGAATGCCTAGTGGATCACTCAATGATAACAGCAAGCGTAGTTTGGCAAATTTGAGACACTGCTACAGATTGCTGCAACACAAACAGATGTTCAGGTCTCCCAAAATGATCAAATGGACAGGAGATATATACGTAGACATACTGTACTGAAAAAGTAGACATCATATGATTGTTGCTTGATTGGTTCATCTTGACCCTGGTGTTTTTTTCACCATGACCATCCAGTCCTTCACAGCTTCAGGGCGAGCAGTGGCTGTGTCTGGATTCACCTTGTTCATCCTTGGCAGTGTCATGGGATGATGGGATGATGGGACGATCCAGCTGTCAAGTCCGGAATCCGCAGATTCCATGGAGATTTGCTTGGCAGTTCTATAGCCACCGGCAAAATCGCCTAGTATAAAACGTGGGCAACTCCCACTGTGCCATCATGTAATTGGGCAACTCTCAGTAGCTCCTTGGCTCGCCACTATTTGCCACTTAACAGGGAGTGTGAATACCCATAGCTCCCTCCATTCACCACTGGATCTTGGTCATCTGCGAAAATTCACCCCAGAAGTCCCCAGAAGTCCCCAGAAGTCCTCAGAAGTCCTCAGAAGTCCTCGCCAGCGCGCTGGCCGAGTGCCCCCTGAGGCTGCGGACTTTTGCGCCTTCTGCAGGACCACTTCTGCATTTTTGCCCAAGGTCATGGACAGAGGATGGTCCTGGCCGGATGCGGACAGGGCTGGAGCAAATGATGGCTTGCTGTTTCTTCAACAACACATGGGATATAAAAAAAATGGAATGCAGTGGATGGTTGTTGAATATTCCTGGAGATTCCTGGTGTTTGTCTAGTTCATGGGAAATGGATGTAGTTTGGATGGAACATGCCCCACATACTCACAGGATTCTGTGGCCAGAAGTAGAGTTTCCCTTGATATTTGATAGCTTCCACTTTTGGGCAAATGTCAATCTTGCACAAACCCCAAGCCAGTTCGGGATGATTTCCCCTATGACTCATGGCGGCCATTCTGCCAGTGATGTCGTGTTATTTTTCCCGCATCAGGGTGGCGAATTCTCCTTTACTCAAACACGATCATCATCCCAAAATGGAAATGATCAAGGGTGGATTGATGACTTCCATCTTCCGGGCTGTGTGCATTTTGTCGCTCAAGAATGGGGTACAACTACATGGTACAACGAAAAATCACCCGTAGAATCGTCGGGGGATCATTGAATCGTCAACCATTGGCAAATCCCATTCGCCTGGGCACCAAAAGTGGTCAAAATTAGTGCCAGTACTCAACCGGGGGGAAAAAAACAGATCTCAATCTCAAACAAAAATATCTATTTAGAAAGGGAAAAAACCCTGCTCAAATATGCGTGAATTGCGTTTCTATCTTTCGGGATTATTATTATCCATTCATTTCCCATTTCTATCCCCATTGTATCCCATGAATCCCAATTTGAATGGTAGATGGTAGAGTCAATTTTATTGCTAGCTAAATCCTCAATATATACATTGATCATTCGGATTTCCATAGTAACCCACAAAAAAAAATACAGAAAGGTTCCATTGATCACTATTTTGGATTTAGATGTTACACTGTTCCTAAACTCGATCTTTAGGGAATGACTGTGGGTCAAATCCTGTTATATAAATCCCGTATTGATCCCAATATAGTGCTGGTTAAATCCCCCAAATCAGGTTGATCGCAGATGTTCTGATCATCCCCAAAATGTGATTGGTTGATATTAACAAGTGTCCCCTATAATCTGATTTTGATTATCCATGGTAATTTAATGTTTAAAAAAACTATGCACATGGATTTATGAAATATGTTCCCATCGAAACCTCCATTTATGGAGGATTTTCCAGCCAGTCATGCTTGAATTATAAGCATATTATATATACTATATATCATATATCAAAATTATGGATATCATTGGATATCATTGGATATCTTTCAACCCCTGAAAAATATCTCTAATGATGCTAATCCCCCATGTAAACCCCCATGTATTTCTACGCCACGCGACCGCTCAACAACAAAACAACGGCGCCTCGCCGAGACATCGCTTGGCCACCTCGAAGCCTTGATGGAAAGCCGCAGCGGCCTAGCGGCTGTGACAAAATCCAGCGGAACTGTAGACATTATGGGATGTTTATGGGATGTTTATGGGATTTTTATGGGATGTTTATGGGATCGAAATTCTTTATCTGTGATGACTTGAAACTTTTTGGCATCTTGGTGGTTGCTATAGAAATGTTAATGATAATTATATAATAGTGAAAATTCAACCAACAAAAGGTTACATGTCTTAATCTACCGTTGGGATTCATAGGATATCATGGGGGAAATGACGGGACTTGATTGGAAGTCATGACAAATGACGAGAAATGGCTCAAATGTATGCCCTGGAGACAAGCAGGTTCTCTACATTACCAATAATTTGGCAGGACCATATATACTATAATGTATATATATATATATCACATAGTGAAATTCGAAAGGTATCATGTATAGACTCATTGGTTGATATGGTCTTTCTATGTCTTTCTCACCACAATGACACCTCCCAGTCACCTACATCCTGGCAGCGTGCTGTGCTGTGCGCGTACCTTGTCGTATTGATGCAGCAGATCACGTTCGATGGCCACATTGTGGTACCTCGTTCGATTCCACATGAGGTGGTGTTTCAGTTCGTTCGCCAAGTTGGTTTATAAGGAATTTCCAAAGGGTTTATGGTATAATTATATTTGATAATGTGGTTCCAATCAATCTGATTGAATCTGTTACGAATCATAAGTTTCATATAGTTTGCGTGAAACATGTACAACTATCACAACTATCGTTTTAGTTCGCTGGGTTTATAAACCAACAAACATAACTGAGGGCCCCCCCTGCAGAAAAGTACTTTGAGATCTTGCGGTGTCAATCAGCCAGCAACAACCCATGGATCATGCCATTTCTGCCAAGCTACGCAATGGCCAAAACAGAGTAGTCATCCTGGAACGGAAGCTGGGGTAAGACCAGGGCTGACTGGGATGAACCCTGGACTTAGTAAACGCTGAGCAACTCGGTGGTGTTCACTGATACTAGTACAGCAATTGGGATACGATTATTGGGGATACAATTATTGGGCACTGCCTATTTATACGCACTTGGGTTTGTCTGAAAATAGTCTGTAACCCCAAGAATCCATGGGTTATCATCATACTCCTCATTCAAATTGCCACAAAGTGGTTGTAGACAAACCTATCGTATCCTATAGTCAGTTCAGTTGCTATAGTCAGTTCAGTTGCTGGGACCCCGGCCGCTGGCACTTTCGCAGGATCACACTTGCTAGTTTTCCTACCGCACCAAGGCGGTGGGTCCAGCAATGATTGACCCATGCTCATAGCTGAAACCAAAAAAGACCTCATTTTTGAAGGGTTTGATCAAGAAAGTGTAGGACTTGAAGGGATTACAATATGGGTTCCAGCGACAACTCGTGACCTGTCACAGCTTCTCCGCCTGTCGATCAGCTCCAAAGCTTGCAAGGCGTGCTGAACTGCCTTTCATGACCACTGAACCCTGGGTCTGCTGGGGATGATGCTTAAATTTAGGGGCCCATAGCTGCACAGTTTTTTTTGGCAACCCTGGAGCCATCTCAGAGCCACCTCCGAACGTGGGAGCCAAGGCATCTATTTTAGATGAAGAAGTCTGCGGGTTGGGGAATCCCGAATCTGCAAGTGGTTTCGTTGATGAGTTTGTCGTGTTTTTGTTCTTGTAACAGCTCACTTCGGAAGCAATACTCTCAATTGTCCAGTGTAAGATTGATGAAAAAATTGGTGTTGAAATGGTGGATGTTTCCCAATGTTCGAGCCAAAATCGGCCGTTTTCCATCTAGTCAGCTTAGTTTCCCAGTCACTTTGGGCCGCCTTGTCATGCTTCTCCAACTTGGACAGAATGGCGCAGATGTTCAGATGAGTTCCTGGTCGACCCCCAAATCACCGAAACCGGTCCAAATCTACTGGTTCGGCTTGCAGCAAGCACACCGTTGAACTGTTTTGCCACCAAACTTCACCGATTGTTGCAGACTCAAACTGTACTCTCCTCGAAATAAAATATGGACAGCCCACCTGCTAAAGTGACCTCGTCCGTGCCCAAATCCACCTGGCGGTGTTGGTGTTGACTGTCAACTGTTGATGGGGAAAGCCCCGATCATACACCCCAGTGATTGCGGTAGTAAGTCATTGAAACCCGTTGATAGTTGGGTTTTACATGACAATGACATACACTGTAACCCTCGAAAACTCACAGGATCCTCGACTCAAATAGACCCTTCACGGCCACTCGTTGGTTCGATGTTCATCCTGGAAACATCACTGGTGGTTCCACCCAGAGGCAATGTCATTGGATGAACCTCCCGTGACAAAAAATACTATTCGTTGATAGCGGTAAACTAACATGGCACTGGAAAATAGCCCATGTATCATTTAGTTCGGTGATTTACCTATTAAAGATATATCAAAGATGGTGATTTCCATAGCTATGTGAGTGTACCAAAGAGTATCACCATTGGGAATCCCGTATCACAGGGTCTACCCCCACCTCCATCTGCAAGGCCCTTCTGAGGTAACTCAACGCTCCATGGAGCTTTCCTACCTATCGCAGGGGCGAAAGATGTGGAGAAAAACCTGGTCAAAAGGCTTTGGTTTACAGAGTTCACAAAAAGGGGACTTTCCAAAGGGGACTTTCTACAAAAATCATTGGAGTTGTCGATAGATTCCCATCAACATCCCTAAACCACTTCTGGGAATAAGTGCATCTGGCCCTCTGAAGTCGCACAAAAAAATGCTCCTAAAACCTGTGGAGGCTCGTATTCCCAAGAATCTACCATAATTATCCAGGTTTCTACCATAATTAATTATCATCTTCACAGCAACAGCCGAAAAACCTGGGCTGTCTCAGGAATTCTCCCGGACTCCACGCAAGACCCCCAGGCATCCGCGGAACCTTCTTGTAGTAACACCCCAGGTTGTTGCAGGTCACCTGGTTCGCATGGCATGTTCGCTGTGGATGGCAAAGTCCTGATGGGATCATCCATTCCTATGGGTTTAACATCAAAGATGTGGTCGAAACATGTCAAAACCAAGCATAAGTAAATGGAATGATGATCCCCAACCATAGAAATTGTATGCAATTCTTATCTTTGACAATGACTCCAATCACTCAATCAGATTGCTATCTGTCATTAAACGCATGTCCTCCACCCACCCCAAGCTGGGCGTCCGCGGCAGCTGCTAAGCTCGTACCACCTTGGATGGCTTACAATGGTTTAATCCTGAAAATTGGTTAAAATTGGATAAAACCATTGTAAATGGGACACCATTGTAAACTTATCCAAATTTTTGGTTGGTCTTCCTGAAAATTGGATAAAATTGGTACCCCATTTCTGACCCAGAGCCATGCGAAGCCTAGCCCCATCCCGAGGCAAAGTAAGCCCTTGGCTCTCAGCTTGGTTCGCGATGAGAATGGCCTCTGCATACTTAAACTGCTCAAACGCCTCAGAGCACAGGGAGTGAAAAATTTGAGAGTCGCAAAGCCATCAACTTGGAACATGGGTCATGACTGATGTCCCCATTGAACATCACCCAACCATTAGGTATATGGTCTATAATGGCTACTATAAGGTGATGTCCAATATACCAAAAATGGGACAGTTACCAACCCCTGTTGAAGATCACCAGTCTGAAAAAAATGAGTCCGGTGGGTCTTCCGCTGACCATCATTTGTTGTCAGGCCCTTCTGATCGGTTCAGCCAGGAGCTGTCTGGAAAATCATGAGAGGAAAGATCTGAAATCTTTGCGTCATACCATTGGTTAGTTCACCCAGTTATAAATGGTGTATAACCATAGTATAACCATGGTATAACCATGGTATAACCATGGTATAAATATAACACCCTAGGAAAAAGGGGACTTTTAACTCACACCAGGGTTACCAGCTATGCTGGGATGATCCTCCAAGTCTGCTTGGCTCTCTGACTCCACCCATCACCAACCAGCACCGTTCACCACTCAGCTGGGCACCGCTTTGGTTTGACCTTTGCGGAGGGCTTCCATGCCGTCCCGGTTGCAGGACAAGACCTGTGCTTTTCATCCCAAGCTCGCTGGGATTGATGTGAAGAACCCCCCCAAGATGGTTGAAAGATAGGTTTCGACACATCCCCACTTTGGGAAAAAAGAGAGGAACCAAACTGATTGAATGTCCATGTGCTTGCTAAGGGCACCCAAAGTTGAAGAAAATGACAAGCAAAGTGTCGGCACAAAGGAAGCAGAGTGTCAGCACAAAGGTCCCCCAAATCTTCAACTGTAGGCAGATCAGCGAACAGAAACAGCCAAGAGTTTTTCTGTTTGCTGTTGTACATGGAGGGTCACCCACTCTAAACCCTAGCTGGTGAGTATGTGGGGTTGGTTTCCCCATGTTTACCCCAATCCAAGCCTGGGCGAAGTGATTCCAAAAAAAAATAAGTTGCCTTCGGTTTCCTGAGGACTGGACTAACGTGTGGAAGTCCTGCACAGGCAATCCGTTGCCAACCGCATGACTTGGCAATTCTCTAGAGCATCGAAAACCAGGGACCCGCAAAATGTTGTTATTGTTGGGTTTACAATATCATTTGTATCATTTTTTCTGCGAATCACGGATTCATAGAATTTATATTGCCATAGTTTTTGGTTGGGAATGGCGTACAACACTTGCGTTGCGATGCAATAAACACATGGGTGGTTGCAGAATACTGACCTTCATCTGAACCGAGATCTTGCAAATGCGTGCCTGTCTCATGGGGCCCGTATTCTTGGCGATCTTATGTGGCGTAAGATCTCACATGGCTGACTGATGCAAATGAAATTTCCAAACCACCACTGCCTCCAATAACACCATAGACATCCATAGACCCTATTCCACCTACTCCGTTCCCTCCTCTGTAAATCAACACTCTAACAGGACATGCCCATGACAATCCATGAAAGGTAGCTGGTAGCTGGTACCTGGAAGCCCCCCACGGATCACCACGGGTCCGGTTTGGCATTTCCAGCCGCCATGATGGGTGTCATCATGGTTGTCGCCATGGGGACTCCTAGGGACGACCTCAGAGCATGTTTGATCTCTGTTGCGAGCCAGAAAAAGTCCATGTTGAAGGGATAGGTCCTGCTATATCGTCAATGTATAAATAATATGATATAATTAATTGTTATAATATATATAGCCAAATCATCCATTTCCAGATTCCAGAAAGTTCGTCTATGTATAGATCTTACATATAGGCAAATCATCCATTAAAAGCTGGTTTGGAAGGCAGACATGGGAGGATAACGGTGAAAAGCATCTGTCGCAAGGTCAAGGACTTTAGACTATTGGAATGGACTCTTCCGAACTCAGAAGTTAAGATATTATACAATTAAGTTCAAGCAATGACCTTATGACATGGGCTGAGAATATAGTACCCCCAAAACCCATGGTTTATCATCATGTTCCCCGTTTGAAATGTCCATCTCGGGGTAAATTCATGTAAATTCCCCATGTTCAAACAACTCCGAATATGATATTGTTGGTATTTGTTGATTCTATATCCCAGCATATTACATCACATTCCATCCCCACAGTGGGCCCCACAATAAATGATTGGTTAAAATAACCACCATGTTTGTTGGTTACTTGGAGGTACCAGTGTACCCACATGGCGTCATGAGCCCAGTGGCGTGTTGTCACCCTGGAGCAGGTCCCCTCCTCCCGCATTCACGGGGCCTCCAACGGCCGGCACAAGGAGAGATGCAGTGCAGCAACGGTCATCCCGCCATTGTTGGGAATCCTTGGAATCCTCATGTCAGATAATGGCCAGTTAGCCATTGGAATCCTTGGAATCCTTGGAATCCTTGGAATCCTAATGTTGGGAACACCATCTTAGCCATTCATGGCGAATGATACTGGCCATGAATGGCCATGTTTTACAATTCAGCCAGTGGCCACTGGGTCATCCCACCAGAATCCCTAGCCATGAGCCATTGTAATTGCCTGTCGATGATGGTATGACTATCCCCATGATTTGGGAATTCCAAGTTTTGACCATGGCAGATATGGGGCATTTTTGTCAAGACATTGGTGTGCCATGGGCCCGCAAAAAACTATTAAAAAGCTGGTCATTGTGTTAGTACCAACTCAAAAACTTTGGGACAATTTTGACCCATCTATCATTGGTCAAGACCCGGGTCTTCGAGTGAACACCACAATAGCTGGTGCAGCCAGGAATGATCTCAGTCACTGAGACCACCGAATCAGCTGGGTTTTATCATTACAAATGGTAGACGGTTGGCTACGGTGTTTTCCTTACCCTCTGTTGATCAAAGCTGGAAATGAAATCAATAACTCTTCGAAAAAAAGTTCGATGATGTTCTGTTTTTTGCCCATGTACAGTGGATTTCCCAGCCCTAAATAAGTGGAAGATCCCTGATTCACACGTGTTCCCAGGGTCGACCAACGTGCACTGGGCTTTCCCTACCGGGATCGCTGGAGATCCCTTGACGCCGTCTGGAGCCATCAAAATTGCGGGTGACAAAACCATCAAAACATGTGGATGTAGAACTGTATAATCACATAAAAGTATTATATGAATGTATGCATGTATGCAGTCATTATTACGTAATGGTGTGTATATATATATTATGTCAACAATCATATATATATAGACTGTACATCATATTAAACATAGTTAGCTTGTATATTGTCATAGTGTGAATATGAATAGACCCAAAAAAATCCCCAAAGTAGATGCTTTTTGTGGAGGCATTGGGGTGTTGCAGGGTGGACCCTTAGGGTCTACCAGAAAAATATCTTTGTACATTTGGAGCAAAGCGCTATGAAGCTCGGCATCCAAGCCCCAAATTCCACGGCCTGTGGCATGTAGTGCAAATGGGCATACCCAAACATGGGTGGATACCGGAACCATCTCTGACTACGAAGGAATTGAAAAGCAGAGGTTGGAGCTTTTGTTCGCCCCCACCGCAGTTTTGGACACACCCAAGTAAAAATGAGTGCGGTTCAAAAGCTTCTTGTAAGAGCTAGCAGCTCTTCAACTATGCAACTGACACTGCGGATCCCTTGTCGATCTGAAGGAACTACTGTCCTTTCCGATCCACAGCTCTAAAACTATCGGATGATGTTCAGGTGGTGCTATGTCCCCGAAACCTGAATCAAATGTATCACTCCTTGGTGGTGTTATATGGACATGCGTCAAAATGGGGTACAGTACCCAAACTTGGAGCTTGGTTTGCTGAAAGAAAGACCATCATTTGTGTAGTTAGTTACAGTTGGGTTTTGACGCATCACCATAAATCTTCCCAATTGCAGTTTTTTTTCACCGTCACCACTTTGGTTTGGGTCAAAATTGGCACCAACGGGCCCACAACAATTGGTCATATTTCGTACACCAGATCAAACTGAACATCATGTCACCATCCATTTTGGGGGGGCCGTGATGATTTTGACCCACACCTCTTTCAGGTCCTCACACGGTAACGACACGGGCTCAGACACTGCCAGCCGGAGGGGCTCCTGAGATGTGGGTGCCGAGGCACGGGGCGACGCACGGCCGGACTTGGATCATTTTGTGAAATATGAAAAACGATGAAAATGGATGAAACTTGCTGAAAATTGATGAAATAGGATGAGATATCAAAGATGTTATTCATTTGTGCGTTTGAGATATTTTCCCCGCGGAATGAGGAAGAAAAAATAAGAAAAACTTTGCAGCTCCTGATTCACACTTCGGGAGCCTATCTACTCTCTACCGGGCTTGGGAAGCCTGTGACACCACCATGAAAATTCGTAAATTATACGAAATAAGCTTCCAGGGGTCCCCTCACAGAGGTACGTCCAAATAGTCTCTGATACTAGAGCAAGTATCTGTACATGTACATATATATATATATAGATTTATATATACATCTGGGTAAATTATAATATCTCACTACCCTGAATTAAGGCCATTTTGGATCATTTTGGGATGATTCCCCTTATTAACCATGATTCCAGTGAGGTCGCAGTGAGGTCGTTATAATTTACCCAGATACATCATGATGGATTGCAACAATGATGAATTGCAGTGTCTTTTTGTGGGGGGGTGATGAATGACTTCCATCCCCAGTTTCCATGTTCGGCTCCTCGGCTGCGCCGTCCTCTTCAGCCTCTCGAGTTGCTGTCACCTGAATGCGCTGCAACCAGCGTCACTTGGGGTCTGGAAATAGGGTACCCCAAATTCGTTTATGGCCAGTGAATGACACGGGTTGGTAAATGTCCTAGTTGAACATCACCCAAATATTGGGGATATCATCTCCAACAGATACTTTTTCAAGTGATGTGAAACAAATCCCCCTTTTATGGGACATTTACCAAACCCTGAATGAGGCAGTTCTGATCAACCAGTGGATTTGGTTCTGTTCCAGACAAAGCCCCTTGGAACCTCTGAGGGATCTCCAAGTCATCGGCTCCCATCACTGGATCTGCTGGGTGATTGGGATCATCTTCCAGGTCTGGAATGACCATGGAATGATGGAATGGCTATCAAATCTACTTGACTGATCCTTATTTGTGGATGTTACCTTAGTTATGGAATGGGGTTTCCATAATTGGGGCTACCCATTATATAATGGATGCTTTATTTCATGGACCATCAAAATAAAATGGATGATCATTCGACTGAATGTGGTTGAAACCAACAAGTCTGGGGCTGTACACTGCAACTGCGTGGGTGCTTTGGGTTTGTTTTAATTAGAGCTTGCCCTCTGGTAAACTAACATAGCTATGGAAAATCACCATTTTTAAAAAAAAAATCCACTATTTATGGCCATTTTCAATAGCTACGTTAAATTACCAGAGGGTAGATGTAATGTCAATGTTTTCAGCTGCACTGGCGATTCAATGGTCAAAGTTGTGGTGCTGTTGCCAACATCGAAGCTCATTGGCAACCTCTGCAATTGATTTATCTGTGCCCCTTTTCAAACCTCCATGAGAGACGCATGTCCTGCTAAGATTTTGAACAGCTGAAAGCCGCGTCGTACAGCATCGAAAAATGGAGGCCGTGTAAAGCCTCCGGCTCTCGAAAGTGTCATGATCAACAGGAAGCAGGTTCGATTGCAGGAACAAAAAACGTAGGATATCGAGGTGTTTACTTTTATGGACAGATCCGGTCCTGGATGTTACATGAGTTTTGCATATTTTTGCAGGGATTCTGCACAGATTCCCCCTTCACCAGCCCTTCCCAGTTGCTGTTTCTATTTCCAGTGGCGGTCATGGTCGATGGGACGACCGTCAAAGGCAAACGCCTTGCGCGCCACGCAACGTGGACCGCTGCCGCAACGTGCGACGATTCACGTGGGAACCAAAGCAGACACAACAGATTTGGGGATCAACAAAAATGATGTGGGAAGGGGCATACAATCAATGGTTAGATTTTTCCAGTAAGTCAACATAGAGGTGGACAACCCCATGAATGTTGATCATTTTCCTTGGGTCAATCATGGGTTTTCTGTGGGTGTGCCTTGTGTTTGTCATAGCTGGAGAGTGCCATTGGGCCACCCACAGCTCAGCTGGTCAGGCCGAGGCCATCTTGCTTTCCTTCAGGGCCATGGGCCCCTTTCGGATGGGCGTCTGAGTTCGGTTGGTGAAGGGGTTAATGGTGCATCTTCCGCTTGGCTGCCTCCGCTGGACCTATAACAGGATTCAGCACTTTGATCCTCAAGAACATGATGCTCGGGCTGATATATTTTGGTGGGTCTGAAAATAGAATACCCCTTTTTTGCTCATGAGTTATCATCATTTGCCCATGTTGAAAAATCACAATTTTGGTGTATCCCCCATTCTTGGACGACTCCATAAATATTTATGGCATTAACGGTGGCCGGCTCAAACACTAAGTTGGATGATTTTATGCTGAATTTTATGGCCATGTGGGTGTTTCTCAAATGGGGGTGCCCCAGAATCAGTAGGTTCTCGTTTTCGAACATGACCACAAGTTGGATGATAAGTGATGATAACTTGTTCGGTCCACCATGACTTTAAGCAAAAAATATGTGCCATGATCAAACAATTGTGTGTGTGGAGTATAGTCACCCATCCTATGCCATGATTATTGAATCCTTACAATGGGTGTGCCTGAATCCCTATCAAAGGATTAATGATTATCGACTCATAACAGCTATATTTAACGGATAAATTAATCCCTGTTAAAAAAGAAAAACAAGATGAAGCCCACGAACCCGAATGCTCACACGTATGTTAATGGTACAGATGTCAAAACACATGGTTATGCAGTCACGCACAATACCTTTCTGTAATAGTTTATTTGAACAGTCTTGTACATGTTTCCCTTGTTACCAGTCTGCAGTGTGAAGTGGAAAGTGTAGAGTGTGGAGTGTGGAGTGTGAAGTAAGGAGTGTGGAGTGTAAAGTGTGGAGTGGGGAGTGTAGAGTGTGTAAAGTGTAGAATGCGGAGTGTAAAGTGTAGAGTGTGGAGTATGGAGTGTAAAGTGTAGAGTATGGAGTGTGGAGTGTAAAGTGTGGAGCGTAAAGTGTGGAGTGAGGAGAGTAAAGTGGAAAGGGTCGAGTGTAAAGTGTAAAGTGTGGAGTGTAGAGTGTATAGTGTAGAGTGTAAAGTGTAGAGTGTGGAGTATGGGGTGTAAAGTGTGGGGTGTAAAGTGTAGAGTGTGGAGAGTAAAGTGTGGAGTGTAAAGTGTGGAGTGAGGAGTGTAAAGTGTGGAGTGCGGAGTGTAAAGTGTAGAGTGTGGAGTATGGAGTGTAAAGTGTGGAGTGTGAAGTGTGGAGTGTAAAGTGTGGAGTGAGGAGTGTAAAGTGTGGAGTGAGGAGTGTAAAGTGTGGAGTGTGGAGTGTAAACTGTGGAGTGTGGAGTGAGGAGTGTAAACTGTGGAGTGTGGAGTGTGGAGTGTTAAGTGTGAAGTGTAAAGTGCGCAGTGTGGAGCGTAAAGTGTAGAGTGTGGAGTCTGGAGTGGAAAGTGTAGAGTGTGGTGTGTAGAGTGTGGAGTGTGGAGTGTAAAGTGAGGAGTGTAAAGTGAGGAGTGTAAAGTGTGGAGTGTGGAGTGCGGAGTGTGGAGTGGAAAGTGTAGAGTGTGGAGTGTGGAGTGTAAAGTGGGGAGTATGGAGTGTAGAGTGTGGAGTGTAAAGTGTGGAGTGAGGAGTGTAAAGTGTGGAGTGCGAAATGTGGAGTGGAAAGTGTAGAGTGCGGTGTGTAGAGTGGAGTGTGGAGTGTAAAATGTAAAGTGTGGAGTGTAGAGTGTAAAGTGTAGAGTGTGGAGTGTGAAGTGTAGAGTGTAAAGTGTAGAGTGTAAAGTGTAGAGTGTGGAGTGTAGAGTGTAAAGTGACGATTGTAAAGTGTGGAGTGAGGAGTGTAACGTGTGGAGTGTGGAGTGTAAAGTGTGGAGTGCGGAGTGTGGAGTGGAAAGTGTGGAGTGTGAAGTGTGGAGTGTAAAGTAAGGAGTGTGTAGTGTAAAGTGTGGAGTGTGTAAAGTGCAAAGTGTAAAGTGTGGAGTGTAAAGTGTAGAGTGAGGAGTGAGGAGTGGAAAGTGTAGAGTGTAGTGTAAAGTGTGGAGTGTGGAGTGTAAAGTCTCAGGTGAGGAGTGAGGAATGTAAAGTGCAAAGTGTGGAGTGTAAAGTGTAGAGTGTGGAGTCTAAAGTGTAAATTGTGGAGTGTGGAGTGTAAAGTGTAGAGTGTTGAGTGCGGAGCTTCCCCCATAGACACGGCGACGCCACAGGAAAACCAGAGACTCGAGACGAGACACGTGGGTGCAAAAAAACGAGCATTTCGTGCGAGACTTCCTCCAATTTTGATATTTTCCACACGTTATCAAACAGGTTGGAATGTCACAAAGTGCCACGCCTGCCACGCAAAACGGCATGACAACCTGCTTGGAAACATTCGAAAAGGACACGTTTTCCAGCTTCCCCCATAGACACGGCGACGCCACAGGAAAACCAGCGACTCGAGACAAGACACGTGGATGCAGAAAAACCAGCATTTCGTACGAGACTTCCTCCAATTTTGCAATTTTGTGAACATCATCAAACAGGTTGGAATGTCAAAAAGTGCCACGTCTGCCATGCAAAACAACATGACAACCTGCTTGGAAACATTCGAAAAGGACAGGTTTTCCAGCTTCCCCCATAGACACGGCGACGCCACAGAAAAACAAGCGCCTCGAGACAAGACACGTGGATACAGAAAAACCAGCATTTTGTGCGAGACTTCCGGCAATTTTCACAGTTGGCAACATGACAAAAGGACACGTTTTGCAGCTTCCCCCATAGACACGGCGAGGCCACAGGAAAACCAGAGACCCGAGACGAGACAGGTGGGAGCACCAAAACGAGCATTTCGTGCGAGACTTCCTCAAATTTTCACACTTTGCAGCTTCAAAATCGACGTTTTCCTACGAGTTTTCCTTAGAACCTGAAAATTTGCAACCTCAAAATCGATGTTTCGTGCGAGGCTTCCGTCAATTTTCAGCACATGTCAGAAAATGCCACGCCTGCCACGGAATTTGCACCTTGTCGCCACTTGACGCAGCCCTGCCAATGCGATTTACAAAAAACACACAACAGGACACGTCTAAAGTGCTGCGCCTGCCACGAAAAATGACGATGGACACGTCCAAAGTGCTGCGCCTGCCACGAAAACTGCAACATATCTTCTGAAAACGTCACAAAAGTATTGCGCCTGCCACGCCAAACGACTTTCGCCACGTTGCAGAACACGTCTGAATGTCACGAAGTGCCACGCCTGCCACGCGAAACGAAGCAACGACACGTCTGAAAACTCCAAAAATGACCACCTCTGCAGAACTTCCCATAGGCACGGCCATATGGACCTACCGCGGACGGTTGCGGACGGTTGCGAACGGTTGCGGACGGTTGCGGACGGTTCGGCAACGTCGAGCGAACACACCCTCAACCCCCAGACCCCCAGAGTGAAACGGGAACCCTTGCTACGCATTCGGGAAAAAAAAACATCCCATGTAATGGGAATCCTTATAATGAGTATATTGATCCCTGTCAATATGAGCAATTAACACCAATTCACCTAAGTTTGGCCATGGCACATATGGATGAGACATGAAAGTGGAATCCTGCAGCGGTGCCCGTTCCCAGCTGAGTTCCCAGGCAATGTGATCTGCCAGGTCCTGCGAGAAATGACACCAACGGGGCTCTTTTTTTGTTCGCCAAAGGGCCCAAAAAAATTGAAAGACATAGTTGTTGTATAAAAACCTGAATTAGTTGCTTTGTTTTTGGGGTTATCGATGTGCAATATAGTTATCCAATAGTTTGCAAAAATCAAACACATAGTCACTTCCTTATCTGTATATGATGTCTTCCAAGCCTGACCTGGAAATGGAAATGATTAGATGTTCTAAGAAGACATCCAAATGCACGCTATGCCCATACTTACTTCAACCCTCCTTGGTGAAATGTCCACACACCCGAAAAATAGTACCCAGTCCCATCATCCCAGGGTGTAAACTAAGAATATACAAAATTATGTATATGTAGATGTAGATATGTAGATGTAAGTAAATCTATATGAACATATGATGTATATATATATATATTTGAAACCACCAATCAGATGCTTGTTGAGGTTCCTCCTCGGTTTTCTATCATGATCACCAAGCCGTTCTGGTCATCTTTTAAACCACATGACCATCCTGCCAAACATCGGACGTGAAAATTGCCCTTGATTGGTTGCTGAATCCCTCCTATGTTTGGAGAAATGGGAAGTATCGTATCAAGTTTGTTAATGATCTATGTTATAATATCCTCTAAGATATCCCCATACACTGGCTAGTGATAAACCGCCATGTTTGTTTGGTAAAATCTCCAATAGATTCAATAGAAAATCCAGATCATGTTTAAATCACCATTTCTGATGGCAATTGAACCGCCATTTGTGTCAGTTTAATCCCTATAAAGGTTACAATCCCCACGAAATGGCCATGACTTCCACTAAATCTCCAATTTTCATGGGAATTTCGATGACATCCCCAGCTTTCCATGAAAATGTCCACTAAAAATCCCCAATTGTCATGGGAAATTCCACCAGAATCCCCCAACTTTCCATGGGAACGTCCGTGAAATCCGCCACTTTCCATGGGAAATCTGCCAGGTGCCGTCCTTCACGCTCTGCAGCTCCCGTGGCATGGGGAAGTTGATCCAGGTGCCCGCCAAGATGCTCAGGAGCTCAATGCCGAACTCCTGGAGAACACCACGATTTTTGGGGGATTTTTGTACCCTATTGTCAGACAAACCCATAAGATGTTTGTAGAAATATATATATATATTACTATTATTGTTATCAATTATTATCATTACTAGTGTTATTGTTATAATTAGTATCATTATTACTATCATTGTTATCATGAAAAATGTATATGTCCATGTCATAGATTCATAATGAGTTTTATATAGTTGAAACCTCAACTACCAACAACTGTTCGGGATGCCGATCTCCTTCTCCAGCGCCATCGCCAGATCGGCCACCCGTTGCTCGCCTTGGAAGTTCGTCGATCTCCCGTCACCATGAGTGGCTTATAGCACCCCCCAAAACGAAGGGTCAAATCGTGGGAAAATGTGGTAAATTACTACTAAAATAGTGGAGTTTACGAAATTCCTACATGCAAAAACAGTGCTGTCATTGTTTTTTCTAAACTTTTTGGTGGTAACTATGGGTACTGTAACTATATACACCATGGAGTTTAACCACTAACACTGACTGGGATGCACCCCTAAGTACCTAAAATGATCACCTTCAGACCCACACAAAGTTTCAACAAAGTCTAGCTGAACAAGTTGTCCCTTTGTATGTTTGTTGGTTGTCGGGCCGAATGTGTCCACCCTCGTTCGGTGCATTTCTGCGGTTCCTGGCTGTTCATAGTTTGCGGATTATAATATTTGCCAATGTTTGCCATATATGATATATGGTAATCTTCACTAAACAGTTCCATATACTTGGAGGATCATCCCACTTAAGAACTGGTTCATAGGTGTAACATGTTGTAACTCATTTAACTCATTTAAACAGAGGATGGCTCACTTAGGGTACTTACTAACAAGGGTTATTTACCACTTGCTAAGTGGCATTGTCCTCCAAGCAACCCGCTAGTAATGTCTAGTGGCGAAACCCTATTTTCCATGGTCAAATCACCATCACCCCAATTAAATTGATTCATTCTCTAGGTTTTGACGGTTGCTTGGATTTAATAGGTTCCAATTGTTTTACTTGCTAAAATCCTGAATTTGTGTGTGTGTGTGCTTCATATAGTTCATTTGTTCAATATCCCATATGTGCCATCCCGATATTTCATGATATTTCACCATTAACCACTCCGTCCCTGCAGAGTGACCAATGCTATGTGTGTGGCCCTCCAAGATGAAGCCCACCATGGCCAAAGGCATCGTGGCCTCCGCCGCATTGCCAGTGGCCTCCATCAAGACACGTTGCACCTTGGCACAGGGGAAATCCGTTGCCATGTTTTTCGGGTGTTGACCAGTTCACCCACTGGATTTGGTGGGGTCCTCTTCATCATTGAATGGAACAATTCTGGGAGTTTGCTTATGTTGTCGATTGCCAATGTGTTTTTATGTTGATAACAAACAGCACCAATCATTTGGAACATATTTTTGGTTTTGTGTGCTTTCATGTGCTTTCCTAACAATCCAACGCGGATACTCTGTTGTTCTTTCTTGTCCCTCTTCTCATCTTCATCAACTTCCAAGTTCCTCAGTTCACACTACAACGGCGCAACACATACCAGTTATTCTTGGAAGTGATCTATGTATTGGTCAACCATTGAATGCCCCAGCAAAAATACTGGTTTGGTGCCCCTTGAGCGCGTGGTCGATCACATCTTTGGAAGCCTGGAAGCCGTAGATTTCGGTCTGGAATCAAGTGCAGCTAGCTGCACCGCTCCGCGGAGCCAGACAAAACGTGTTGGAAGCGCGTCAACCCGCAACAAGGACTTGGCTGACTTTGCAGCTAAACGCAGGAGCTTGTGCAAACTCTATCAAATTCCCACGATTGCCTGGAAGTTCAGTCAAAACAACCTAGAACCAATTTGATGCTGTTTGGGATGCAAAGAAATTCCAACACACAGGTGCATCCAATTGGCTTCCCAAGATTGAGCCTGGAGTGGCTCCAAAACTTTCTCTGTCTGACTTTTCCAATCATGCCAAAAAATCCACTATGGTTGAACAGTGTGTCCAAATTGAAGCCTTAAACCAACAAGATGTTAAATTGGCTCCTACAAGCTTCACCCGATTGGATCTCCGCCTCAGAATTTGTAGACAATTTTCCAAATCGAATTAGTGAAAAGCACGAAGCCTGCCAGAGCTCCGCTTACTTTTCCGGTGGACAGATTGGAGCTGCTTGCCTCCTGCAGCTTCAAGATCTCCGCGCGGAGTGGAAGTCACACTGAACTGGCTGACAACATGCTTGTAGAAAAACCATAGCAAAATGGTACTGTTGTAAAATCATATGTGTTTTCCAGCTGAAAGACTCTGTATTTTTACCTCATTCACTCGTTCTTTCTGGTTGTCTTCATTTCTCCGCGGGAATCTGGCTCGAATGCAAGCTGCCCAAGGTCAAAAAGTTAAACAGCAGCTGGTCCAAAAACCATCGCCACCAAGTTAGATCCTCCGCCTGCCCTGAAAATCTCAGGTGCCAGCGATGCTTTTAAATCGACCACCATGTTGGATGGTCCAACGTTTCTCGACGTTGAATTGGCAGTCTTGGGCAGCTTCCCAACTAGAATCAGTTTATATATATATATATATAAAGGGATCACTCTTTTGACACTGATGATGGTGCTGCACTTGTTTATTTGAGGATCTCACGTTATACCTATCAAGCCCAAGTCCCTACAGTACCATTCCAAGGATGTTTTCTATATTTTTGACGGTGACATTCATGTCAATTGAGCTGCTTACAATGATTTATTCCCAATAGACCAGGTAGTTACATAAATTAGTAATTGTATTATATATATATTAAATCATATAGTATAACTAACCCGCTATTTTTAATAAGTAATCAACCAGTGGTCACCCGGTCACTGCTCAATTCATTCCATCTGGGCAGATTGCAAAGTTCGGCCATGTGGGGATGATTTCCCTTACGAACCAATTTCTAAATTGACGGCGCGGTGACGCCGCTAGAATTTGCCCAGATATATCCTATAGAATATCAAGCCTGTCTCCCCACTATATTGTCGGTTAAATATGCGTATTTGCGTAAATGTTAGTTTACCACTATCTATCCCAATATTTTGGGAAATCTTGTCAGCCCCGGATTACATACAGTGATAAACTCTGCTGTTAAAAATTTGGTGGTACCCCAAAATCGTGATAAATTAGGATTAAACGTGGTACCCCCCCCGATTGGTAAACTGGTGGTTTATTAATCCTGGGTTAACACTATAATCACATCCTGTGTTTGTTATATCGCCTTACTTCACTCATCATTTCCAATGTTTCATGTTTTTTTACCACATGATTTCTCATTATATTCCCCATATTTTGGCGGATTTGTAAACCCCCTCCCGGGTCACTAGCTGCCCAAGAGATCTGCCACAATAGCCATCAACCGCTCCACCAAACGAGCTCGCACCGTCTGGTTCAAGGTGTCAAAGCCGATGGAGTTCCTGGTTTTTGAACATGGAAAACGGTGTTAATATAAATCCCCCTGGGAATTCCATGGCTGACTCGGACCACTCATTTCTTAAACCAAAAAAGGGGCGACAGGACAAACTACCAACCTGTTACCTCTAAAAAGTCACAAGCGACCAGGCATGGGGGTCTGACACTCTGACACCATCTAAAAAATCACCGCCCAGGCATCCAAACACACAAATCACCAAAAAAAACAAGGTTCTGTAAACAATCAGGGGGTCTTGGATAGAACCGGTCACACTCCCCCAACAGCTGCTGGGACGCCGCGGTGACCCTTTGCCTCTTCAAAGAATCACAGTCGAGGATACTCTCCCAAAACTGGGGTGGTCCGAGTTTGAGCAGAACCAAAACCCACTACTTACACGAAAAAAAGTTCCTTGGGACGACCCCGGAACTGCATTTGCTAGAGGAAATTCCAAGTCTTTTACCAGCAAAAATTGTAATTTGACCAACCAAAATTGGGATTTAACCATCAGCGGTCTGTTGGGGTCGCGGTAGTGTGGAACTATATATAACTTATATAACAATATACGATAATAACTATGTACTACACCTCAAGTTGGCAATGGCTGAAAAACTACCTATTTCCCACAAGATAGGGGGGGGGTTGTTGGTTTTACATGGTCTTACCTCATATCTGGGTTACACCTTGGCTAGGATAGCTAATCTACTATGGAGCTTTTGAATGGCTGTGATGATGTGAGTCGCTCTACTTTACCCCTGGACCTTGCCTGATCTTCCACCTGTTACTCTTTTTAGAGGTCTCTCGCACATGAATGGGTTTGCAGCTCAGGTTCAAGATCAACTTTTTGATCAAATCCTCATCTGCTGTGCATGATGCCTTGGCTCCACGAACGTCCAAAGTGTTCAAACTCTCTCGCACTTGTCGCAAAAAGCTGGAGCTGAGAGCATCCGTGAAGCTTGCCTCAGCTGCTGGCATGGGGTTGGCCATTTATTCAGCGATAACATGCCAGAACCACACCACCAACCTAACCCTGAGCCTGAGCACATTGGATCTGGTGACATTATTCAAAATTGCTACCCTATCCTCCTTCACATGTCATGAATTGGCTAGCAAAGGCGACACTTTGCTCAGTCCACCAAGCAAACTATTGGATTCTACCATACTTTTGCTGTCATGTCTGGGGCTTAAAAGGTCGAAACTAGAAAGAACTCCAAGTGTTCCTGGGACCCTACAGGCCCTACAGTAGCTTTACTTCTTTAGGCTGATCAGGCTGTGACGCCTTCAGCATCAAACCACGGGATTTTTTTAAAAAAAAAAGGCGTCGCCGGAGTGCCTCCGCTGATTCTGAGAGGATAATGCTCATGGAAAATTCCTGCTCAATGCAAACCTCAGCTCTGAAAGCTCGTTGGCACCGTTGGCACAGGGAACACCAACCCATCATTTGGAACACCAAAACCATGTGCAATATATCCGATACCCTTAGGCGAGCCACTCTCAGATCATAAGTCCTTTGGAAGGAGATACTTAGCAAATTGGATTTTGAATGATTTTGATCCGATAACTCATTCTTTGCACTGGTGTGAAACCCAACCCTCCACGAAGCCTTTTGTCTGTACCAGCAACTTGGCATATATTCAAAACTGTAAAAAACAAGATGTTGAGACTGCCCAACAAAGCCGGGCACACCTTCGATATGTTTACATGGCATACAGGGAAAACTGACCGACTTGTGAGTCCTTAAACAACAAGCAAATCTGAGCAAGAAACATAACATTCAAAGATACACCATGCCCTTTGGATGTAGATCGGCTTGGATTGGATTGGATTGGAGGAGGACGTCAACCTGCTCCTCACCGAAGTGAAGTAGTTAAGACGCCGAAATTGCCAACGCAGAGCCGGAGCTCTTTGCACTGAACAAACCGGAGGGCAAGTTCAAGCCAAGAAAAGTACCACCCATGCAGCTGAAGAAGCAGCAAACGCTCATTCAAACGACCTGTTTTGACGTGGTTCGTGTTCAAGCAAAACTTGCCAGTAGGGAAGAGAACCCTTTAGTTGCGCCTTCCAAGCTTCTCCAGCCCAAACAACTGCCTCTCTGTGTTGTGACAAACAAGTAGCAATCACCTGCCGAAATTGACCTGTAAGATCAGCCGCGCTAGCATCCGCTTTGGCATTGAGCATGCGGCAACGCAAAACATCAAGCCACCCTTCGGGTGGGCGCCATCGAGGAACTTTATTATGCGAGGGAATCCAAGCACAAGAAGAGCCATCAACCAAAAGCATCCTGATATAATGCCAGTATGGAAAAAGATCTCCACCCCACTGACCAAGCCGCATGCCACGATGAAGACGTTGCACAAGAGCTTGGTTGTCAATCAGCAAGCGCACCGCTCTGTTCGCTTCATGGGAAGCCAAGCAGGCTTGAAGAAGTGCACCTCTCTCGCCCGCAGCAGGAGTTTGCTCGAAACCATGCACCAACCCATTGACCGTGGGCCCGAGATGTGCCGCCACAGCCCAGCTGGCACGCTGCCAAAGTTCGCACCCTGGAGCGATTGCGCAACTTCCATCCAAGCCCAAAGTCGGCGTTTGATGTGGGTCAAACTGTTGTAGAAAAGCCACCAGAATGGGGTCGGCCGTCATATCTTCAAATGGAAGAACAGCTGGAGCATCCACAAGAGGAACAAGCAACCGCCTTTCAGTTGGAGTTTTGAGATCACCATGCCAAGGATTTGCCTCGCAGTAGAAAGTGAAATGCTCACGATCAGGAGAGCTCAAACCACAATCACACTGCAAGTCGACTTCCAAACGTTGAGTAACTCTCCCATCCACTGCTGCACCTGTCAAGACTCTGCGACCACAATAGTTCAAATCATGCGCCACATTGGCCTGGAATTGGAACACAGGCAACTTACCTTCAGGTAAAGGACCCTCCGTTTTGGTGTCCTTCGTCCACATAAAAGCCAGCCATGCTGCAGCAGCAGCTTTGTATAAGCTTGAAGAAGACATCCATCCTGGTTTCAAAGTCCCCACGGGAGTGATCCACAAACCACCCTCAACACGCCAATTCCAGTCTTTGCAAACAGTATTCCACCTTGGGCCTGGCGAAACAGCGGCGGGCACACCTATGGCCAAGCGGCACTGGCGCTGCCATTCAGCCCGGGCTGCAGCAAAGTGAAGCGCAAAAGCAGGATGCAAACGCGGTGTGCCCAAAGAGTTCCAGAACAGCAATCTACTGCGACCTAGGGCAGGCTTGCGCCCCCAGACCGCCGCTTCAATACTGGAGGTCCAACTCTTGATGGTATCAACATCATAGTGGTGAAAAGCTCCTGTCCATGCAAACAAAGAGATCACCAACTGTCCCAGCAAGGTCTTGCGGGTGCCCAAACGTTTCGCTGCCAACCTGATTTTGCGACACCTCTCCTGAATGTCAAAGGAAAGCTTCTCTGCATTAACACAAGCACCTGCACGCTCCAAATTGTACTGAATACCCAGAAGCGTGAACTTGCTGCAAGGAGCCCCCAACACGTCCTGTATCTGTGACAGCTGAGGCGTCAAATGTTGCTTGGTTGTGAAACTATTTAACTTGTCAGGATGGAGTTCCATGCCCAGAATTGCATCAACCTGCGCACCTGCCTGCATGGCGTTGGTGACCACGTGAATGCCGTTGACACCTTTCTTCCACATTGTGCGGTCATCCAAATAAACTGCAAGAGAAACACGAGGCTCTTGCAAAAGAACGAAGCGCACCCAGACTACCATCACCGCATTGAGTAAGGCTGGGCTTGCCGGGCAGCCCTGCAGCAGCCCCCGCCGAGCACAAATGGGCTCTGAATGGAAAATGCCTTGCCAGGCAAACCACCTGCGTTGGTCAGTGTAAAAATTTTCCACCATGTCACACAAACTGGCCGGAGCACCCAACCAGCGCCAAATAGCAAGTGCAGTCTTTGGACAAACTGAATCGAAACACCTACGGATATCGGCCTTGCAGCCAACAAAATCAACTCTTGAACGTTTGGCAGCACGAATGTCTTCGTAGAGCACTTCATGAACATCCATAATGCCTCTTCCTGGACGGCCGCCACAAAGCTGAGGCAAGGCCCATTCTTGTATCCATGGTCGGAGCTTTTGCAAAGTTGCACTCATGCAGATGCGCCACAGGACCGTCGTGATGGCAAGTGGGCGCAGGCCCCCGGCCGCCTTTGGAATCAAGGCTATGCGAATATCTTTCCACATTGTAGGAACTTTCGCACACTGCATGCACGCCGACCACAAGACTGCAACGTGATTCCAAAAGGACTCCGGCAACTTGCACAAATGAGCCGCAGTCCAAGCATCCATACCAGCCGCTTTTTGTTTAGCTTTCAACGCAGAACGCGCCAAATCAGCCCCAACCACTTGAATGCTTTCAGGCGTGACTGGGTCGACCTGATTGTTGAGCTGCAAACACAAATTTGAAACCTGGTCTAAATGTGGGAGGTGGTCCGGATTCCAATGCGTGTGCCACGCAGCTGCCTCCTGTCTTGCCTTATCTTCAGGCAAAATAGGACCATCGACCTGTGTTGCTGTAGGTGGATCAGGTGGTTTTTGCTGAACCCACTTCCCCAGTTTCGCAACATTTTCTTGAATGTCCTCTTTCCAAGCAGCAAGGCGTCGCTGAGACGCCTTTTTGGCCACCTCATCTGCAAGAAGCAAAGCGGCGGGAGCCAAACCACCATCAGATAAAGAAAACGCAGTAAGAGACGAGTGCAAAAGCGGAGCATCGCGCAACAGCTTGGTTTGCAATTGCGGCGAAGGAGCCTTTTGATATTCGACCACCCGCCGTGCAAATCTTCTCAGCTTTCGCTCCTCCAAAGTCTGCAACGTAGGAGCTTTGGTTGATGGGGGGCTCGCCATTTTGTGCGGGCCGTCCCTTGATGCCCTGCTGGGCTTGCCTTGTGCAAGCAGCAAAGATTCAGCACAGTTGCTCAGGACCACCCAAGCTTGATCCACATTTCCGACGGCCAGAGCATCGGTGAAATCTTGCTGTGATTCTGCCCAAGCAACATTCCAGTTCTCAACCTCCACATTGCAAAGCAAGAGTGGTGCGCTTGCCGGCAATCTCCAAGGCGTGGGTAAGCTACCATGCACATGTATATCGTAAATGACTGCATCATGGTCAGCAACACCTAAAGACTGCATTCTTCCGGAAACAACAACTCTGGGAGTTGAAAGCGCGTAGTCAATGACCACCCCTGTGTATTCACCATCTGAGTTGCGATGGGTGCCAGGGCCAATCTGGTCTCCGCAGACTTGTTCATCGCAAGAATACCATTGCCCCGACGCCAGCGCGGTGGAGGCCGGCCAAACATGCCTTTCCCTGTTGAAATCGCCCACAATGATTGCTTCTTCGCCCAGCATAGCAACGTATTCAAAAATGGCAGCCAAGGCGTGGCCAGCAGCTGTTTGATCGTTGGCATGTAGGTACACATTGATCAGAAGAAGCGGTCGCTGGTGAGGTCGAAAAAGCTTCAGCGCAAGCTTCAGCGCCATGGCACGGTCAGCCGGTGCAAACTGACTTGGAATGGCCAACGCTTCAGCAGGCCACTTTGACAAAACTAACGTCCCGCCAATCACCACATTCTTGGCATCTACCCCTTGGCCGCCAGGAAAAACTTGCCACTTTCGCTGGTTTGCAGCTGACTTGACAGCGCTCCAACTGTCGACATTGACTCTAGTTTCTTGCAAACAAAGAACATCGATCTGCTCAGTCTTTGCTAACTCAAAAACGCCACCCAACCGGCCACTCAATGACCGGACATTCATAGTTCCCAACCTTAAAAGTGCTAGACGTACCCGTCATTGGTCCGTAGAATCACCTTCCTCTTGCTGAAACCCCAAAATCTCCAAAGCACGGAGCGCCGCTCTCTGCCTCGCCCCAGGTTCTTTGTTGGCGAGCTCCAGCAAGGCGTCTTTGTTGCCTTTTCTCTTTTGGTTCCAAACGGTGCTGTTGGCGCAAGACATTCCACGGAAATGTTTCTCGTCCTTCATGCACCGCTTGCATCTCGTGCAAGCAAAACGGACCGTGAAATCTACCGGCCAGACAAGTGCCTCAATATGGTGTTTGGGCGCAGTGTCTTTGGAGCTTCCCTTGCCTGAGTCAATAATGTTCAAAACTGTACGGGCACCATCCTTGAGAGCATCACTGATGGACGCTTTGTTGAGACAAGCGCGGAGCCTTGCCAGCATCTTCTTCCTCTTGGGGCCATTGCCGGCCACATACTTTTCACAGGACAGCGTAGCAAGCTCCTTTGCTTGATTCGCCATCTTGCCACATTTGCGACAAATAACCTTTGCCATACCTCCTCTTTTCTGTTTGGCCTTGCCAGTCATAGGGAGGGTAACCAACACTGGTTCGTGGGAACCGGCATCACCTTTTTTGAGGCCCAACAGGCGTTTTGCCATGCCAGCTGCGCGCACTTGAATCGTAGCTTTGGCTGCATTTGCCGCCCTGTAACTTCCATCGCTTTTGAAACGCTGCACATTCGCTTTCGGATGGTGTTCTTCTCTATGCCTCAGTTTCATGCGAAGCACCTGGTCTCTGCTGAGATCGGCATCTTCAGGAATGACCATGTTGCACAAGTGACACTTCCACTTGAAACTCATACCAGGGGCGGCGTGACAAAGCTGACCCATAGCGGGAGTGAGCTTCAACCTCTCCTTCTCATCAGGATGCCAAGCATTGATGTGGGCCTGCTTTTTCTGCGGCCACAGCCTGTGTACCCCTGTGGAATAATCGCACAAAGGACAATTCCATTCCTCCCTTTTTGGGCGTTTGGACGAAGTGCTGCCAGCCTCGTCCTTTTCGCTGACACCAGCGCTGCTCACAGCACGCCGCTCCCGACCTGAAGTAGCAGTCGCAGGGGAGGGATTCCTGCGCCGCTCTGAGCAAGTAGAACCAGGCAAGGAGGCGTCGCGCTTGGAACGCTTCTTGGCGCCCGCCACAGATGGCAGCGCTGACAAACGAGTAGCGCCAGCCGAGTGAGTGCCAGTTTCCGACCCGCCCCCTCTGTTGCCTTGCATAGGGCCAGTGGCGGCTTGCTCCAAAATGCCTGGCGGCAATGCGCCATCCAACAATTCATAATGCTTTCGGCGATACCACAGAGCAATGGCGCCACCTGCTTTCCCTTGGCTGTTGTAAACCTCAGGCACGCCCGTAGGCTGAAAAACTAATATGGGTCTGTCGTAGTGCACGGCAGCTGCAGCACATTCCAAGCTGCTGCCCCAAGCCCCAACCTTTGCAAGCATCTCCATGTACTTTTCCCATGACTCGCACTTCTCTTCCTGTTCCGTGGGCTCCCTTTCGTCCCACCAAGGTTTATACCGACCTTCATGCTTCTTTAAATGGTTCACAACTGCAGCTCTCACGGATCTTGCAGTTTTGCCTCCAATTCCCTGTGATATGGACTCAAACAAACAATTGCCATCAGCAGCTATGGTTCGTGCAATCAAGCCATGAGGTGGCTTGACATCCACTGCAACTCGCTTTGCCGCCGGCAGCTTGGCGGGCGAAGAAGGTTCGCGTTTGTCACCTGCAGCAGCCGAAGCAGCTTTCATAGCTTCATCAGCTTGAACATCACCAGGCTGCGTGGCGCCTGTAGCAGGCGCAGCTGCAGCGTTCTTTTCCTTGAGCGGCGTGCCAATGTAGAAAGACTTTAGCGGTGGCTGTGAGGATTGCACAGTTGCAGGCCCAGTGTTGGAATGGAAATTGACCTTTCCGTAACTGGACAACTTCTTTGTAATGGGCCGCTGAGGTCTCTGCCTGGGCGCTTCAACGACAACAATGGTGTGTTCGCCGGCCTGGATCTCAAGGAAATCAAGATCTCTTTGAGCATTCGCATGTGCCCACCATTCAACTTGCTTGCCCAAAGTTTTGCGAGACAAAATCTTTGGATCTTGCAAGCCAGCACGTGTGATCGCTTCAGTGACCGTGCTGGCTGACCATTCTCGGGGCACACCACTAATGCGCCATGCTCTTGGCTTTGGAATCGGGTCAGATGCTCTGGGCTTTCGGACGCCTAAGCCGCCCCACCCTCTTGCAATGCCAAGATCACCTGCCAAACTTCGGACCTTTTGAAGATAGCTGGGGCCATCAAGGTCAGGACCTTTCTTGATCCATTCAACATCACATGACTCCACCACACTGTTGTTCCATTGGAGAGGTTCGACGAACCACAGACTTTTCCCAGAACAAGAAAGCAAGCCTTTCGCTGCATCTTTCTCAATCCTCAGCAACCCAGTAATGACCGGCTTGCCACCACCCTTCGTGCACTCCTCTTGGAAAGCCCACATGTCAAAAACTTTGGCACCAATGTGGGCGGGCACATGCCTTCGCAACCATGACTGAGCGCTAGCCTTTGGTTTGGCTTGGATGCTCTGCCACTCTTTGCTCAACAAATACTTTGCTTCAACGCTCAACCTCACAACCACCGTCTCAGTCTGAGCTGCAGGAGCAGCAGAAACAACGGCTGCTCTTTTGAGTGTTGGTCCGTTTCCTTTCAAGGCTATCAGGTAAGCCTGCCTTGGCTGAACTTTCCCAGCTATTTTGCCAGGTATGAGCCTCAACTGTCTGCCGTCGATCTGCTTCGCTTCTTTTGGAGCTAACAAAACTGCAGAGACATGCAATTCTCTTGTCTGATCTGTTGCATCACCTTCTGTCAAAACTTTGAGCTCACTCAGTTGCTCTTCCGATTCACACTGCACTGTTGCTGACACATTGCCAGGCTGATCCAACGCACTGCAAAAAGAATCAAAAGTCAAAACTTGGCCGGTCCAGTCCGACTGTCTCAAACACCAAACTGGTTTGAACGGTGTGTTCGTTCGAACTACTTCCACAAAAGACTTGGATGCTTGTGTGGGCTGTTTCTTGTTGGCATCCTGTTTGCGATTGGGAAGCTGCGCAGAAGTGCTAGTAGGATTGGTGATTGGGGCAGAATTGAGCGCTGCATTCCTGTGGCCAAGGCCCGCACCACCATTGTCACCTTCCTGTGTCTTGCGCTCTTTCTTTCTCTTTTTGGGCTTGTTCCCTCCTTTGTTTTTGGAGGTGTCAACAGCTCCAATTTCTTGACCCATCAGAGTGCTAAGTTGCTGAAACAATTTTCCGCTGCCTCCCCCAATTCCCAACAATTGGCAGAGCTGGGTAAGCAGCTTGAGAATTTCTCCTACCTGTTGCAAATTGAAGCCATTAGCTTGCGCATTGCTTTGTTTCTGTTTCCGTCTTCGAGCTGTTGCTCGGCTGCCTGCTCCATTGCCATTAAGGATATGTTGCAAAGCATTTCTGGTTCTGGAAGACACAGCCCAAGTCTTCTGTGGCAAGTCAGTGCAAGCACAACAAGCACACACCACAACTGAACTGTTCGCTTCTGTGCACTGCCTAGGCCTGAAAGCAATGCATAGACCCGCAGCAACCGCGCGGAGGTCGTTCAGGTAGCCGCGGATGTAGATCGGCGAAACGAATTTATCCAATAGGACCAACCTTAGAAGCGATGGCGCGCGGCACCAACCTGTGATGAACGCGAACAAGTACATGTTGAAGTCTTCACAATGGAATGGGAATCGTTCAGGTCTGCCTAACCTATAGACCTATAATGTTCAAGAAATGTTCGCTAAGGCAAAAAAAAACTGCAAACATAACGAATAGAAAAAACTTCTAACTTCTTGGTTGTGGTCGTTCGTGTGAGATGATGTCTTGATTGTCTTAGAAACCATATGCTATTCTGTTACTATTCTGTATTTGGAAGGTAGACTTAGGCACTTGGCCCTTGGACACGTCCCCCTCTTCACAGCCAAAAGGCATTTGTCCGGCTTCAGCCAAATGCGTTTCGAAGACTGATTTCAACTCATCACTTCCCGTTTTGGTGCTCCCGCTGTCCATGATTCTATACCTCGGTACCGTCACCCTAGCAGCCCGGACAATTGGTCCGTGTCAAGTCACTCGAAAACAATACAATACATAATATTGAACAGTATAGTATAGTCTTAACATGCCCTTGTGGGTAGCAGCCGCGAGGGGGAAGGGGCAACTCTGGAGTTTAGCGGGGCCTAACATGGGATGCTCTACCAACATGTTACCATCTGAAAATCCAACTTATTAACCGGAGCGAGCACAGGGTCCCAACGACAAAAGAAGAGGCTGAAAAAGACACATTCGGAACATGTCTGTTGTCAACCTCAGAGGCTCGAGCCCCCTGATGTTTTTCTTGACCAAGGGAACAGGGTGCTTTGAATGAAACCTGTCCCACGTGATATAAATCCCATACAACACAAAAGGGGTGCATCTGAAAATATGGTATACCCCCAAGTGTTGTATAAGCCATGGGATTTGGCAGTGTCCCATGATTTTTAAATAAACCCTCTCTAAAAAATTGTCCGCCAAACGAGACGCTGATTGTTGCAAAAGAAGCAGACCCAAAGGAAAACATCTTCAGCATCCAGTTTGGATCTCCGCAGCCAGCTGTGGACAGCGCTTGCGAAATCTTGGAGCGTGTAGCCCCAACACCACGAGACGAAGTGGGTCACCTTGCCGCTATACCTGGCACGGCACCAAATGTTATAACCGGTCATGCAATGTGATGTTGTACATGTACATGTAATGTATGATTTATAGTATGTATGCTATAATATGCTATAATCATATATAATCATTAGTAGTTGCGTGCCCTCAGAATTCTGCAAACATAATCTGCGCATGCCAACTACTCACGAGATCTCACGAGTATTGAAAAACAGCGAATGCCGCCCAAATGCTGGTCTTCCAGTGAGTCCACCAGGCTGCAGTTGGGTTTGCCGTCTCTCGGGCAAGTCTTCCTAATGGCCATGCCATGGTTTTCGGTCTCAAGACCAACGAAAGATACATTGTTTTCGGTGGATTGGTGGATTTAGCCAGAGCCAAAAGGGGGAATCATAATCCTCCAAAGCAAGAATTTTACGAATCAATTGGGTTTGCCCAAGGCTGGGGGATAGATAAGCTCAATTTATGGCAATTCCACCTGGGAAAATGACGATGAACCAAATAGAGTTTGGGCTCCCTACTTTTGCACAATGCTTTTGGAGATGGTGAAAAAGGTTTATGAACAGGCTGCTTCCAAGACGTTTTCCAAGCTGTTTTCTGACGCTAGCTGTGGATATCCAAGCATCCCAAAGCCCAAACCATGCTCCCCCAAGGCCAGCTGTGGGCAAATCTCGTAGAAGTTGGGGTTCTCTAAGCCGGTGGCGCTTCTGGCAAGACTTGGAAAAATCTCCACAACGTATCTGGCAGAAACCTGCCGCAATTGCAGAGGTCTTCACTGCTCTAGTCTTAGTTTGATCTTGCTTGGGTAACTCTAGCCACACGTCTCAAGCTGTTGGGGCCAAGTAACTCCAAGAGTGGCTGGTGTCAACGGTGGAACAGCGCAATTGCAGCAAAAATGGACGTCATGCTGCACACACTGCCAATGTTTTTCGTGCCCTTGCGAGCGGCACACAGAGCATTTGTAGCCTCATACTGTGATCTTGACACAGGCTGCCCCATCTTCCAGTGTTGGACACTGGTCACAAGGCTCTTTGACAAGTATGCAAACATACCAAAAAAAAAGAAAAAATGCCCCTCCAGATGCATCCAAGATGGCTAGACTCACTGAATTCCATCGCGTGAGATGCTGGACCACATCTGCACAAGGGAATACCTAGCAACAACGGTCGTTTCTAAAGAAGGGCCAAACCTATGAGCAACACTTTGTGGCTACTTTGGAAGCAAGGTGCACACCCAAAGGAAGCGCTGCCAGTCCGGATTCGGATGATTGGTCCGCCACCAGATGGTGTTTCGGTCGACGCGATCTGAAATCTGCAGCGTACCATCACCCCAGCGAAACTGCGCAACCACTGGCTCATCTGCATGCTCGATCGAATATTGATGCCCGAAAGCTTCAAAGGACCCTGCTTCAACTGCGAAATGTGCGGTTTTTCCGCGGGGCCATTGGGCCGACACCTGGCCCGAGGCAAATTGGACCGATGGTTTTTGCACGTGGTCTGGTGGAAGTACTTGGCTTGGCGCAGGCGCAGGCTGAAGTTCCGGATCTGGGTTGGGGCTTGGCTCTTTCCGCCACACGTTCTGATGTTTCCACCACACCTTCTGATGTTTCCACCACACCAGAAACATGCATGACCCCAACAAGAGCAGCCCCACAACTGCTACTATCACCGGCATATGTACTCCTTCGCTCTGAGGCGCTTGCCCAGCGCGCTGAACCGTTTGCCCAACGTTTTTTAAGGGATCGCCGTCGTGCAGTTGAGAGGGATCTTGGGAGGGATCGTGTTGGACCACCGAAAGAATTTCTGCCTGCGGCAGGTCAGAATGTGCGTCAAAATGTTGAAGTCTTGTGGTAAAAGATAGCTTCCAGTCAACAGAGAGAATCCGGCCTTCGATAAAATGATCGGTTTGGTCCACTACAATAATCTACAAGACAAGTCCAGGAGTGAAAGTTCTTTTCATGGATCTCAGGTTAAACTACTCAACCACGTTTTACCAAGTTCTACGTTTTTCTTGCCATGTCCCGCCTTCGAAGCCGTCGCCGGCAGGAAGACACAAAGAATCCACAGAGACATGGCCATGTGGATGTGAAGCTGAAAATGGGGATTCACCCCCAAGTTATTGCCATCTTGTGGGGAAAATCTGGGAACATAATTTTCCGAAAGCAAGAAACCACTATCCGTTTCTGCTATGGTGGCCTATGGTACAAATATGTTCATGGTCCTTTTGCTTCCATGTGACCCCCAAACCCACCTGTTCTACAGAGCCCAGAAGGGCTGTAAGGGTGCTGCAACAAGTCCTGTTCTCCATGCAAGCCTGCATTGCACACATCTTTGAAATTGCACAACTGCAAGAGATGGCAGGTGGATGTACAATCACCCCACTTCGAGGAGTTTCCAATCAGGCTCGGGGTTCGTGTCAGCATTGGTTGTATCACCATGTTTGTTTGTCACCCGATCAATTATTCCCCACTTTCGTCTGTGGTCACCTCAAACAGAGACAAGAGAGACCACAACATAACTTGCCAACTATATGGACTTGACAATGGATACCCTCTGGTAGTTAAAAATCATCTATAAATGGTGTTTTACTGGGAAAATCCTCTATCAATGGTGGATTTTCAACAAGCCATGTTTGATGACACCCGAGGGTATGATGACCATCATTCGGGTAGCAGACACGGGCCAGCGTCTCAGGCGAGGCTTGATGTGTGATCCTGAGGGGCTCAAACTGGCTCAAACACCCACAAGAGTTTCATGGCATGTTTCTATGGCAGTTCCGTTTTCAAATTGCGAGTGTAAAAGGAGTTGACTATAAATTTCCGGATCGCAAATGAAGGACTATCAACAAATTGCATCAACGCCACCTCCAACTATACTACAGATCCTACAGATCCAAACGGCTAAAACACAAGCCTGCAGGAAAGAAATGGTGACTACCACATCCCTCATGGCATGCTTCAGACGTGGCTATCACTCCGCGGCAATGTCCTCTCCAGTCGCGGCGTCTTCCGCAGGTTGGGTGTGCGGACTCTGGTGCAGTGAGCCACATCCTTGGATCTCTGCCAGAGAAAAGCATGCATGCAAGTGAAGTGGCATGACGTGGCAGAACCATGTGTACACATACACTCTATATATATATAATCATTTGTGTAGATGAACCTATAGATTTATATACCCTCCAGTAGCAGACATTACTTTCCCTAGGGACATGACCCCATTTTCCATATCTATGTGAGATTTCAGGATGGTAGTATTATAATAAATATATATATGTGTGTGTGTCATATATAAATCCCATGGTTTGGAATATTATAAATGTTCCCCCATTTAAATTGCCAAACTTGGGGTATCCACCCACTTGGGGACGAAAGATCCATCTTTCCTTGGTGAAACCCCTATAGTTGTTGGATGAAATGTTTATTTTAGCTGGCTAATCCTCTGTTTCTGATTGTTAAATCACTAGTATTGGTGAAATTTCACCATGATCTCCCCCAAAAAAAACCTGTTATTCGTTATCATGTTCCCTATTAAATTCCCTATTAAACCTCTATTGAATGTGTGTGTTGGTTAAATCGCCCACTTTGATCACCATGTTAAACCTCCATTGTTCATGTTTGAATAGTCAATGTTACTACTCAAACCACCATTTTGGTTGGTTAACTCACAACAAAATGGATCATCTACCACTGTTAAAATGCAGTAACCCCCGTCAAATCCAAAGTTTAATATCTATATAATACTTGTTAAGTCACTATGTTTCATGCGTAAATTCCCATCTTTGCTGGTTCATCCTCCATTTTTCCATGGTTCAATCACTATTGGTGAAATATAAGCCTGATATTCACATCAAAACCAAACCATGCTTTGCAATACAATTCTATTATCCATTCAATCATATCATCACTATAGATGGATATATCTATGATATCCATTTAATTCTGTTTAACCATTTATATCCATTGATCAACCACTACTGGTTGCCATGAAACCATCAGCTCCCCATGCTCCACTGAGGCCCTTTTCGGGGCCCCCGGCCACCCGTCCATTCCGCGTCCCCGCGAAGTCCTTTTGCTCCAGCGGCCGGTGCGCCACCGAGGGTGGCCTGGCGCGGTTCTCCGGCGGAGTGCAGCAGCAAAAGTTGAGGCTTTGACTCCGTGAAATGGTCTGTTTATGGTATATTTATGGTATATTAAAGGTATATGAATAATATATAGAATGGTTTGATATATAAAAGTTTCCTAAATGAATGGTATATTGGTGGTTTGATACATAGAAGTTGGTGATGGATATATGAAGGTTTCCTAAGTGAATGGGGGTACCAAATCATCCAAAGTTCGACCATGACTGAAAGCTATTGAAAGCCATGGTAATGGGGGTAACTCCATTTTAGGAAACCTCCATATACTGATGGTTTGATATTTAAAAATTGCGTGTGGAAAGTGATGGTTCCACGATTTATGGAAAAACTGTTGGTTTGACCATGTATACACACATGTTTCTGATTTATAATGTATACTCTGTATTGTATATATATATATGTGATATATGGAATGCAGCTTTCAGGGTCTATGTTCGTCTGATGGTAACCCATGTATGATATATATACAACATTGTACAACTGGGGGTATTCCGCGTTTTTTTCTGGGTGTTTCAGACGGTTCTTACCAACTTACTAAGTGGAATGCACATACAAGTAGACCATTCTTCATGTCTCATATCTTGTCCAACGCATTTTCAGAACTGGATGAGGAGTTAACTGAGTTAACTTTGGATTTTTCGCCCAGATTTTCAGATGGGTACAAATCAGAAACGCTCGGAAAATAATCTTCCAACGAAATAGGGATTCCTGGTCCATAGTTCACTTCATCCTTCATAGTTTATAAGCATTCACAAGTATTTGGAATGCAGGATTTTTTGATGGAGACCCATCAGCCTCTACCTCTGATGGTGGACCTGGGTTGAAAGTCCAGCTATATGGGTCTGAAAATAGTGTGTTCCATCCACTGGTTCATGTCACCAAATGCCCTATGAAATCTTCCCTTTGGGGATAAATCTCCTGTCTTCAGAAACACCCATATGTCATAGTGTAGGGACCCCTTAAATGTCCCGTTGTTGCTTAAATATGCTTAAATCACCTCATTATAAACCATTGATTGGTGAAATCCCAACAAATGTTGGATGGTTGAAGCCCTATAATTTGGCTGCTCAAAAGACCAATCTGAGTCATTTAGAACAATTCCTAAACCATCTTTAAAACCATTTTGGGACATTGACCCCCTCCATAAACTTTGGCAAGGTCAGCCGAGGTCACTATGGATCACCCAGACCAATGGTTGTTGGTTAAAATCCTACGGTTTTATGCCTAAGTGGATGGTTTATGAAACCCCCATAAATCCCGAAGTTGTTGCTTATGAAATCCCTATGGTGTGATGCCGATGTCAGCCATATCAGCCTCTGGGCGGGGGAGGCGTAGACATGGGTAGAGGTTTGCGTAAAGAGGCTCCTTGGTATGGCCCGGCACGGGTGAGACGGTCAGGAGATAGCCAAGTCTTGGATAGCCAAGTCTTGGTCAGCAACAAACATGGTGAAACATTGGAGTTGAACCAGCTGAAGTAGAGACTTAACCTATATTTAACCAATAAACAATCCATATATGGGTGTGTCTGAAAATGATGTATACAAGAAAATGGCAAGTTAAAAGGGGGAAACTGTCTGAAAATTTGTGAGGATTTTGCGGATGTCTTTATTCTTGGACAAGCCCAACTTGGAGTTGGATTGGGAGATCGGTGGGAAATCACAGGGGAGACCAACGACATGATCAGATCAAGAAAGGTCATGAATGAGTCAGCGATAGGCAATTTAAAAACAGAGGAACTCAACCATCGTAGGGGGAATAATGGGAATACGAGTAAGCAGAGTTCAACCATTTATAGGATTTATAGGTAATACTGAACTATCATTGAGCGAATAAAGCCGGATAAGCGCGGAATATCAAGCGTAATTAATTGGGACAAGAACCAACAACATTGGAGAACAAAATTGGTATGAAACCCATCAGGGCAAACAATGTGACTGCAGCGGCAAAACCACATAAAACTACCTCGAGCAGTGCCGAAATCTGTTGGCTTGGAAGAGACTGTATCACACTTGAGCGATGCCAGCTGGAAATGGAACAAAATGGGTCGCACTCAATTTCTGATGGTTCCACCGAGGGCCGTGGATTCACCGCAGCCCTGGTCAAGTTACATGGTTTGAAAATGTCATGGGATTAGCCTATTCACCAAGCCATGGAAAATTCATACCCCGTGTATCTTGACCGCGGCACATATCATGATAGGATCAACTTAACAATCTTCAACATTGCCATAGCTCATGATATGATATTTGATATTTGCATCTACCCTCTGGTAATTTAACAGTTTGCTATTGAAAATGACCATAGAAATATGTAGTGGATTTTCCCATTAATAGCATGGTTGATACCAGAGGGTATGTGTCCAGATTTTCCCATGTTTTTCCCCTCTGCTGCTGTTTTAACAAGGCACTCCAGAGAGCCGGCATCCCAGGCAGGAGCCGGGGCTTGTCCTTCACCATTTGGGGAGTCCTTAAATGGTTGGGTTTATCAAAGGAAGTTGGGAGGTGGTGACGATGGGAAGTGGTGACGATGGGAAGCGGTGAGGAAGGGAAGTGGTGAGTTGGGGAGGAAGCCGGAGCACGAAACCGTGTGTTTTTCCGTGTAAAGTGGCTGCAGGCAACGATGAAAGGTACCTCGTGTGTGCGACGGGTGCGGCTGGGGTCGGTTGGTCGTTTTTTTTTGCCGCAGTGTAACGGTGGCTTGAAGCTGCTTTGGGTGTGCTTGTGTGTGCGTAGTCATAGGGTGTTTTGGCATCTCCGGTTGCAGCTCGCATTGGAATGGCTGCATGATGTTGCATCGGCTATGTTTTGGGGAGGAAGCCGGAGCACGAAACCGTGTGTTTTTCCGTGTAAAGTGGCTGCAGGCGACGATGAAAGGTACCTCGTGTGTGCGACGGGTGCGGCTGGGGTCGGTTGGTCGCTTTTTTTTTGCCGCAGTGTAACGGTGGCTTGAAGCTGCTTTGGGTGTGCTTGTGTGTGCGTAGTCATAGGGTGTTTTGGCATCTCCGGTTGCAGAACGCATTGGAATGGCTGCATGATGTTGCATGGGCTATGTTTTGGGGAGGAAGCCGGAGCACGAAACCGTGTGTTTTTCCGTGTAAAGTGGCTGCAGGCGACGATGAAAGGTACCTCGTGTGTGCGACGGGTGCGGCTGGGGTCGTTTCTGTCGCGAATTGTTCCTCCTATGTGTTTTGCAACGAGTGGTTGTTCCTGTGTGCGTAGTTCTATGCGGTTCTTGAATCTCTGGTTGCAGATCGCATTGGAATGGCTGCATGAATGTTGCATGGGCTATGTTTTGGGGAGGAAGCCGGAGCACGAAACCTTGTGTTTTTCCGTGTAAAGTGGCTGCAGGCGACGATGAAAGGTACCTCGTGTGTGCGACGGGTGCGGCTGGGGTCGTTTCTGTCGCGAATTGTTCCTCCTATGTGTTTTGCAACGAGTGGTTGTTCCTGTGTGCGTAGTTCTATGCGGTTCTTGAAGCTGTGGTTGCAGATCGCATTGGAATGGCTGCATGAATGTTGCATGGGCTATGTTTTGGGGAGGAAGCCGGAGCACGAAACCTTGTGTTTTTCCGTGTAAAGTGGCTGCATCAAGGCTGCGAAAGTGATTTGTCAGCAGATTTTCTCACTTTTGGCGCTAACAATTTTCCTTTTAAAATTCCTTTTAAAAAGTGCTTCAAAATCGTCTTTTTGTCGCTTTGGTGTCGAGATCCGGTTTTGGAGCTGCAATTTCCGACGCCATTGCACGTAGTTCTATTGTGTTTTGCAACTCAGTCTCTACAGATCGCATTGTAGTGGCTGCGTCAAGGTTGCTTGGTGCCACGGCTGCATGCGTAATACTATTTGTCTTTTGCAGCTGAAGATCGTAAATCGTATTGGAATGGCTGCATCAAGGCTGCGAAAGTGATTTGTCAGCAGATTTTCTCAATTTTGGCGCTAATAATTTTCCTTTTAAAATTCCTTTTAAAAAGTGCTTCAAAATCATCTTTTTGTCGCTTTGGCGTCGAGATCCAGTTTTGGAGCTGCAATTCCTGTTGTGATTATGTACAAGAAAGCTTCTCTGTGCAAAAACTTTTCTGTAAAAGCTTGCTGTGTGTAAAAGCTTCTCTGTGTGTAAAAGCGTCTCTGTGTAAACATTTCTGTGTTTGTAAACGCTTGCCATGTGTAAAAGCACTGTGCGTAAGTGTTCTGTGTGTGTAAACGCTTGCTGTGTGTGTGAGCTTGCTGTGTGTAAAAGCTTCTCTGCGTAAAAGCTTGTAGTGTGTAAAAGCTTCTCTGTTTAAAAAGCTTGCTGTGTGTGTAAACGCTTGCCATGTGTAAAAGCACTGTGTGTAAGTGTTCTGTGTGTAAACGCTTGCTGTGTTTGAAAGCTTGCTGTGTGAAAAAGAGTTTGTGTGTAAAAGCTTGCTGTGTGTAAAAGCCTCTCTGTGTGTAAAAGCGTCTCTGTGCAAAAGTTTCTGTGTGTAAACGCTTGCCATGTGTAAAAGCACTGTGTCTAAGTGTTCTATGTGTAAACGCTTGCTGTGTGTGAAAGCTTCTCTGTGAAGAAGCTTGTTGTGTGTAAAAGCTTCTGTGTGTAAAAGCTTCTCTGCTTGAAAAGCTTGCTGTGTGTAAAAGCTTCTCTGCGAAAGAACTTGATGTATGTAGAAACTTTGTAGTACAAAGTAGTACTGGAACGTGTTTTGTGCAAGCTTTGTAGTACAAAGTAGTACTGGAAAGTAGTTTGTGCAAGCTCTGTAGTACAAAGTAGTAGCTTTGTAGTACAAAGTAGTACTCGGAAGTGTTTTGTGCAAGCTTTGTAGTACAAAGTAGTACTGGGAAGTGCTTTGCGCAAGCTTTGTAGTACAAAGTAGTACTGGGAAGTGTTTTGTGCAAGCTTTGTAGTACAAAGTAGTACTGGGAAGTGCTTTGTGCAAGCTTTGCAGTACAAAGTAGTACTGGGAAGTGCTTTGTGCAAGCTTTGTAGTACAAAGTAGTACTGGGAAGTGTTTTGTGCAAGCTTTGTAGTACAAAGTAGTACTGGAACGTGTTTTGTGCAAGCTTTGTAGTACAAAGTAGTACTGGAAAGTAGTTTGTGCAAGCTTTGTAGTACAAAGTAGTACTCGGAAGTGTTTTGTGCAAGCTTTGTAGTACAAAGTAGTACTGGAAAGTAGTTTGTGCAAGCTCTGTAGTACAAAGTAGTACTGGGGAGTGCTTTGTGCAAGCTTTGTAGTACAAAGTAGTACTCGGAAGTGTTTTGTGCAAGCTTTGTAGTACAAAGTAGTACTGGGAAGTGGTTTTTGCAAGCTTTTGTAGTAGACATCAGTACTGGGAAGTACTTGACATAAAAATAGCCAAGAAGAACTTAGCTGACATATGGGAAGACATGGAATGAGATGAGAAGAGCTCAGATGAGATGAGTTGAGATGAAGTGCAAGTGTGAAGTGTGGAGTGTGGGGTGTGAAGAGTGCAATGAGAAGTGTGAGGAAAGTATTTGCATTGTACCGGGGTCGCGCGCAGGTCATGTTCTTGGACAGCAACACTGCAACAGCTTCGCACAAAGCACGCACGCACGGGCCTGGCTGGCACATGGCGCATGCAAGTTCCTTAGTAGTAGTACTGGGAAGTGATTCATGAAAGCTTAGGTGACATATGAGAAGAGATGAGATGAGAAGAGATGAGCTGGGATAATGTGAGAAGAGCACAGATGAGATGAAGTGTGGAGTGTGAAGAGTGCAGTGTGAAGTGTGGGGCGTGAAGAGTGCAGTGTGAAGTGTGGAGTGTGAAGAAAGCAATGAGAAGTGAGAGGTGTGAAGTGTGGACTGTGAAGTGTGAGGTGTGGAGTGTGAAGTGTGAAGTGTGGATTGGGAAGAGTGCAGTGTGAAGTGAGAAGTGTGGAGTGTGAAGTGTGCAGTGTGGAGTGTGAAGAGTGCAGTGAGAAGTGTGAAGGGCGAAGTGGAGATTCAAATGTGACATGTGAAACAGGACACCACTTTCGCAGAGTGCACGCACGCACGGGCTTGGCTGGCGCACGGCGCATGCAAGTTCTATGGATGAGAAAGGTCTTATATATATCTTTAAGCAACTTCCGCCCCGCCTCGTGCGGGTACTACTGGTAAAAAGATATCCAACGAACTATCATAGATATAAATTGACTGTGACTATCATATATATATATATATTATACAGTATAATATGGCTACAATATGGCGATAATATGGCGATAATATAGCTATAATATGGCTATATGGCTTGTCCATATTATATCATATTGACATCTACCAACTATGTACAGAAGTTATATATGAATATACATTGAAATACAATTCGGTGTTTCTAAAAGACAACTACTGGACTTGTTAATAAATGTTGGACGTACCACATTACACCAAACGATGATTCACGATTACACCAAACGATGATTCACGATTTTTTGGGCTTTAGAAGGTATAGTTTAATGTATGTATTCACACAGTTTATACATGTACATGTATGTCTGTATATGCCAATGCATAGAGCTTTCCGCCTGGAAACTTCTGCTCTGCTGCGTCCTGTGATGAGCTTTTGGGCCGCTCGTTGTAGCTCCTGGGACTGGGTTTGCGTCATGGTCAAAAATGGGCCACCAAATCCTTCGCCAATGTGGGGCAAGTAGTCGTTCTGCATTGCCATGTAACTTTGGAGATGAAAATCACATGTTTCTTCAGTGAGAAACACTCATCCTTGCAGTTTTTGAAATGTTGCCTGCATCAAGTGTCTATAGATCCAGGCGGTATACATCGTCCCGAAAAATGACATGGAACCCCAAGTTTCACAACGTCGCCATTTGTACATACAGACCCCCACATCCCAGAAACCGACCCACCACACAACATCCCACCTGGAACTTCCCAATGTCACCAGTCTGAGGGACATCTGGGTGATACACCTCGACATTTCGCACTAACTCCAAGGTTCACAAGCTGTGATTCATCAATCAGCTAACAAACCCCAAGTTTCAGGATCATTTTGTACCCGTTTGGGGTTCCAAATCCATCTGGCCATATCTATGCTGGTGAAATCGCAAGTTTCTTAAAAATTTTAGATCCGTACGACTGCGGCTATGACAGGGTGGGTATAGTATAACTGACATGGACGCCCAATATAACCAGTATTCAGATATATTCAGATTACATATATATATATATTATATAATATAAATATTATATACACTATATTACATTACTATATGGTAATTACTATATGGCATTACTATATTATATATTACATGCAGTAGCTTCTGAGGCTACGCGCCTTGGCTAGGCGCCGGAAGGCGCCCCGAATCTGGTCCTCGTCCCGGGTTCCGGGCGGAAGGCCCAGTACCTGGACCAAACCGAGGGTTTTCACCAGGAAACTCGGGACTCAATGGACAAAAAAGCGGTTTTTACTGGGAAAATGATGAGAAAGCGGGTTTTATGTGTTTTAAACTAACAGTGAAATTCAGATTTATTATATGACTTAATGGAGAAATCGGAGTTTTGAGCGGCAAACATGGAGATGTTACCAGCAAACAATTGGTTTCAGCCAAGAAAATGAAGGATTTTGCCAAGAAAAATGAGCCGAAATGATGGATTCATCCTCTGGTATTTCAACCTGAGAGTGGCAAATTGGCCGCCCCTGATTGACTCTTGAAAGTGAGGAAGCTGGCATTTGTTTGACCAGAAATCAAGGTCAGATGACCTCCTACACATCCCCAAAGTATTACCCTCTGGTTATTTAACATAGCCATGGAAAATGGCCCGTTTATAGATGGTTTACCTATTAAAAATGGTGATTTTCCATGGCAAACTGTTAAATAACCAGATGGTAAGTATCCCAAAGTGATCCATCGATTCGAGGACGCAGTTGCCATACTTTGCCACAAAATCTGGAGACCCTGTTGATGCTGAAGTGCCTTGGCATGGCTTACTTTAAACGTCCCAGATATCTACCATTCAACAGTCGGATATCCCCATTTCATGATGGTCATATATGTAACTTCCAAAGTTTTGTGGAAACCCCATTGATGGTCGGTTCAATCCCACCAATATCTACGCCCTGCGCTATCCACACGAACTTTCTCCATGGGCAGCACCCTGTTGTCAGCGCACAGTGCAGGGGTCAGCTTCAGCCCGACGAGGCAGCGCGGAGCTGTGCCCTGTGGAGCAAAAAAAAAAATCGGTCCAAGACGGTGATGGTACAGGGTGGTCCCAAAAGTCATCACCAACATCGTGATCATCATCATTCTGATATTCTGATGGTGATAATGATTATTGGTATTTATTGGTACTACCATCATCATGCATATTTTTCATAATCTGCAATACCTTGTTATAAAGGTACTGATGGCCATGTATTCTGTCAGTCATGTGTTCATAGTCATTGTTGTTGTGGTGATGGTAACTGTGATGGTGATGATCATGAAAATGATGATGTGTCGAGCTGCTTGGAGACACTGCCATCGGAACTGGTCGCTGGTTCGGCCACGCAGGCCAACAAATCTGTGAAAGCGCACATCATCCAATGTGTAGCGATGAGAAATCAGGCAGATGAAAAACATCTAGAGTACAACAAGCATCCAAACATATCCAAAGCAATTTGCGCATGAACCTCTCTTTTTGCGGTCTCTTCCCACAAAAAGAACGCACCCAACACGACAGGGTCCAGGATCTGCAGCCTCTAGAACTGGTTCCATTTCCACCTGGCCGGCTGGGATGGTTCGAAAAGTTCTGGGCAGTTGGCATGACCTGAAGATGCTATTCACCACAAAAGATTGCATGGAAATTCCATGTCGGATGGGAAAAGGTAAGTACCTCTTTTGTCAGAAATCTGTACGCAGACAATCTATTTGGTAATCGCGCACGTCCACTGATTCCGCTGATGTGTATCTCTTACCCTCTGGTAATTTAACATAGCTATTGAAAATGACCATTTACAGTGGATTTTCCCATTAAACATGGTGATTTTCCATAGTTATGTTAGTTTACCAGAGGGTAATTACAATTCCCAGCCCTTGCTTTCAGCCCAGAGCCAACTCCCCTTGCACCTACAAAGTTTTGCCAGTCTTCAGTAAGAAACAGCAGGAAGATGACAGCACCTTGACACTGCGAGAGTGCACAGAAAGCGGAACCGGGTGGATCCAAAAAAAAACAGGTACGTTTGGGGGTTAAATAACGGTTACATATATATATATATATATTTATTTATTTATATTATCTATATATTTTATATTATCTATATATATATATAGAAATATCATTATATAAATATCGAGGTAGAATATCCAACTCACCCCCCTTGTGGCTATCATTTATTGTAATGTGTAATGGGTTGGAGCAACCCTGTCTGAGCTATGGCAATTCTATTGGGATGAGAAATCTTTGGACTTAGGGGTGTCCTATTTTCAGACAAACCCTTCAAGGAAGCCTACACACCACAAGAAAAAGTTAGGAGTCAGGATTGAGTTGACCACATAAATTTCCCAGCTCCTCAACTACTTACATCCGGAGTCCCCAAGAAATGTTCACATCAAGGAGTTCGGTGTGGGTTTTCGGGGTTCCTCACTCCAAGGTTCCCTTTGCAGAAAGAACATTGGTGGTTAAATTGGCCTAGTACGCGCGAGATGGGTTTGTCTGAAACCTGGGTAATTACATGTAATTACCCCTAAATCCATTGACCAATTAACCCAGCTTTGCAACCCAACAGCATACCTGAATCTTCCACCTACGTCTTTTTTCAGACCCTGTGCCAAAATCCTGTTTTTTCAGTACCCAGAAAACTTTTCAGGACCTACTCTCAAATTCAGGACCTGGCCATTTTGGGGTATCAATGGTAATGGCAATCATTGGGTGCAAACATGTGAAACCAACATTTGGGGGATATTCAAGCCATTGGCATTGATCCACGCAAATAAAAGCACTCCCAGCCCAAACTCATGGCAAGGCAGGATCAGAATATAGTATATTCCAGAAAGTATGTCAGAATAGATGCCAGATAGGATGCCAGAAAGAATGTCAAATAGAATCTCAGAAAAGAATGTAAGATAGTATGTCAGAACATATATGCCACATATACGTCCAGATGATATGTCAGAAACTATGTCAGAATAGTGTGTCAGGGTGGGGATCACTCTTAGTAAGGCAATTTTGAAAATATATTTCAGGTTCGGAATTTTCAAACTGTTGTCCTTCAGGCGCCGAAGCTCCCGTTGAAGGTCAGCATCGCCCCATGTCAACTGGTCCAGTCCCACTTCCATTTCAACAAGTCCAACTTCATCGATTAGGGTGTTGGTTGAATGGACTTGGGACTCTAGCTGGCACGGCATCCCTTGTAACCCTGTAGACATTGTAGTGGGCAAAAAGATTGTAACACACAGAATCAGCATCATTTTGATCAGGCATTCTTTTTGCTAATCCTTTCTCCCTATTACGAAAAATACCCCCAAATGACAAAAACTAGGTGCGATTTCCAATTTTGGGAAATGTCAAATTGGTTAATCTGATTTTTAATTGATCCCCTTGAGGAAACAATTTTAAAAATGAAGGTACCATGTGAGGGTTTCACCCCCAAAGATTAAAAAACTAGTCAACACCGGGGTGTCTTTTATTGGGGTCCGTCCTTTAAAATCGTCAATTTTAGTTTTTTTAATTCAGGTGTTGGTGTTTTATTTGATACTAGGCGAAAGCTTCGAAATCCTATTCTTGGCAGTATTCTATTTAAAGATTATTTTCATGGATTTTGAAATTAGAAACAAAAAACGGTTTAATCCCTTCCCCCTGTTGCTAAACAGTCGCCCCTTCACCCACCCACCCAAATAACAAACACCTGGAGGAGTTTTTAGTATTGGGGGGGTCTTTAGTATTAGGGTACGAAGCTTCCCCCTAATACTGATAAAAAAACACACACATATATATATATACACACATATTTCTATTTCAAAATCGATCAGATTTCTTTCTTTTTAAATCCAATTAAAATATGGCAAACAAGTGGATTCCGAAGCTTAATATCAAATAAAAAACCCCAACATAAAAAACTATGTATGTTTTTCTATTTCGAAATCGATTAGATTTCCTTTTAAAAATTTAAATAAAATATGGCCAAAAAATTGGATGTCGAAGCTTTTCCCTTATATTAAACCCTAATATCATTTTGTTTTTTTCCTGTTTCAAAATCGATTAGATTTCCTTTTGAAATCTAATGAAAAAAACAAAAAATTGATTTTGAAGCTTTCCCCTAATATCAAATTAAAATCAAATTATTAAAATATGTTCAAAAATTGGATTTCGATGCTTCCCCTATGAAAAATTCCAATATAAAAAACTAAATTTGTTCTATTTCAGAATCGATTAGATTTCCTTGTAAATTCAAATTAAGATATTGCCAGAAATTGGATTTCGAAGCTTTCCCCTAATATTAAACCCTCATATCAAAGACTATTTTTTCTATATCAAAATTCATTAGATTTCCTTTTGAAATCCAATTAGAATATGGTCAAAAATTGGATTTTGAAGTTTTCCCCTAATATTACATTAAAAAACCCTAATATAAAATATTATTTTTTCTTTTTTGAAATCGATTCGATTTCCTTTTAAATTGTAATAACAAAAATAAAAACAAAAACCGGATTTCGAAATGTTTCCTCTAATATTAAATTACCAGCCCTAATATATTTTAAAAAAAAATGTTTCAAAATCGATTAGTTTTCTGTTTAACATATAATTAAGATATTGCTAAAAATTGGATTTCTAAGTTTTCCCCTAAGATTAAATTAAAAACATTAATTTAAAAAAAAAAACTATGTTTTTCCATTTCAAGAATCGATTAGATTTCCTTTTGACATCCAGCAAAAATATTGCCAGGCAATGCCAAAAAGTGGATTTCGAAGTTTTCCCCCAATATTATATAAACGTTGTAATATAAAATACTTATTTTTTCAACCTTAAAAGACCCTAGTTTTAAAAAACACCGGGGCTGACTAGTTTTTATTTTTTGGTGGTGAAATCCTGAAATGGGACCTTCATGTTTAATTTGTTTTTGAAAAGGTATCAATTAGAAGTCAAACTGGCCAGCCTGAAATTTCCCAAAATTTAACGCGGACCCTAGTAAAAGGAATCAATGTAATATTTTAGTATTTAGGGTACGTTTAGTAAAAGGAGATGGGGATTAGTAGGGTTTTCAATTTAATATAAGGGGAAGCTTCGAAATCCAATTTGGCAAGATTTGAGTTAGATTTTGAATAGGAATTCAATCGGTTTTGAAATATAAAGTTCATTTTTTAAAACGAATGTTTTCAATTTAATGTCAGGGGGAAGCTTCGGAATCCAATTTTGGCAATATTTTAGTTCGATATTATTTAAACTAGACGACGGATGGCCCGAGAGCGTAGAGGAGCAGGGTCTTCTCTTGTTAGTATGGAGACGCAATATTAGAAACGATATATGAAAGCTGTGTTATAGGCAGTCGAGAAGAGGAGTATCAAGACAAAATAGTGAGAAGTGCAAGACAATAGTTTGCATCGCAAACACTTTTACACACAGACGCTTTTACACACAAAGCTTTTACACACAAAGCTTTTACCCACAGAAGCTTTTACCCACAGAAGCTTTTACATACAGAAGCTTTTACATACAGAAGCTTTTACACACAGAAGCTTTTACATACAGAAGCTTTTACACACAGACGCTTCTACACAGACACTTTTACACACAGACCCTTTTACACACAGGAGCTGCTTTTACACACAAACGCTTGTACACACAGAAGCTTTTACACACAATCACGTTTAAACAGATGCAATTTTACATACAATCACTTTTACACACAAACTTCTTTACGCAGAAACACTCGTACGCACAAACCCGTTTACACACAAAGACTTTTACACACAGAAGGTTTTACACACAACACTTTTACACAGATGCACTTGTACACACAAACACTTTTACACACAAACATCTTTACACAGAAACGCTCGTACACACAAACCCCTTTTCGTGCGAAAGGGTTACTCCAGCACACGAAAAATCGCAATTTTACCTCAGTTTTTGCCGATCGACCCTCATTTCGTGCGAAAGGGTTGCTCCGGCACAAGTAAAATCGCAATTTTACCTCAGTTTTTGCCGATCGACCCTCATTTCGTGCGAAAGGGTTGCTCCGGCACAAGTAAAATCGCAATTTTACCTCAGTTTTTGCCGATCGACCCTCATTTCGTGCGAAAGGGTTGCTCCGGGGCAAGTAAAATCGCAATTTTACCTCAGTTTTTGCCGATCGACCTTCATTTCGTGCGAAAGGGTTGCTCCAGGACAAGTCAAATCGCAATTTTACCTCAGTTTTTGCCGATCGACCTTCATTTCGTGCGAAAGGGTTGCTCCAGGACAAGTCAAATCGCAATTTTACCTCAGTTTTTGCCGATCGACCCTCATTTCGTGCGAAAGGGTTGCTCCAGGACAAGTCAAATCGCAATTTTACCTCAGTTTTTGCCGATCGACCCTCATTTCGTGCGAAAGGGTTGCTCCAGGACAAGTCAAATCGCAATTTTACCTCAGTTTTTGCCGATCGACCCTCATTTCGTGCGAAAGGGTTGACGTTTCGTGACTCGCCGCCGGCACCACCCTCGGCCTTAAGAGAGAAAGATAAAAAGAAGGCGTGAGAGAGAAGGTGAGCAGGTGTGAAGATAAGAAGATGTGAAGATGAGCAGATGTGAAGATGAGCAGATGTGAAGATGAGCAGATGTGAAGATGAGCAGATGTGAAGATGAGATGAAGAAGATGTGAAGATGAGCAGATGTGAAGATGAGCAGATGTGAAGATGAGCAGATGTGAAGATGAGCAGATGTGAAGATGAGCAGATGTGAAGATGAGAAGATGTGAAGATGGGAAGGTGTGAAGATGAGCAGATGTGAAGATGGGAAGGTGTGAAGATGAGCAGATGTGAAGATGAGAGGATGTGAAGATGAGAGGATGTGAAGATGAGCAGATGTGAAGATGAGAGGATGTGAAGATGAGAGGATGTAAAGATGAAAAGATGTGAAGATGAGAGGATGTGAAGATGAGATGTGAAGATGAGAGGATGTGAAGATGAGATGTGAAGATGAGAGGATGTGAAGATGAAAAGATGTGAAGATGAGAGGATGTGAAGATGAAAAGATGTGAAGATGATGAGAAGATGTGAAGATGAGAGAATGTGAAGATGAGAAGATGTTTTACAGACCCCCACTATTGGAAGAACCCTGCGCTCAGACGCTCTCGGGAAAAATAGTTTCCAATTTAGTTTTTTTTAACCAAGGGGGAAGTTTCGCACCCTCATACTAAATACCCACTAAATACAAAAAACTATTCCGTGTGTTCATTATTGGGTGGGGAGGGGCAGACGGTTTATTATGACGCAGGGATTGGTCAGGCATCACTTGCTGGAATTATTGGATTCTTTTGGGATGATTGGTATGATGTTTAGTCAGGCATGGTTCCCTTCAGTCATGCACGATTTTTGCAAAAATCCTATTTAGGCACGACCCCAAAATCCCAGCCCGGCAAATTCCGGCCCGGGCCCGGCAAATTCCGGCCCGCGCCCTGCAAATTCCGGCCCTGCGTTTTTCCAAAATCAGGCAAAACCAGTAAATCAGGTATTAAGTCAGGTGTAGTTACCTTTTAAGTCATTAAAGCTAGTCAGGCATGGTTCCAGTGGGTACCTTTTAATTGTGAAGGCTAGTCAGGCATGGTTCCCTTAATTCAGGGGCATGGGTACCTTTTAATTATGAAGGCTAGTCAGGCATGGGTTCTGTTAAGTCAGGCGTGGGTGGGTACCTCTTAATTATGAAGGCTAGTCAGACATGGTTCCCTTAAGTCGGGTGTGGTTACGCTTTAAGTCATGAAGGCTAGTCAGGCATGGGTACCTTTTAAGTGATGAAATCTGAATCAGGCGGAGCTCCTATTCTAAATGTGTTAAATCCAATTGTTCAGTGTGGAAAATCGATTTTTTGGCTGGTCTACGGGCAAACCCTGTGTCTTCCAATACCATAGCGTGCTGATGTCGCTTACCTGCATAATAGTTAAGGCCAAAGCTTAGGTCATCAGTAGGATCCTAAAATGGCGCCACGACCAAGAAGATGACATGTGTAAAATGAGCCCTGGATTAACAAAGGCTGACTAATGAATTTGGAGGATGCCACTAAAGTATGACATGTAATCACTTTTAAGGAGCACTCTATGGCACGCAGCGCGCGCAGCCTGCTTTACGGTTTAGCGTTTGAAAGTTTTAGGCTTTGTCTCTATGGCACGCAGCGTTTGAAAGTTTAACCGTTTACCTCTATGGCAGGCTGTGCGCGCAGTACGCGTTACGGTTTAAAGATTGAAAGTTTTAGGGTTTATGTGTGTGGCACGCAGTGCGCGCAGCGCGCATTAGGGTTTAGGGTTTGGAAGTTTTATACTTTATTTTATTGTATGCAGCGTGCACGGTCGCAGGGTTCCAAGGTTCCAGGGTTCCAAGGTTGCAGGGTTCCAGAATCCTTGAGGGTTCCAGGGTGCCAAGGTTCCAAGGTTTCAGGGTTCCACGGTCGCAGGGTTCCAAGGTTCCAGGGTTTCAGGATTCCAGGGTTCGGGGTTCCAGGGTTCCAGGGTTCCGGGGTTCCGGGGTTCCAAGGTTTCAGGGTTCCAGGGTTCCAGGGTTCCAGGGTACCAGGGTCCCACGGTTTCAGGGTTCCAAGGTTTCCAGGGTTCCAAGGGTTCCAAGGGTTCCAAGGGTTCCAAGGGTTCCAAGGGTTCCAAGGGTTCCAAGGGTTCCAAGGGTTCCAAGGGTTCCAAGGGTTCCAAGGGTTCCAAGGGTTCCAGGGTTTCAGGGTCCCAGCAGGGTGCCAGGTGTGCAGGGTTGCAGGGTTCCAAGGTTCCAGGGTTCCAAGGTTGCAGGGTTCCAGAATCCTTGAGGGTTCCAGGGTGCCAAGGTTCCAAGGTTTCAGGGTTCCACGGTCGCAGGGTTCCAAGGTTCCAGGGTTTCAGGGTTCCAGGGTTCCGGGGTTCCAGGGTTCCAGGGTTCCGGGGTTCCAAGGTTTCAGGGTTCCAGGGTTCCAGATTTTCCAGGATTCCAAAGTTCCAGGGTTCCTTGGTTTCAGGGTTCCAGGGTTCCAGGGTTCCATTCCGGATTTTGAAGGCTGCAAGTCCCCGCGAGCCAGCCCCAGCCCTAGAGATTGAAACCCAACAGGCCCTGCTGTTGGGAATTGATCAATCATCATTTTCCCTATTGAACACTATTAGACTGGGCATTTGAGGGATCAATTGAATCAATCGCCCATTTTCAGACACACCCAGATGGTCATTCCAGGGGATGGTGACACCTTCAGCTGCTGTGAATGCGAATTGCACGGCACGGTGGTACCGTATGGCCCGTATGGCATTACACCGGTCCAAGCCTGAAAAGGCTCATGAATCAAATGACATGCTCTTTCCTCTTTGATATCTTTGAAACCAAGTGTTGTCCTGGAACCCCACTTCCAATCATGTATTAGCCGTGGACACCTTCGGCTCCCAGAGTTTGTTTTGTAGGGATTCTTCACTGCCATAGGGAAAGAACCAGGGCTATTTCTGGTCCTTTGAGTCCTTTGGGGTTCCAGCTGGAATGTTCACACAACCTACAGGACACCAGCTGGTCACCAAGCCCATCCCATCAGTCTTGGCCAAGAAACCCAATGTGCGGGGACGGCTAAGGGCATACACATTGCGACCCATTTTCAGCGGGGAATTCTTCGTCAGTTGCTTGGTCCTATGGATTCCATGTTGATCCTGTTGGTTGGTCAGGTGAGCGTAATCATCGATGTTCATATCAAAGAGTGTGCACCTTGCGTTGTTGGATCCTGCGATATTCGGAAAACCCTTTCCTGATGATTTATTGCTGCAAAAACCATGTCACTGCTCCTGTGCTCTTTATTAAACATGGAAACCAACATCTTCGTCATGTTTTGCTCAGCATGAATCAATGGGCAGCTGGCAACCCAGCTCCAAAATTGGCTGCCAGGTTCCGGGATCGATTGTCGGCCAAGTGGTCTTGGGCGCAACTTGCCAACACCTTTGGTGCATCTGAAGTAACAAAAAAATCCAACCTGTTTAGTTTTGTCAACTTGGGAGTTTGCTGAACTGCATCAAACTCGTACTCAAGATCCACCTTTATAATCCTTTACAAAGATCCTTTGAGAATGCTTTCAGAAGAGCATTCCCAACAACCCCTCCAGACATCCCTGCCATTCACTGCACTCCTCTGTTGTCCTACGCAACACCACAGTGGGTATTAAACTGGGGTTCGCTCAAGGTCAAACAATTTTCTTGTGCCGAGCTGGGCCCGGTCTGGGGATAAGATCAGTGCCAAAGTGAGAGATCTATAAGATCTAAAGAATGCCATAAAGACCGTTCGAAACCGCAGGCTTTCAGCTGGGCCCTGATCCGAAAATCTCCGAAAAATATGTGTCTCCGCACCAAGGGGTGCGGGTATCCTCAACGGAGGAGCAGCGTGGCGCCGGGGAAGCGCTTCAAGTTGTATCTCAGTTCTCTGGATCCAAAGGCATTCCTGGCATCGTGAAGGCTTGGGCTTGGTGTGGCTCTGGGGACCCCCGGAAACTGGTGGGGAAATGGTGGAAAATGGTGAGACAATTGAAGGAAAATGGTGGAAAATGGTGGGAAAATTGTGGGAAAATGATGAGAACACCCATAAGTTGAAATATGATTTGGGTTCCTACCCTTCAAGAGGGCCCTTGAATCACTGGTTATTTTTGATTGCGATCGCCCTTGTACCCTGTTTGGGGGACCCTCATAATAACTTGATCGAGCATGGTTCGGAATGATGAAAAGTAATACCCCTGTCCAACCAAAAGATTAGCAAGTAGGCTATGACCCAATATTCTGCGAAAGTTCTGCCCAAACCTTCACCAAAGTCATCACAAATCTCGTAAAAACTGCCACCCCACGTTTCTTGGATATCTGAAACCAAAGCTACCTGGTGATTTAAGGGTTACGAGTAGCTGCGTATGTATACTCATCATTGTCCTTGGCTGCTGTGCTCCCCAAAAGCCACTACTTAGTTAACCCTGGATTCATAAACCACTAGTTCATCGGATGGTACCATTTAGAACAGGAACTGTCACTCATTTGGGGACTCCCAACTATAAACTGGGGAAGTTACATATTCTTCTGGTGTGCAACCCCCATGGTAAGCTCCAATTTGGGATGGAAAAATACATAAAAATACCAACCATTTCTGGTAGAATTGCATGAAACCTTCCCCTCTAGAACCTGCCCAGCAACTAGCTGGGTTTGTCCAAAAGTGGGTTGCCCAATAATCTACAGAAATGGTTTTGAAAATAATGTACCTTATTCAATGGCAGCTTTTGGTGCAAATTCCCCAGCTCCGGACAAGTTGGTTCCCTCCCACTTTTTGTGCTTCAAAGCCCAAATATCACATTGTTGAGGCAAAAATGATTTCCATTGATTTCCCAAAGACTGCCATCAATTCAATTGTTACATTGACCAAGTCTTGTACCTATGTCTAATACCTATCAGTTTTTTGTACCCTATCTCTGATGGTCTATCATGTGGTCTTGAAATTCTCAATAGTTCCTATCCCCTAGCTCATTAGCTCCCTCCAAACCACCCCTGGCTGGTGGTTTTAAGCCATCCCAAAAAATATGAGTCATCGCAACCAATCATCTCAAGTATGGTTGAAAAACAATAATACTTGCAACCCCCAACCAGCTACTCGTCTACATTATATGTTAAAATATAGATATGTACGCACATATGGATGATCTGGGACATACCTGAACCCCCACGAGGGCCGCCTTTCCGAGAAGATCCGCACGGGATCGTTCAGCTCGTCAAAGGCTTTCCTCTCCTCAAGGAGTCCGTGGTTAGCTCGGTTTTGCCCGCAAAAATGAATGAATTGACCCACCAAAACTGTGACTTAAGCCCCAAAAATGTGAATTTGACCTGCATAAATGATGATTCGGCCTCAGAACATGCGGATTTCACCCACAAAAAGTGTGATTTGACCCGCAACAATTGGGGATACCTGCTGGGAGTCAGGCTGGAAAATCCCCGCGTTTGATGGGCAAATCCTCTTTAAAAAATGGGAGATTACCTTCATGGAGTGGAGTACCAATGGGTACCATCCAGGCTGGGGGGGTGGCGCAGTGGTGCACTCTGTACAGGGCGCTTCGCAACAACAGCGTGGAATTGGAAAGAACATGAAAGAACTATGTCGGAGCACCACCAACAGCATAATCCACACCAGAACAGAACAGTCTCACCCTCCAGACTTCCAAGAAAAACACAAAAAAAAACTCCGTGATGCTTTTGGGAAGAAATGTCATCAATCTGTGGTTCAGTTCAGGAAGATGGGAAACCTGTCTGGCACCAAGTAATACCAAGGTGCTGCAATCCAGTACTCACTGCTCTCCAGTTCATCATCTTTCAAAGGCAATGGTGGAAGGAATTCCACCTCGGTGAGATGGTCGTCCCCAATTCGGATCAATTTGGTGTGTCTTGTCCGTCGCTTCACCATGACAATGAATTCTGCTGACATTTTTATGTCTCCACAGATGCTGTGAATGGCGAAATCTTCTGAGCAGTCTATGTGTATATATATATATATATACATAATGTATATATATATATATGTATAATTATATATAATATATATATATATATATATGTATATAATATATAATATATATATACATAAAGTGGAAGATATCCACCTGTAGGATCTTGGAGGGTGCCCAAATGATTCCCATCCATGGAACGCTCGGGACTCGCAGTCACGCCAAGAAGCATCGGTCTGCTTGGCACCTCCTGCTTCCTTGGTGGCTGGAGGCATCCCAGATTCATTGCTTTCCCACTGCAGAATTTCTTGGTTTCCTGGTTTCCCCTGCTTTTCGTATACATCATGACATCCATCCTTCTCTCAGCAACTCCCGGTGCACCGTCAGGCCAAGGAGCATTGCAAATCTGGAAAAACTTGTTGAGCTCGGTGAGGCTCCGCCTCCGCCCGGATGACGAGCTGCGAGAAGACCCATGGAAGACTCCAACAAAGCCCAGTGGATTATCCCTCAACCAGCACAACGCTAACCAAACATTTTCGAGGTCATTGGCCCCCCTCTTCTCTCACCTTTACTATCCACAGAAATAGTGGGGGGACGCTATCCATGCACCTGTAGAGCTTGTCAGCCGCCACCGCGTCCTTCTTGGTTTTCAAGGATGTACCTTGGAAAGTTCACCCAGACGGGGAAGCTCCAATCCTAAAATAGAGGTAAGTTTTACCTTTTCTCTATCTGTTTCTGGGGTTACTATATCTATCCAAAAGAAAACATGTGTTGATTTCAAGAAAACCGTTAAATCCTCCCAAGAACGAAGGGAGAACTGTTCTATCTTTGTCGGACAGCCTTTACACCCAGAGCGAGGCCTTTGAGCCTTTGTTTTACCCAGGGGCCCTCAATTCTGCAACCAACAATGGGTTTACCATGGAAAAATCACCCTATATATCCCATCCCACTGGTTGTAGGTTCATCCCTATTTCACAGCCAATCTACAGGCAATTTTTACATGTTTCAATTCCTTCCCCCTCCCACCCCTTTAAAAAGAAAGCCTGCAGTGCCCTCGTCTTGCCACTAAGACGCCTAGTTCCTGCATGGTCTGCTGGAAGGACCCTGCCACCTTCCGGGCATCCTCTATCTCGGCAACAGGGCGGTGGAGCGTCAAGTTCCGTGGGGTGAATGGGGCCCCTCATCCCCACATGAATGGAGTTCCTTATAATTGGCGTATTCAGATTCAGCCTTATCAATGGGGGAACGACCATTCTGAGATCCTTGGTGGGAAAATAACCATGTTTGATGATGTACATCAGCATAATCCAAGAAATCGGGACATCCCAACATTGTCCCAACATTCATGATCTCTAGAGGTAAAGTCAGGGTCCTTTTTTTGACTGGGTCGTGATCTGGCCCTTGATGTGCTGCGACCACATTGTCGGTATCAACATGTATCAACTATCCCTGATGTGGGAGCTGGAGCACTATCAAAGAATCATACCCCGTATATTCACCTTATAGCCACTCAATTCACCCTTCCGGAGTAAGGGTTGCCCCCAACGCCCCAGATACCAGAAGGGAGAGGAAATGAAGAGGTGGCAATCCTCCACCGATCATCACCGATCCAACCCTGTGGGAACATCGCCAAGTTGCATAATTGGAATCCGGATCCCAGACTTCGGCACCAACAATCCTCATGGGCTGGTACCCCTGACCATCATTCATCAGCAGAGTTTCAAGGGGCACAAGGGAAAGGGGTCAAAAACAGCCAAATTTGTACAGTGGTACATCCAGCCTCGATTGGTGGAAAGTTTTCTAGGAGCGTATGTTGTCCACTTTTGCAAGGAGATGAAGGATGAATCATTTCGTCCATTCAGATTGCAGAAATACTGAAGCAGGGTGCCAGTTGTGTACCCATATGGCCCATATCCCAACTATGGCTCCGTTTCGAATTTTGAGTACCAGTACGGTCCCAAAGGTTTTTTGCCTTTGTTGATCGTTCTGCATTCAACTCTCAAGTCCTGAGGGTATAGGCTATAGGTATTCGGCAAAAGCCTGATAAGCAGCGAAAATTCCGTAAATGGATGTAAATCGATGTCCATCACCGCTGGTCTCATATTGCCTAGTACCCATGCCCAGTCAGGACCCAGACCCTCACCATGTGCCCTGGTGTTTTGAGGGCGGCACAGGAACATCGGAGTGGTCAGCGCACCTTGGTGTGAAAGGCGACACTCAACTGGCGTGTCATTGTGCAGCTGACATTGGTAGAACACCACCGGAACTCAATGACGTGTTCACTTGAAGGAGATTCAACATGCCAAGTTCATCATTGATTGGCCAAAATCCCTATGTCCCAGGGACAAATCACCATTGAGAAAACACCGAGCTATAGATAGCTAGCTACCAGCCCAACTAACATAGACCCTGCCACTTCTTGTTTCGCCAAGCGGCGCTCCACTTGTGAAAGGCCACCCTGTCTTGGACCACCTGCCAGGGCGCAATCCAACCCCTCCAAGTGTGGTTTTAAAAATGAGCAAATATTTGGCAAATATATACTCGTCAAATGACTGTGATTCACAGAAATCTGATACTTGCAGTCATAGTCCCAGCAAACTACCCCTTAGTAAAATTTTGCCAAAGTCAAAAAAACTAGAACTAATACTGACTATGGGAAAATACTACTATTAGGATGTTTATTGGTTCCCAAATACTATAATATTAGCAGGTGTTATACCTTCATACGAAAAGAATCTACATGATATATCCATATCCCAAAAATACGAGGGTTTGCCCAATAAACTATGGGATAATATACTATAATTCTTGGGTTTCCTAAACGATTCCCCTGGGGCCATAACCTGCGCTGACCAGGCTTTGCAGCTCGGTGAGGGCCTGACAGTGGGAAAATGCTGGGATTTCTATGGGATTTCTAGGGGATTTCTATGGGATTTCTATGGGATTCTACGGGATCTAAATGGGATTTAGGGTTAGGAGGTGTGTTATAATCCGAGTTACAAGTCGGGTAAGTAGGCTTAGTCCGCATATAAGTGAGGTTATACCCAACTTGCGATTCCAGGGTGCAAAAAAAGAACATAAGATCACAAGGTCCAGTTTGGTATGGCACAAATTTCATGAAAACAAAAAACAAAATGGGTGGCTTCAAGATCCTAAAGAGTTAGCACATTTGTGGGTCCATTCAATGGGATGGGATAGTTGCCATCCCAGCCATCGATTTGGAGGACCACGACCACGGTACATGAAACAAATAGTGGCAGTAGAAAACCCAGGGTGTCAAGAGTTTGTATCTTGTTTCACATTTGAAACATGTAACGACTGGAAAAGAATATCTTTGATGTTGATGTTGATGTTGTTGTTGATGATGATGATGATGATGATGGTGATGGTGATGGTGATGATGATGATGATGATGATGATGATGATGATGATGATGATGATGATGATGATTATGATTATGATGATGATGATGGTGATGCTGATGCTGATGCTGATGCTGATGCTGATGATGATGATGATGATGATGTTGATGATGATGATGATGATGATGTTGATGATGATGATGATGATGATGCTGATGATGATGGTGATGGTGATGGTGATGGTGATGGTGATGGAGATGGTGATGCTGATGGTGATGCTGATGGTGATGCTGATGCTGATGGTGATGGTGATGGTGATGGTGATGATGATGATGATGATGGTGGTGATGATGATGATGATGATGATGCTGATGATGATGCTGATGGTGATGGTGATGATGATGATGATGATGATGATGATGATGGTGATGATGATGATGATGATGATGAAACTTGAATGACTCTAGATGACTCTAGATGACTCTAGATGACTCTAGATGACTCTAGATGACTCTAGATGACTCTAGATGACTCTAGACGACTCTAGTCACATGGGGTTTACCAAATGCCTACAGTACAGTACAGGTCAGACTCATCCAGCCCCATCCTGCCTTCCCAGCACTGCACAATCCACCGCCGCATTCATCGTCGGTGATCTCGGTGACAACGACGTGACGTGGCTACATGTGGTCCAGATGACACCTCCCATTGTTGATACATCAACCTATCAATCCCCCAGTCTTTAAGCCTCGAACCACCATTTTTAATGGTTCAAAGTCAACAACTTCTGAATCTGGTTTGCGACAGTCTCCCACAGTGAAACTCTTGACTCTCCGCCTTCAGCCCATCTGGAGCATTCTCGCCCCCTCCCCTGGCCGAGTGGCAACAATAAACAAGCGGCAAGCGTAGCCTACTGTATGTGATTCGACATTGCAACGGGCAAATCCCGTGTTCATCTCCAAATGAGTTTGAAGAAGTGATTCTTCATTGCTGGTTTGGTCACTCTTTCCATTGCGAGTTGGGAGATCCATCTTTGAGGTTTACGAACTCTGCTTCATCCAGGTATGGGAGGATCATTCAAACATACTGTCCTCCAATCAAAATGACAGATCTGTTATAGGACTGCTAAATTCCTTCATCTTTACAGACAGACCCACCTTTGATCACCTTTGTCCCCTCTTGAACGGCTTGAACGCCTCCCCAGCAGCGGCGCCTCCTGACAATGTCTCCCACGAAGAAACGATACCACTCCGCAGATTCACGGAGTCCGACCACCTTTCGCAGCTGACTTTCGGTTACCCAGCGGCCAAAGCAGTAAAGTGTCTGTGCCGGTTTGAAAGAAAACACTTTCCTTCAATCTCTCACGGGTCTAGGTCCAACATGGGTCAAAATTATCCACCACCAATATCAATGGGAATTTCAGGATCCTAAAATGGAGGTACTGTACCATATAAGGCCATATTTTGGGGGGATATTCCCTTACATAGGCCTTACATAGGCCTTATATATGGTAGGTACGTCCAATTTAGGTTCCTGAAATGGCCGTTGACAATAATACAGATGGTTTTATAATACTGATTGCTAAAAATCACTAAGGTCCGGGGTTGGGGGCCTCAACTTTTTTGGCCCCCATTCCACTTCAGGGACTCAGCCCACCGAACGCCTTGCCGCGGTACAGCGCTTCCCGTTGTTCAGGGCCTTGAAAGTGCTGCAGTGCCATTAGGTTCTGATCAATCCTTGCCCCCCACTATTAAATACTTCATGCAACCCCAAAAATGAAATAGATCCGGTATGATCCAGCACCCTACACACTCTCTTTGGGGGGGGGTACTTCTTGTACCTTTCTTTGTGGCAAGGAAAATATGTGGTGGGTATCACTTCCACTCAGTTTCTGGTGAAGTCCGCCAGCTGCCGCCAAGAGTCCTTCTTGCGCCACCGCAGCTCGCAGAGTCCACAACGGTCCCACGCCCAGGACTGATGCAGAAAGCAGCGCTCGTCGGGGTAGGACCTGCCAGCTGAGGCGAACCCAGAGGTTCCCCAGGGAGTCACCACCTGGATCTGTCCATGTCTGATATCTCAATTGATTGTCAGTTTAAAAAGGAAAAATGGGAAACACGCTGACAAACCATCAAATTTGAGGGTACTCTGTTTAAAACAAACACATATGAAAGCGTATCATATCAATCCGTATCAAAAGTCCATCAAACCCTTCTTGTTTGGTCGCAAACGATATCCTCATTGACCGTTTTTGAAACGTGAATTTTGTGTTGGTTAAGATCCCATGTTTTGCTTTGAATCCCTAAGTGTTGTTTAGAACCTGATGTTTTGTTGCTACAATCCAGTTTGTTGTTGGTTAACTCCTCCATATTTGTCCATCATTTTCAAACAAACCCAAATCCACTATTCATTGGCTCAATCTCTATTGTTGATGGGAAAATCACCATCTTTGCTCGTTGAGTACCAATTGTACATAGATTGTTTAACAATAATGCATCATTCATAAATCCACACCAGACTCATGTATTATTGATCATTTTCAATGAGTTGTAATGATTATCCACAACATCCACACGATAATAGGAAATGTATCATGTGGTTAAAACAATAATAAACCATCCCCCAGTCATCACCATTTTTATAGGTGGTATGGAAATCCCATTCCCAGTCATGGGTGGTTCATGGTATTGTTTTACCCACATGATAATATCCATTACAACCTATTGTTGTTGGTGAAACCTCTATTTTTGTTGGTAAATACCACAAACCATCAACTTATTTTGAACCCCATCCAAAATCCGCACCAGCCCCGCCTCGGCTGGTGACCCCGTCCACGTCTTCCCAGGCTGCAGTCCCAGCACCAGCAGCAGCAGTCCCGCGCAACGCCGCAGCGCCTTGGCTCATTGCATGGTGGCTTAACGGGATGGGGATTTCATATGTGTCAAAACCAATAGTACCCCTGTAGTTCACATCAAAATAGCTGGGATTTATGGATGTTCATCCCCCTAACAATGATATCTATAGGTATTGATCCATAGCCATATAACCCAACAATATTATATTGGCAACTGTTTTAATATGTCTGCCTTTCCAAAAATGATCCAGAGATATAGTATGTTGAATGTATTTTGCTGGCCAATGATGTTGAGGCCACCCATTTGAGGTGTCATCCCAAACGGGAGTGAAAGAAATGCGAAGCGGCCAGAATGATTATCCGAATCCAACATGTTTGGCACTGGTACCACTACATGCTACATAGAGGTCACTAAAAAGGCAGCCCTGTTCCCTCAACGCGGCCCCAGTGGCTGCGAGAGAACGCAGCCCGTGGTCAGGCGTCATGGCTCAGCGGCTCAGCGTTGAGATCTGGTTCTGCCACCTGTTGATCCTCCGACCTTGACCTCGTTGATCCGACCAGCAATGGATGTTTCCATAGTTTTCCCATTAAAAATGGTGGATCTTTCCATAGTTTTGGATGTTTCAGTTCCAGCTTTGGGTTATTGCTGGTCGTACGACTATCGAGAAAAGGGGTTTTTCAGTGACTCCCATGCAGATTCGTGAAGTTGGAACGGCTCTGATGTTTCCAAAAGGTACGGATGGTACGGATGACCTAATCTGGTCCTTGACAGGGCTCAATCTTCAAGGCCTCAAAGGAAGTAGCTATACTGTGTTTCATCCATTGCACCTACTGGAAGATGCTGGTGCAAAGCGTCTTGAAACCAAACAGCGGCAAGTCCCTTCCAAAAAATCATCAAGCCAACGCCCAAAGCTGAAGATTTGTGGATAAAACATGATAAAACATGATTTAAAAAAACCCTCCTTCAAATGGAACGCATGGCTTGACGCCAACAGAATCCACCATCACCACCTCAGCTCCCATCTCTAAAAAGGTGTCACCATCTGTCACCTGCGTTTTTTGAGATCGCATCTGGTTGATCATGCACTAACAACCTAGGCTTCCCGCGAGATTCCCACAGAGGCCCTATAGGGAAACGGGGCCTTTCCGTGGCAAAGCTCGCAGGCTGGGCGATGCACACAATTTCGAACGCGGGTTTGACCAACGCCGAAATGGTGCAGAAGACGTCGTCAACTGAAATGGCAAAGGGTTGACCCTGTCATTGTCGAATGCAGAAATGTGGTAACCCCAACAATAACTAATTGGATGTTTTATAAATTGGGTTACCTCAATTCCATGGTGTCATTCCACCTTCATGTTCGTGGAGACATGTAGACTTTGTCGACTTCCTCCGGCCAAACCTCAGCCAGATCGGACGATGCTATTCCAGGGGCCAGGCCCCAAGTCACCCTCTCCGATTCGCCGCTGGGTCGATTCCAAATCACAGGAAGAAGTGGCTCAGGGAACGTCCGAAGCACGTCAACTGTTTTTGAGTCCTGAGGTTAACAATGTTTAACTTAGCCCTTGATAATCCTGTTACTTATAGTGAAGTCCTTAAATTTGACCTTGGACAACTTATTTCTATTGTTTGAAGCCAACCTATGTTATACCTTTGTCAGTCTATGTATGGTTCTCATGGTTCACCCATGTCACTCCAAGCCAGTGTTTATCACTTTAGTTCCCATTTAATATTGGGAGAACCCCATGACATTCCCATGAATTGTTGGCTATTATATTATATACCTATATATATATATATATATATACGTCTACCCATATGTTTGATCAGTTTTATTTAATATATATATATAACCATATCCCGTATTTCTATGTATTTTTCATGGTTACTCTTGCTTAAACCACCCAGGTGTCCTACCAAAACCCACACGCCATGGCTATCTATCTATGATCCACTTCTCCACGGCACGACCGCGGCACGGAACCCTCAGTGGTCGTCTGTCACTTCCACAAGCAACGTACATTGGCCCTGCAGCGAAATCCATCGTAATGGTGGTTTATGATAGTTATTTATGAAAGACATAGCTATCATTCAGACTATGATAGTGATTTTATAACAGGATTATTATAGTGGTTTATGATAGTTATTATAAGTATATAATAGTGAGATTCTAATTTTGATCCTCCCCAGGTCCAGTAAGAGTCACCACATGTTTTTCACCACAAGAAAGTTGGCACAAGAGTTAGTTGACCATAAAAGGACCGGAGTAAATCTACAGTAACAGTGATTTAACCACCAAGAATTGGACAGCTATGGATACCTAATGATAACTTTGGAAAATGGGGATCCAAAATCAACCATAAGTCCAATGAATGACCTTTCTTTGGTTGAAATTTGACCCGTCCAAATTTCAAATGTCACACACGGATCCAGAATGAATGCTTATCGGACTTGGAATGGGTCAAAACCGATGGCTCAGGACATGGACTGGGTGAAAATGGAATGATGTAAGCATCTAAAATGCCTTGAAATCACCAATACATATCAGACTGTTGAATATATATCCCATTAGATCCCACTAAATCCAATTGAATCCCATCAATTTTCAGGTCTATTCTGGGCTTTGTGCAGCGGCATCCCAGCCACCTTCAGGCCGGCAGCTGCTAGGGTTTGTTCACGGTCCTGATCAAATACAGAGCTGGGAAGCCGTCAGCAATGTGTCGGTGGACAAGCCACAAGAATATTTAGTAACTCCCAGGTAGAAAAGTCATGTCCAATAATTTTTCATGAATTGTAAGTTTTATGGATTTTATCTGCGCTACCTTTTACAAGAACGGAAGAAACAGAGATGAACCAGAAAATGTGGCAACATCAACCATGCAAATATCAAGAATGGACAAAGGTTGAGTCAGACTCCCCATGAACTCATTGCGGGATTTCTCTTCCAAAATCTACAACAAAACCATGGCGCTACCAGCCATGTTCATTTTTTCCTTTGATTAAAAACAAATTTCGAGATAGTACCCGAGTAAAACATAGTCCAACCCCACATTGACACATGTCGACAAGAACCCGCTTGAATCAGTTGCTCATATCTCCAACATCACAAACCAGCAGCTATGGTTTCCATCCAGAATTTGTAAGTCGCCCCATCCGAGGATATACTAGGGCACAATTCACTTCAATTTTGTCAGGAGCATCATACTCCAGCTGGAATTCCCTAGGTGCTTGCTTCTTGGTGCATCATCCATCTGCAGCCCCTTCAACCCACAAGACTTTGTATCGGTTTCGCCTTTTTCACGAGACGACAGAGCGAATTGGACTTCTGCGAGCTGGGCATTGCAATGATTCTTGGAGATGTTCACCTGCCTTCTTGAGCAACCAAAAGGTTAAATACTATTGAATACTTCCTTTTTGGAGTCACACTCTACATTAATCAAGCAGCTGTTCAATCTTGGGTGAAATTTACCAAATTCACAGAAATCCAGTGTTTCACTGGGCAGCAATCTTTGCAACACCAGGCATGAACTCAGTGAAACTCTTTGTCATGCCCAACAGCTCAGAACAGCTCGACCTCACCGTGGCGGCAGCCCATCGCGGATGTCTCCCAGGCACCACGGCACCGAGCCCTCGGCGCCGTGGCTGCAGCCCGTGAGGCCCATCGAGGTCGAGTGCTGGGCCTCCGCGTGCCTGGGGTCGGCGCCCTGCTCCAGTAAGACGCGCGCCTGGGGACAACGGCAGGGGAAGTTGGCGGTTGAGGTTGTGTGTTTCTTGAAATAAAGTCTAGATACATAGTAATAGTAACATAATGTTACATAGTTGATTGAGAATGTATTGACTAACAAAGGTCGTCTTCTCAATGGAAACCTAGATGCTCGCATTCCTATACCCGTTTTCCCAACCCCTGAGTCGCACACAATGCCAGTGTGACCAGCATTGCAGGCTGCCATCAGACAGGTTTGACCATCATCATCTTGCGTTTCCAGATTTGCTCTGGCTGCACACAGCAGGAGCACAATCTCAGCATGACCCTTGCGGCACGCCACCTGGCTCTTAGAAGTGGCTGGAGACTTGCGTTGCTCAGGCATAAAGTAGCCTTCAAAATTCCTCTCAATTTTGCCCGAATTTTGATGTAGAAAGCCATCAAATTCTCATCAGTACCATACACTGAAAACCCTTCGCAAATGAACCTGCTTCTTTCTGGCCTGCAGAGGCGTCTCTCCGTAGAATTCAGCTTTGTCAATGTCGCACCTTGACGTGGCACCGGTCGATAAGGGGAACCAAGTTGACAGTACTGAATCAACCCAAAGAAGGGGAACTGGGTTTGTCCAACAATGGGGTATACATGTACCCAAAAATTGCTGTTTAAATCGGATGACGAAAATGCATCGACATAACACCACATCCCATCAGTGCGGAAGAAAAGCTCACAACAACCAAAAACACCAAATTGCCAAACAACTAACATGCAGAAGTCTAGAGGTGGAAGGTTCGCGAACTTTGTGACAACCTGTCTGATAGCACGTTGCCTCTGCTCCACCAAATGCTGAGCCACTGCCAAATGTCCTGTGATCATCAACACGCAACCCCTGCAGAGCAGCATAATCCACTTGGCACTTGAGCACACGTCAAAGTTATCCAAACTACCCTCTGGTTATTTAACATAGCCACCTAGCTATAAAATGGGTGGATTTTCCATGACAAACTGTTAGTCATAACCACGTGGTAATACCAGAAAATCATCTCCAAAATCTCCAGAGGCCGCATCATCCCATCCCAACCACTGGAGCGCGGCGCGCCGGATCCTCCGTCGGCAGCTTGGAGCAGCGGCGTCTGCTCATCAGCGCCTTCCAGATCCGGATCTGCCTTGGCCTTCAACAGCAGCTGAACCTGGCAGCGATCTGTGGATGTTTTCACAATCCATGAGGGGAAGAAAGGACAGCGATTGTTCTCAGATTTTGTTTGGGGGAGACTGGATGGATGGATGGCAAAGGGTGTTTTCACAAGTGTTGGGACTTGCAGACTTGCAAAAGATCTTTCTGAGGACTTTTCGGGCAAAAGTGGTCAACCTTCGATTTGCTGCCCAAGACTTTACTGCACGCAAATCAAAGGAGGATCACATCGTTGGCAACCCCTTCCTACCATTCATGCTATTGTAGCAGGTATGAGAGATGGTCTGCTACTTATTACTGACAAAAATGTCATAATATAGTAATATATAATACATGGCAGGCGCACATCCCTATGCTTGACCTGCAAAATCAGAATAGAAATGCGAATTTCCATTGCCTAAGTAAGTTCATCATCTCCAGCTGTGAAATCACTAGAAACCCCCATGTTTCTTGAGGACATCCTCCATCGCTTCCACCGAGGCACCAGAGGCAAACGCCCTGCGGAGGCCGCCATGCACAGCGCCGTGCCGCCGCGTTCGTCCTGCATCTTGAAAATGTCCATGCTTTTGTTTGGTCCAATCCATTTTTTGACAGGAACACTTATATATTCTATATATATATACATACATATGTACATATGTATATACATATATATATATTGTGGATTGACCACAAAGGTAGGGAACTGAGATGATCCAAGCGGATTCCAACGTCAGAAGCTGTATGGATGGTGTTGACTCCCTGATCACCGTGATATGAAAGGTCCCCTGAACCAACAGTAATGAGATTTCTCCAGTAGATTGGCCACGCCTATGGCTCACACAACCTATCCGCCCCAAGCGCTGCAAGTGGCTTTTTCCTGGACCACACCTGCTGCAGCAAACCCCTCGCTTGGGCCTTTAAAGTGGCCACCGGAACAAGGTTGCAAACCCACTGGATTGAATGTCGGACATGAGGCATGTAGACAAGACCCCCTTGGCAGCTGGCATATGGATATGCAGGAAATTGGAAATTCACACTCCCAAAATTTCTTTTTTATTTCAAGAGTTGAACGTAAACAGACAAAACTTACCTAAGTGGATCGGTTGTAGGCTTCGGCGTTTGACGATTGATCTTTGGCAACTGCATTGGACAGCCAGGTTTTGAAGGCTTTCCGGTCGGCTCTTTGCTTTAAGGTTTCATCCATGTCATGAAGGCAGCATCTGCGATGTTGAAGAAATTCACGAATTCGAAAACAGTCCATGACCTTGGTAAGTGCATCTGACAGCTGGGCCGCACTGTGGACCCAGTAGGGTTTGATTCCAGAGTTCAAGTGACTTTTGATAACAAGTGCTTCAATGAGTGTACGATGTTCTTGGCATTGAGGAGTGGTATTCTTTGTTATTGCATCGAATAAGGATTTACAATCAACAACGGCAATGCTGGGATGTGTCTCATGCCATACTTTCTCAGGAGTCTGCCAAGGAATGTTAGGATTTTTGATCCATTCCCAGGAGAGTCGCCACCAATTGGTGAGATCCACAGAAGAAGACAGAGCATAGGTCTCTGCGGCTAACGTACTCGCAACTACCCGGTCTATCTTCTTGGAAAACCAGCAAAGTGGGCTTGCTCTTGCACTCTTTTGAAGAAAGACATCCTGATGAACTGCTAAAAATAATCCTCCCTTCTGACTATGTTGTTTTTCACGGGTAGCAAACGAGGCATCAGAATATGAGACAAAGCGAATATTATCCACATCAATACTGGAAATTGAAATAGTAACAGTTGCATAGTGTTTGGCATCGCCCAAAAGTCTGTTGGCATCCAGTAGATCTCGTATTGTGGCGCAGTTGATCCGAGATTGCAAGAAACTGAGTCGAGCTGATAAGTCTGGTCTGGTGTTTGTGGCGGCATATTGCAAGGATCCAATGATACCTCGCAGGCTTTGACGTTCCCCTTCGGTTACTTCCATTTGTTCATGTTTTCGGCGTGTCCTCTCAATATGAATGGGATCAATGGCGAGGACATAATCCGTTTGATTCAAGTGAATATTGTAGTTTTCATCTTGGTTGATGTGTATTCCCGTGAAAGTGAAGTCCTGTCGTCGTTTGGAGCCAAATGGAAATTTGCTTTCAAGTTGATTCAATGTACATTCAAACGTTTCATCCCCACAACATAGTCCATCATCGACATGCATTCCGATAAGACCATGAACTTGTCCCTGTTTTCCCACCAGGCAAAATAGGCAAGGATCCAAAGGGCTGATCTGAAATTGCAATTCCAGGAGGCTTTCTTTTAGTTCAACATACCATAGGTACGGCGCGTTGACAAGACCATAAGCAGATTTCAGTAATTCGCATGTTTCTGTTTCTTTCATGTTCAGTTTCGCACGAAGTTCTGGTGGAGGCTCAACACCCAGTATCCTGTTATCTCGCCGGGAGCCCCTCAAAAAGGCGGTCTTGACATCAAAGCTCTGAATGACCCAACGTCGTGCCGCACAGTATTGCAGAAGAAGAGCTCGTGATTCTTTCTGTAGTGTTGGTGAATCCCTGGGAATGTCAGTGAGGTCAGGGTCCATGTACCCTAGAATCACGAGTCTAGCTTTTGCTTTGCGGCTTTTCCCTTCTTTTGCTGCATCGATTGGATCGAGATCTTTCCAGGTTAGCACCCATCTGCACTTCAAAATATTGTCTTCAGGAATTTTGTGTCGCAGGATTTTTCGAACTGTTTCAGTGGCTAACCATTGGTCAATCTCTTTGTTCTTCGCAGCTTGGAACTCGGCAAGTTGGCTCGGGGAAAGGTCCTTGAGCTTTACTTCCGCTCTCTGCCTCTTGGCTGCTGAAGCGGCAAGCACCGGAAAGGCATCAGGTTCATTTCCTATGGTTTCCAAATCCCCTGCTGTGAAGAAAATTTCACATTCGAGAGCTTGATCATCTTGCACATGGAGAACATCTTGAAAAGGTTCAGTAGGTTTTCCACCATTCATCATGATTGTAAAAACTGTGATGCCTGTCCAAGGTTCCTGAGTAGTCCAGTGATCATCATCTTTGTTTGAACACCAGCTATCTGTTTTGGACCAAATACCCCCATGTGCATGGTTTCCAGTGGTACATCTAGTCTCCATCACGTTCAGGATGTCTACTGGGCAATCAGCGCAGCTGCTAGGATCAAAGTCGGTCCAGCGCGGTCGATTGTGGATACGGAGAAGTTTGTCACCCTGACACATCCAGACATCTTCAACAACAAAATCATCATCATCACTCGGAACAGGAACTTCATGAGGAGCTGCTGGAATGGGTTCTTCACCTAGATCATCAGAGATTCTATCGTTGATCGGTGTAGTTGGGGTATATCCACTGCTGGCTTGGGATGCTGGTGGCATATTTGGTTCAGAATCAGGCTGTTCCATATTGTCACCTTCCGAGGATATTGTCGGAGGCTCTGGAGGTAATGCCACAGCTGGGGCACTCTCTGATTCTTCCGTTTCAGGAAAATGTGTGGGACCTGCCTGTTGAGTAAGATCTTCATATTGAAAAACTCCCTTACCATGATCTTTGTCAGGAAAGTCCATTCGGGAGGTGGCCAATTGTTCCATGCTTTGTTGGGCTTCATGCAAGGACAAACTTCGAATGTGTTCAGGGGCTACTCTGTATACCCGGCTGGAAAAGGATATCCAGACTACATGGTCAGATTCTTGGATGATGACTCTGGCCGGCCCATGCCATTGGCCACGATATTCACCCTTTCCTGGACGCCAGAACATGACAAAGGATCCACCTATATGTCGACCTCGGTGAGGTCTTTGCCTCCGGAGAAATGCTCTGCGTAGCTTCTCACTGTTGTCAGCTTGTGCAAAAGCCCTGCGAGCACATTCACGATATTCAAGGTGTTTCCTAAAGGCTAGTCCCTCAGGAGTGTCTGATTCATAGAGAAAATGTGATGCTTTGGGCACGTCTTCGCACACGCTTCCAGGTAGGCATTGACTCTTCCCAAGTACTAAGATTTCTGGGGTGTATCCTTTGGACCGGGCTAGAGAGTTCTTTGCATTGCAACACTGTTGGAGGGCTTTCCGAAACTCATCATTGGTGGATATGGTTTGATCCACATCAAATCGCTCTAACATGTGTTGGAGGATATCACCATGACGTTCTGTTTTTCCCAATTGCCAGTGTGCATAGGCTGCCACAACTCTCAAATGAATGTCGCTGCTCTGGGCATGTTTGGTGAATTCATCAGAGCATAGGGCTGATTCGTTGTCCACAACCAGTTGTTTGCATGGACCTGCCCATTTGAACCAGCATTCTTGAATTGTCTCAAACAACGTTGAAGCGTCCGTCTGGAAAACCATGGAGGCCAGTTGAAAATTGGTCGCCATGTCGATCAGATGTACAAATTGAAACACTTTCCCATTTCGGGAGGTCCATGATATTAAGTCGCATCCAACACAGTCATTGAACTCTCGGGGCTCCGACAAGGACGCCGGTCGAGAGATTCTTGGAGCTTGTGTCTCGACACAGGTGCTGCATTTGAAGTTTCCGGCACCCTGAACAATCTCATCAGCAAATCCTTGTTGTTGCAAGACATTTTGAAGTTTATTGATGCTTGGGTGTCCAAGGTTATGGTGAATCTTGGAAAGCCACTGTCGAGTTTTGATGGGTAAAGCTAAAAATCGTGGGCCATGTTGGATTATTGAATCTTGTAGTTGGTCAAGTGTGCTGGAAGGCGGATTGACTGAATCTTCAGGTTGACTGTCCATGGGCAAAACTTCTTCTGGCACTTCTTGCTGTGGTTCATGCGCATTCTTTGAAGGAGGCTTCATTGGATCTCCCTCTGAAGTCAAACGCATTTTCTTGGTCGGTAATTCTGAAACACCTGGTGGGACTTCCCTTTTGTCATTGGCACTAGGGCGGGCAAAAACTGTGATCATTAATCTGGCAGCGGGAGCTTTAGCACAGATCTTTCGAACACTGAGATGTTCCCAGGGTTGCCATGTTCCTGTGTTGAATGGCTCAAGGCCCTGTCTTAGGAGCCCAAACGTCAGTCTAAGGGGAGCCTCATGTGGCATCAATCGAATGGGAGACTGTCGGAAACGGTCCGCCCCTTTGCAAATCTCAAGCACTCGGATCACATGGTTTGGGCAGGCTTCCTGAATACGATCAAACAAAGGACCCTTTTCCAAAACAAGAGTGCCAACTCTGGGAGCAATCTCTTTGGCATCAGCAAGAATAGTAGGGTCCTGAAAAAACTGTGAACTATCGGATTTCATGGAAGGCTTCTGCTCATGTTGTGGTCCTGACAAAGTCTGCACGGCTGCTGGAGGATATCCCGGAGGGTCCGAGACCTTGCCACTCAAACGACGTCGCTTGACTTCTGGCTCAGACTGTTCGTCTAGTGTACCAAAAACAGGTATACTTTGGACTACAGATTTTTCATGGATTTGAAGGCTGGCTTTAATGGTTCGGGCAATTCGGATGCAAAATGTTCTAGTGTACAGTTCTGAAAACTCTGACACATTTCTTCGGGATCCGTCTTTCAAAACAAAGGATCCAGCGACCTGATCATGCTCATGTTGATGATTGCATCTAAAGGTTTCCACATATCTGGCCAGGATGTTTGATGTGGTAAGGATTTGAGTACCCTTCTGAAGCAGCTTGGAACTGATTGGATGGGCCAATTTGCCTGCGGTGCACATGTCACAGCGGACCCGAAGGGATGCAGCTATAACCATCTGCAAACATTCTTGGAACAACATGTCGGATCCTACCGGCTGTTCAAGATGAAAATGGTACTCTGGTCCACAGGACTGTTGCCATTGGAACACGGCAGCACAAAGCAATAGATGAACTAAGTCATCCTCGCGGGCTTGCATCACTCGTTGAGCTGCCTCTTGGGATCTACTGGCATTGAATTGATTCCACCTGCACCAGGCCTTGCAACGAGGAGACATCCAAATGTGTTTTGGTTGAAATGTGATGATGGCATGATACAGCTTTTGGCGACCCTCAAACGTTCCTAGATCCCCTTCCCGAAGTCCGAACCTGATTGATCGCAGTCCTTGATGTTGGCATTGTCGAGTAAGTTCGCTTTCAGAAGAACAGTAGATCTCAAGAACATCTAACTTGGATGAGGAACGTCGAACTGACGAGCTATGTCGTGTTGCGTACTGTTTCAGCTCATCATAAACCCAATTGGATATCTGATCCCCTTGTTTCAGCTTAGTACTCTTTCCAAGACCATGTTGTTCCATGAAAGTGTTCAATTCATGGATACTGCGTTCAATCATCAAGTTCTGAGCTGGATCCATTAGGCGGACGGATCCTCGGGAGCTGGAGGACACAGCTGCTGCATCTGGCCCACTACCTGCCATAGAACATGTTCTAACTGATTCAGTCGCTGGCTCACTTGCTCGTCGATGATCTGGCTTTCCCGAAGAGATACTGTGTCCCAAGGTTCCTCCTCTTCCTCTTCCAAGTCGATCGTCATGGGACGTTCGGAAGACTTCCCATGTCCCCCTCCACTCTTGGCCTTGGCTTTGGGTTTGCTGGCCAAGGGAGCTGGAACGGTCTTCTCTTGGCGTTCCATCCAATTCTGTTCCAGTTCTTGACGTTCTGTCCACAACTCCAGGAATCGAAGGAATTCTTGATGCTCCAGCTTCTGACTGTTGCCGTATTGGCGAAGAAACCAAGTGCAGTATTTCGGATCTTCTTTCACCACTGTCAGAAAACTTTGACCGGTCTTGGCAGATCCGAACCTGATGGGCATCTCCTTGAGTTGGTCGTAGCTGAGCTTCTGCAGGTCCTTTTCCTGGGTCTCCTTTGACTGGGAGATATGCATGGCTGCAAAACGTTCGGCAAGGCTGGACATGGCTATTAGAAACGCTAGCAGTCACGGGACAGGTCTTGGCAGTCTCGGAGGGCTTTTGAGATTTCTGCTTCGGGTCATGGGTGCATGGCATGGTGACATGGTTAGGCTCTGATGGATCACTTGTACCATCGGCTGCACTCCCCTTGTGGGAGTCTGTCACTGCATTTTGGGTTTCTGTTTCATGCTTCTCATGCAAATTTTGGGAACATGTCACGACTGGGTCTGGACACTCATTTAGTTGGTCAACACATGTACAAACATTCTCAGCTCGAGGACCCTTGGGTTTTACTGCCACACTCGGTTGAGGAGGTCTCTGCGCCACAAGTTCGGAAAATTCAAGCAAGAAAAGTTTCTTTCCGGACCACGTCAATGGCATGGTGCAGTTGAGCTCTCGAAAAAAGATGGTTTGATTGGTGGTGTCGATCACCGCACCAAGACTTCTACAAACATTGTTGGAAATCAGGAAAGGCGTTCTTGATTCTACCACAGCAATCTTAATCCAAAATCTGTCAACTGGGACCATGAGAGCTCGATGACATGGTACCACACCGTTATTGCCAAAACGGAAAGTCATTTCGACGGCCTGCTCATAGACCTGCTTGCTCACACTAGATGGTAGTGACTTCAAAAACTCAGGCACTTGATAACTACCCATAACAGTTTGTGAAGCCCCAAGGTCTAAGATCCCCAGATTATGACTTGTAGCAAACATGACATCGTGTGCAAACGACTTGGTTGGACAACATGTGATGCTCTGAGACTCCGCGACTTCAGTCTTCTCACAAGCAGCAGGTCCTACGAAAGTCTTCGTCAGGAGATTCTCTTTTGGAATCGTCTTTTCAGGCGAGGGGTTTGCATGAGATCTCTCAGGCATCGGAATCCTGCCGGTTGGTGGCACGGGCAGGTTGCGACACACAATTCGCAAACGTTCTTTCACCTTAGAAAAGAACTCCCCCTTTTTCCTAACCGATCCACTACCCCAACAAACCATTACATTTTGGGAGTGTGACAGACTCGGCATGGAATCATGGTCCTGGGCACTCGGATGCACATCGGATGCTTGAAGGCTATCATGGGTCATCACAAACACATCGGACTCGTCATTCGGCATCTCGGTCACTGACATGAGCACATTGGTTGGCTGAGCTTTGCTGGCTGCGGATGCATTGGAGTTGATTTGTCCACGTTTTGGACATTCTGATTTCCAATGGCCTCGCTGGCCGCAGAGGCGACAATCCGACTCAGCTATGCGAACGGCCAAAGGCTTTCGGCCTCGAGCAAAAGGAAATTTGCCTTTCCCCTTTTTGCCAGCGCCCTTTGGGCGAATCGGCCAGAAACCTCTGCTGCGCGACTTTTCTGTCAATCTTCTCCGGGCATCAAGGTATGCTGACATGTATGTGGACATCTCGCCATCATTTTGTACCGCTTCTATGAGAGCATCTTCAAACTGCTGAACTACTAAGGCATCCTCATCTCCTTCAGACAGCAGATGATCAATCACTGCATCGGGCAAATCACTCCCTTCAGCGGAAAAGGTGAAAAATCCATCATCATTCACATAGGTATCATCCTCGGATTCCTGAACATGATTGATTTCACACGTTTTGCTACGATGTTGTTTGGCTTGACCTTGCACCTCTTGAAAAAACTTGGCACCAAGCATTCTGATGGCTGAGGTGACGGTCTCATACTGTAACTCACCTTTCGATTCTACCAGGACTCTCTTTTTGTCTTCTGCACTCAGGGCTGAGTTGCGCAACAAAATGTATGCACGAACATCTTTGAAGCTGATGCCTTGAGTCACCAAATCCTCGAAAAGAATGTCATGGCGAGCAACATAAGACTCGTTGCTCTCATCCTGTCTCTGCGAGAGTCCAAAAATGGCCTTCTCAAACTTCTCAAAGCGATTTTCCAGTGTAGTCTTTCCCCAAACTCCACCGAGCGTGGTGACAAGGAGTTTTACTCCCTCAACAGATGGAACTTTGAGCTTTTCCGGGGCGATCCGAACAACCTTTTGAAAGGCTGACCCCTTGCATTGGAGCGCCGCACGTGGCGCAAGTTGACTAAGTTGTTCTTGGGGCCAAATGCCCGCAAGAAACTCCAGTCGCCGGCTGTACTCTGTCAAATCTGTCTCACCTAGGTCAAAACTTGGAATGAGGTGCCACGGCAAGTGGCTGCTTGGATTGCTGCTGGATCCCTGTCCAGCTTCGGCAGTTCCCCCTTCAGACATGGTCACGTCTATAGGAAAACAAAAATACCACCACTTGTTTGCCCTGGATCTCTCCTTTCCGGGATTGAACACAGGCGCCGATGAAAAACAGAATGTAGCACTGGTTCACGAAGTTGCCAAATGAAAATTGGACCACTTTGTAGAGAAAAATTCCCACGTGCAGTCAGAAAAATTGTTGGACCTCCGGATCCACCGATGAAATCCCAAGGAGCTCACGCTCCGCTACCAATGTGGATTGACCACAAAGGTAGGGAACTGAGATGATCCAAGCGGATTCCAATGTCAGAAGCTGTATGGATGGTGTTGACTCCCTGATCACCGTGATATGAAAGGTCCCCTGAACCAACAGTAATGAGATTTCTCCAGTAGATTGGCCACGCCTATGGCTCACACAACCTATCCGCCCCAAGCGCTGCAAGTGGCTTTTTCCTGGACCACACCTGCTGCAGCAAACCCCTCGCTTGGGCCTTTAAAGTGGCCACCGGAACAAGGTTGCAAACCCACTGGATTGAATGTCGGACATGAGGCATGTAGACAAGACCCCCTTGGCAGCTGGCATATGGATATGCAGGAAATTGGAAATTCACAATATATATGTATATATTTATATCATTCTATATCATTATATATCCATTTTTTCCCAGACAAAAGGTCGAAAAAATCTCACACCCCTTGCGGGGGGTGAAGCGTATCACCACCAGCAGGCGGCCTGGGAGTCTGGGTCCCCGAAGTTTCGGAGCGCCGTTTCCACCTTCGCCAAATCTCCGTAGTGCGCTGCGGTCAGGAGCTCGGACGACCAGCTGGCGGTCCTGAAATGTCACTGTCCCCAAGGTGGCAGAGAAATGTGTGGAAAATTGCATCGAAATATCATAGGTTATAATATTGATAGATATTGATAGTGGGTAAACCCACATGAGAGCCAAAGTTGGAAATAGGGTTGTCTTACAAATGGATACAAATGGTGGGAATGACTCTTGGGGACTGAAAGCTTCGAAGCGGGGTATGTCCAAAAATGTCATTCAGTGCCTACATTCAAAGGATCAATGTCCTGATTCGTCTTCACTGTGCTTAAGCTCAAACTGCTCTACTACACCGCGACTCAGACCTGCCGTAATTCGTCCCTTGTGTTATGTTTAAACCACAGATACCCTCTGGTAATTTAACATAGCTATTGAAAATCACCATTTATAGTGGATTTTCCCATTGAAAACGGTGGATCTTTCCATAGTTATGTGGAAAAAAACCCAGATAACTGGGGCAATCTGTAGTACTTCACCATCGATTAGGTCATGTTTAGTCCCACAAATCCCATCGCCAGGGTGCTGCAGCACCAAGGTCAACTCACAGGGCTGTGGCAGTTGGTTCAGCTCCACGTCATCTGCCAACAGCTCCTACCATGGACCCTGGTGAATGGGTGAAAATGGATGGTAAAATAGGTGGTAAATACCATGGTTCATGTTGTCTTCATATTCATCCCCTAGCAATCTGGTATTTCAATGTATTTCAATGTATTTCATAGATTTTGACCCATCGCCCTATCTTGAGACAAAGCCAGGTTTGTTGACCCATTCATTGAACCTCTTCTGCTTCAGTAAGCCTGTCCTGTAACCCTGTTGCATAACATCACCGCTGGCCTCCTTGTACAAGAGGGTGCGGAGGAAGTAGCCTGGGCATTGCACAACAATGCACAACAACTGTCTCACAATTCAAACATTGGCTATGTAGATATGGAAAAAAAATGTGGGATCTGTCTCCGCCTACTGTTAGAGTAGCAGGTCATTGTGTAGCTTCTGCCGTTTCCATTTACAAATCTATAAGTCCGAAGCCACGGTACTTCTCCCATAGACTGAAATTGCCTCAGCCAACCCAACCACTTCAGTAATCTCCACTCTACCTTCACTTTCAGGCTTTCAGTTGTGTGTGTTATGCAATTTCGACATGTGCAATCATCAGTGAAGGATAAAGGGGTATCCACTGCACTGGTTAAAACCAATTTCATCGGGATCTAGTTGTTTCAACCCTCTCAAAAGTAGCAAACAAATCCATCATTCTCCCAAAGCGGCGGGGAAAAAACCAGCAACATGTGAAAACAACCAACCAGCCGGATATGGGTGTTTGCCCAACTTGTGGAACCCCCCCAAACAATAGGATCCGTGCCTCTAAATGACTCATATTTGCGGTTTTTATAGTCCCCCCTCTAAACCCATGATTTGTCTAAGTCTTTTGGGAACCACTATTCTTGGGAACCACTATTTTATATGGGTCAACTAATCATTTACGGGCCATAAAAACTACCCATTTACCATCTCCCATTGGCTAAACCACCTGCTTCCCAGCGTCCACTGGTCGTCGGCAGCTGTTCCTTCAGCGCCGCCAGCGTCACCATCGCATCCTCGCCGCTGAGCTGGTGCACCAGCTCGCCGTGCACGGAGCGCACCAGGACGTGCAGCTCCATGGCGTTTTCGGTCCAGCCATGAAAAATGGTGGTTGGATGTGGTTTAAACGTGTTTAAACCATCAAAAATATGGGGGGCCGGGATTCAACCAAATGAATATTGGAAATGGTGGATGAAGAATGGAAATACAGAGGATGAATGCAAAGCCTGGTTGAAAGAATTGCCTTTGGGTCAAGTCGTTGGAGTACAATCTTCTTGATAAAAGGCTGGTCATTGACTAGTTCAACAGGATTAGGTCTGCAACAAATGAACAAACCGTAGTTCATCCGTGTCCAAAAGGCATTGAATTGCATGTCTGTTTCAGGACTTATGTCCAGTTTGGGTCGTTCATTGGGTACGGGCCAAAAATGTAGTATGTATCTTTGGGACCAAGAGAATTTATCACTTCTTGATCTTAAACCATTCATCTTGGGGCGATAAACCCTAGAAAAACTATGGTATGTCAACCGCACGGTGGGATGCAATTAAAATGCCACCCTTGTTCTCCACCCAACAAAACAATCCCAATTTTGCATCGTGATTGGTCTGTTCAGTGGGCGCTGCCTGATCCAAAGATGCAGCGCGTAAGCCAAACAGCGGTCACCACGCGCCCCGTTTCCCCGAAGGACAGTGAAAGGCTCGTCGACTCAAGACCGAAAAAAACTCATCAGCAGTCAATCAGTTATTATTCGATACGTGTACATACCAGTATGTACATACGGCGTATACATTATATGTGTTAATATGTGTATATATCTATACACATAATTATATGATTTTCTTAAAGTCTTAAAGATGTCCCTCTTCAGGACTTGCAGGACGCCTCGTAGGTTCGGCGCGGCATGGTCTCCACTAGACGGAAGGAACGACTTTGGAGCGCCTGGCCCGACTCTTGCTGTGTCTGCTGTTTTTTTGCCATCCAAATTCGGGACACAAGCAACAATCAATGGGTTAGATTTTCCCTATGAAAACTCAGGAGACTTCTGAGCCTGCTTTTTGTTTGGGATGGAATTATATGAAAGTGTTCCCAGTGCTTGAAATAGTTTGGCCGGCCATTATATACCCCCCCTTTTTGGCTGGCTCTCTGTCCCATTGCCGCCTCGCCACCTTCGATCAGCACAAAGGCGTACACCTGGAACGGTCGGGGGGTGACCAAATGGCGGGAATGTTTACCCACAACGAATATCCCCTGGGAACTGGACATAGATATGGTATAAGATGGCCCATGAAGTTCGAAATGGTGGTTTTTGCAGAGCTATGCTGATGACTGGAGGGTAAACCAGAAACATGGAGTCGTTGGCCAGCGTCAGCACACCTGTCCAATGGTGTTTTCGGAGTTGAAGGCTCTTTTCAGGCGCCTGGCGGCTGCACAAGGATGGGAATAAGGTGACCATCTTACACAGAAAAGAAGACCCAGGGGGGGTCTTGAAACATATCCTCCAACCACCCTTGACGATTCAAAGGTCCGAAGGGTTGGAGCTGGTAACCTGGTATCAAGGAACTCACTGAGCCACCACAATCCAACTGGCAAACTTTGGTCCATGGTTCTGCCTCCCGTCCGGGGTGCGGATGAGGAACTGCAGAATCGCTTCATCCGCAGCGGGCCTCAGTAGATCATGATAATGCTGATGCTGATGCTGCTGATGATAATCATCATGATCATGGTCCCGATGATCCTAATGATCCTGATGATCCTGATGATCGTGATGATCGTGATGATCGTGATGATGGTGATGGTGATGTCGCTTTGGGTAGCCATCCATATACACATTTCCTGGCATTGGGTTTGGAAACAACACTGGCAAAGAACTGCAAAAAGGTCTGCAGAAGCCAAGGACCAAGCTGCTTACCAAAACTGTGCTGCAAACAGCCAGAATAACGGAGACTTCATTGCAAGATGCGCTCAGGGACACTCCGCAATATTTTTTCCGCGTCTGTATGTTATAATTTTTCCCTCTGGGCAGCTGCCTTCGGCATGGGTTCCATACCGTAGTAAGTGTGCCACCAGCTGCCAACATATCAATAGTCCATCTATGCGTGTCGAGAAAGGTTCTGAGCAAGTGCTATTCGGCAATCAAGCCTCGGATGTTTCTTGTTTCACAAACGCAACACATTACTTTGTGATGCATGCTATCAATCAGAAACCCATTGTGTTTGTAGTCTGACGATGTTTTTTGGACTGATTCTGTTTCCTGGGCACAGCTCAGCGCACTACTAGTGCTCTTCCCGAAACGCGCAAGCACCAGCATGCTCACAAACTGAGGGACCCAAGATCCCCCAGAGCCTGCCTACAAAATTGGAGGTCACTCTACAAACGCTGTACAATTACAATGGTGCAGTAGCTTCGTACCACACTATGCCACCATGTCAATAGTCCATCCATGCATGTCGAGGTTCTGAGCAAGTGCTATTTGGCAATCAAGCCTTAAATCTTTGTTGTTGCATAAAAACAACGCATTACTTTGTGATGCATGCGATCAATCAGACACCCATGGTGCTTGTAGTCTGACAGTGTTGTTTGGACTGATTCTGTTCCTGGGCACAGCGCAGCGCACTACTAGTGCTCTTCACGAAATGCGCAAGCACCAACATGCTCGCAAACTGAGGGACCCAAGATCCCCCAGTACCCAAAATATCCCAAAATTGGAAGCCACTCTACAGACGCTGCGCAGTTGCACAGGGGAGAAGCCCAGAAGATGCTTCACGGTTTGGCTTTGATCTCACGGAGTGACTTCAACGCCTTCTTCAGGTCATCGTTTTCGCCTTCCAACTTTTGAACCTTGGCAACTAGATCTTGAGATCTGTGACAGGAGAAAAATATTTCTGCCTACTGACTCTGTTTCAAGGTCGTTTCAAGTTGTGTTTGAAAGTCTGGGTTGCAATTTGCAACGTTTTGTGGACAGACGCTCGCCTCCAAGGTCAGATTCTGGCGCATCGCGTCAAGCTCCTCTTCGTTCATGAAAGCCTGAATTAGCTCCTGGGGCAAGGCAAGCAGTGCTGGGATATGTCTAGGTTTGGTGGGCGCAAAGATTTATAAAACATATATAAAACTGTCTCAACACTTGCCACCGTTGCAACGCCCTTTCATAAAAGGAAAATGTCTTGCATTTGGATCTTATGCATAGTGGGGGAAAATGATGCAGTGTGTCCCAGCCCAGCTTCCTCCTGCATGCTCTTCACAAAGCCACGTCTGTAGAACTGGTTGAGTGGGCTACCCAGCAAGCCGCTGCAGCAACGTTCTTCCACATCCATGACAAAGCCGGGGCTCATCAAAGCAAAGAGAACTGCAATTTTGCCGAAGAACTTGTTCTGCCGATTGGGATTCATGCGCTCAAGTCTGTCGGAAATGTCTTCATACTCCTGGGGATTGCGGGCTTCCGAAATCTCCGGCACCAACACCTTGCAGGCGATCATATTCTGGATAAAACGGCCAGTGAGGTTGGGCACTTGATCACACCAACCAGTCTTGTTGATACACAGCAAGCCCTCTTTGACACCAGCCCAGGCATCTGGGTATTTATGTTCAAAACCTTCGGGAAGATTCGATTTCACAAGCTGCTCACGCGCTTCGTCGTACTTCTTCGTCGCTTCACGAATTGTTGCCTCAGGGACAAGCTGTGCAAAATCAATTGTTTATTCAATCCTGGTTTTGCTTAAAGGTTTCCGGATAGTTCAGTGAGTGACGAACTGAAAGAATAACATGTTTGGCAATGTTGAAACGGCCACATTGCCACCCAGGTCCGCCTCATCCACTCCCTCAGGGAGCAGTAGAACTTGTTCACGCCCAAACGCCCCAAGGTGATGCATCCTCAAAGCATGGTCTGAAATGCAGCATGTGTAAGCATGCTGCGCATGCCAGAGGAATTCCTTCAAGAAGCCTCTGCGCAAGGGCTCGAACACTTCATCCACATCTGAGTTGGCAGCAAGCTTGTCGATGATGGGCCTTTGCACTGTCTTGCTTTCTTTCATGTTGGTCCAAGCATAAGACAAGCACTTCACCCCCAGGTGCACAATTTTCTGCACAAAATACTGGGCAATCTCTCGCATTGTGGCCGCCTTGCCCTTCAGCACCTCATACATGCGAGTCATGTCATCCTGCCAGAAAGACGCGTGAGCAACACCAAGGAGTCAGGGAATACACTGTGGGTATGTGTATCTGTATTTGAATATGTGTGTGTGTATGTGTGTGTAATTGAAAAAAAAAAAACTATACTACATAATTCTATAGAATCTTATGTATATAATATTATATATATATATATGTGTATATATATATATTCATATCTACAAGTATAATTGGACATTCTTGTATATCATCATTTCACTATATTTTATAGAATCATATGCTGTATACTTATACATAGGTGTGTGTGTGTGTGGGTGGGTGTGTGTGTGTGTGTATACCGTATACGTGCGTGTGTGTATATATATATATATGTGTTTATATATATATATACAGTATATATATATATATGCAATTCATATATATATACATAATTGTATATAGGAATTCTATGGAATTCCATTGTTTTTCTGCAAAAAAGACCACCTCTGAGGAGCTGTGGCTGAGCAGTTTGCGTTTTAGTATGCCCATGTCTTAGGCCAAAGATTGAAAATTGTTTTTTTTGAAACGCCTGTGGGGTGTTCTTGGGAAACAATCAAGGACTACTTGAACGATAGCAAACTCGAATTCAGTTTAAACTTGCTTGCCCCATCAGCTGTCATCGCAGAAGCCAGCGTCCTCTAGGTTTGGCATATCTGGATTCATTGCGGTGCAATTCAGGATTCGAATGCGATCACTCTCGTCCGGATGCATGAAGAGTAAAGACAACAAGCGGAAGAATTCCTTTGCACGGCGAGTGCCGGCTCCAGCTGTCAAAGGGTCATCAAAGCCTGGAACACATTGAATGAAGTTGTCATCTTCCAACATCTCGAGGTAAAACTGGTCAAAGTGCCCAGGGGCGTGCTCATCCGTTCGATTGTAATCAATGCTGCGCGCACGCTTGGCCTGATCAGCGCATCCACTTGGAATGGGAGGACTGGGAACTACATGGTCAACTACACTAGCTCTGGCCCCGGCTCAAGAGTCCGGCATAGGTGACCAGGAGTGGAAGATCACACGTCTATCTCTTTTTTGCCAAATTTCAATGCTCCACTGATCAACAAAAAGCTCCCATTCATTCCCATTCCCACCTGCGAAGCCGCCAACATCGCATCGCTGGAATATTCCCAGCGAGAGGCAAGGAACTCCCGCTCCTCTTCGATCAACGTCTTTGTGACCTCCTAGCAAGAAGCCAGATCTTCGTTGGCCCCTTGTTTCCTCTCAGAATTGTTTTTCAAATGCTTTAAGGCCAGTGATACTTGTGGTCATAGGGTTCCAACCTAAACATGCAAAATACACTGTGAAACGCAAACATCACAATGCTACAGCTGACAGCGAAACAAAGGAACATGTGCTACTAGAGACCCTCTCACTAGAGACCCTCTCTCTCTGTGAACAACCCTCACTAAACGCTCATGAAGCAAAATCACAGGCATGAAGCACAAAGTCTACGAATTCCAAACTACAATAGCCCGCAGGCCATTACATCATCCAATAACGCGCCAAGAACAGTTTGAATCAGGGGGGATCTATGTGTATATATATATATTAATGTAGATTATTATATAATCATATCAGATCCAATATATGCATAGCTAATCAAACATAATCACAAATAATTGTGTTTGAACATACATGATCATGCGTATTCAATAAGAATCAGATCCCATCATATATAATGACATATAATTGTACGTCCTCACCATCTAATCATACATACATTACATGTAAATGTATATATATATGTGTATCTATATACATATTACATATATATATATACATACACGCATGCATAGATTCTCTGGCATAGATATCACGTTATCTTTCGACATCTTTAGTGCAATGTCATACTTCATTTCTCTCAGTCTCCTCCAGAGCTCCCGGGCGAGAGAATAATTGTTCACGGCCAGGGCCAGGAACAGCCGTCAAGAACTTGACCGTTTCGCCGAGCATGGCATCCACAAGCGACTCTGCCTGCTACCACAAAAAGAATCAGCAAACCCCAACAAGCACCCCTTCTTCAGCTTGGCATCAAGCACCCCTAAACATGTTTCCTGAATCTTTGCAGTGAATTTGCAAACTGATTTCTTCATCTTCGTCTTGCTAAGAACCCACCCCAGCTGATGCCTCGTCCTTCAACTCCGCTGGATCGTGTGATTCCAGTTCATGGCGCAACTGGCCCAACTTTTGCTCCACCTCATGCTGTCGGTGCTGGATCTGCTGTATGGACTTGTTGAGATTCGCCCAGTCCATATCCAAAGAACGATCCACGACAATGTCCTTCACAGGTTTGGGGAAATGCGGTGATTTGGTTTTATCTGAAAATAGGGTATTCCCAAATCCACTGGATCATCATATTCCCCAAACAACATGGCCATTGTGGAGGTGTACCCCAGCTTAAAACATACCTGTTTACTTTGTTTTTGTTTTTCAAGAAACCCAGCTGCTTTGATTCTACCAACAGAGGTCCTTGACCTTCTTGAAGGTGACCTTCTCATTCCAATATTTCACGTCCTCAGGCAAGGCGCATCCGTTCCCGCGGTCGGTCTGCTTGATGGTTTTCAGGGCAGACTCTGGACTCTGGACACGTTGATTTCAGAAGTAACATTGTATAAATATATACACTATATATATATATATTATAGTTATACCGTAATGATATTATGTATATGTATATATATATATATATATGATTATATATATATATATACACATGCATATTATAATATGTATTCATATATATATGTATATGTATATATTCGTATATTACACATATATGATCATATATGTATATTTATGTGTGGGTGTGGGTGCGTGTCTCTCTGTGTCTCCGTGTGTTTTTATGTACAGTATGTCCATAATTTACATTAATTTACTGTCTATATAATTCACAGTATTGATATGTACACGCCATAGTAAATATGTATATCAAACCTGTTCCAGCCGTCACCCTCGTCCTCCTCAGTGTCCAGCTTCATCTCTTTTCTGAAAGCCTCCACAGCTTCAGCCTCCCGCTTGCAAGCACGTTGATACTGCTCACGGCGGCTCTCCAAACCTTGGATTTGCTTCAACGGGCAAGAAAAATAAAACTATTTCAGTCGGTGAGTAGATTCCCCATTTCCAGTGGACTAAGCTGTGGCAAACAAAAACAGCTTTAGCAAATCCAGGAGACCCTTGTTGCCCTTCATCTCCTTGTGGTCAAGAGAGAAGCCGACCAGCCTCAGACCCAAAGTGCGTGAAGGGCACAGTGAAGGGAATGCAAACCCCAAAGAATCTAAGGACATGGTTGGCCTTAAGTCACTTTCCCCAGGAACACCCAGTACAGTTGCAAACCTATCTCTTGCAGCATCTTGCAACATGCTTGGCCCTTGCTGACGGGGCCCACAACACTCATTCACCATGCTTTTCCAACCAAGTAGCATTGGCTCACAACGAAAGAATTCTCGCTGCCAGGTTCGCAGTTGCTTGCGAACCTCCTCCGCACAACCGACATCTCCGAACCACTGGTCCGATTTCGTCAAGACCAAAAGGAGTCGTTTGTGCAGATCGCCCCGGTCATCAATGGCTTGGCTCTTCTGCAGCTCTCTCAGCATATTGTCATTCAAGGGATCACTCCTTGCCTCTGCAAGACAAATCACCATGGAATTCGGCTTCTTCAGCTCATCCGTGACCATCTCCACGATCGCCTTGTTTACTCCCTTGTCCTCTGGGTTGCTCCCATCGTTGGCTCGCACACCTGGTAAATCCATGATGCGCTTGGGAGTGTCACACTTCTCTGTCTCAATGGTGATAAAGATCTTCTCTTTCAGCGGAGTCTTGGTATTCTTCTTGGCACACCAGTTGAACAGCTGGCACAAAGCGGACTCACCACCTATCAGCGGCAAAAGGCACAAGCAAGTTGAACAACTGCTTTGTTGCAGTCAACTTCAATGTGAATGTTTAACTTTGATAATCTTATACAATCTTACATGACGTCAGGTTTTAGCATCCCTTGTCGGGTCTCCTGCAAGTTTTGGGGCGCCATTGCACCTGGAACATCTCTCAAGGTCTCAGGTTCGGATTTGGCACCACCTGGGAGCTCCTCAATCACCGTGATGATGTCTTCGGTAGTTGGATCCCTCTTGGGGCAGATGGTCAGCACTGCAGGACGGCTCGTGGCCATCCCCGTGTCCACGACGGAAAATGGAAACTGGAGCCACCGTTCCACCCATGACGTCTTTCCGGAGCTTTGCTGTCCCAAAACAACGATATTGGTCGTCTCAAAATCAAAGGAGTACTTGTCAGCCAACTGCCAGGTCTGTGCCATTGCTCGTCCCAACCTGTCACGTTCCTGCAGGCTGCGCGGCACGATATGTTGTAGGCTTTGCGGCACAGAGCCTTTCCCAATCTGCACACGCCTACCAGCTGACATCTTTGGCATTGGCAGCCGAGATCTGGAGCCCTTCACCGGTGACCCTTGGCGTGGCCCTGTCACAGCAGCAGGGCTTGCCACTCCATTGGCAGCAGCTTGAGGCAGCTCCTGTGGATCGATGGATTCACCAGGGCCAGTTTCAGTCTGGGCCGTAGCCTGGGATTTGCTTAAGCGGGTCTCCCTCCCCTGAACCAAAAATAATAATAGATTCCCTAAACGGTAGATAAACCAATGTGGAAAAAACGAACAATCACCTTTCGCAAATCAAAGCAGCAGGAGGGCTGACGGGTGGCATAGCAGCCAAAGGGCTCGCTGGCTCGGCAGGCACGTCTGCAGGCCTCGCTGCTGCCTTTGGGCACGGTGGGGGTTGAGCCTTCACGGGAGATGGAAAAGGATGCTGGAGCATGCTGCCTTTGCTGCAAACTCGGGCAGAGCTGGGTGGACAGGACTTGACTGCACGGCGACAAATGCGTGAAGTGTTCACTGAAGTTGATCTCTTCCCTGAAATGAATGTTCTGCACTCATATCATTTGCTGACCTTGTTTCCATGTGTGGACACGGAAGGATGCCTTCTACAATCTGTGAGTCTTTCATCTGAACTGTGACTGGAAGACCGACATTCTGAAGTTATTTTCCATTCTTCAAAAGCCGCCACAACTCGGACGAGGCCGGCAGTTTCTAAATGACCTAAGCCTTCTGACTCCGGAGGAAGCATCTGCTGGGCCTGGCTCAGCCAACAACACAGGCTATGGTTGGCTATCCATTGCTAGGGGCAGTGCAAAAAAAAAGCATAGGGCTGGCTGAATTATACTTGGGGGTGCATCCCAGTTAGTGAGCGGTTCTAACTCAGTTGTATATATGGGCTATGTGTTTAGGTTATGAACCACTTTTTAACTGCGATGCACATCCAAGTAATAGTTCAATGTTCAGCCAGAACAGGGGCAATCCATGGCTGGATGTGCTGCCCACAGCCTCTTGGAGGATCTGCGTCATCTTCTCCTTCTTCGCCTGCTCCTCAGCCTCTGCCTCATGGCGCAAGAATGGTGAGATACCCCGAGTCATGGCACTTTGGATGGAGAAAATGCTGATAAACCACTGGATTCTGGGGTATCCCTGGGTCTCCCATTTTTAGACAACCCAATCTACAGGCACGCAAAGTCGCGGTTTGATCTTTAAAAAAAAACTGTACCACAATGAAACATCTGCTTTGTGAGATTGGCAAACTGAAGAAAAACAAACCGATCCACAAGCTGCCCTACCAGGCCCCAGCCAGGCGCAACTCCAGCTGTCCTGTTTCACCTTCGATTCCAACTCTTCGGACTCTTGCCGCTGTCGCTCCTCCTCTTCCTTCTGCCTTTTTCGGCGACCATTGGAGGTTGGACATGGTTGGACAATGGAATCCAAGATGACAGTGGAACACACCTCCCATTTTTTTGATGTTCCTACACTGAAAATAGGGAAATTTGATGTCCAGGCAAGAGGGAAAGTGTGCCTCTTTGAGGTGAACTGTCAGTGGCCAAGAAAAACAGACACTGACAACTTGTGCGACACCTTTTCTGGTGGTTGCCCCAAAGCATCCACGGTCCAAACTCCGAAGTTCTTATATACAAATCCAACCCAGCGGCTCAACTTATGACATTCAAGTCCAGCCAAAACAAAAATAGACCACGTTGAGATTGCCTTAGGTCAGTTTGAGGGCCAGTGGGCACCAGGCCAGCCTCAAGGCTTTCTCCGCCGCGCGTTCGCGATCGATTCTGAGACTTTCCTTCCGAAAAATCCAGCAGGCACCAGAGATTCCAGGGCAGGTTGTGCCCCGTGGCATAAGTTGGCTGACTTGCTTAGGTATTTGCATAGGTTAGCTGTGGGGTTTATGGATGTTTATGGTAGGTATATCTAGAGTTGATGGGGTTATAAATCAACAAACATGACTGGGGGCCCCAACCTTGCATGGCTTTCCATGAGAATCCATAGATTACGCATGATTACGCCCTTCACTTAGTGGTATTGAACTCCTAATGGTGGAGCTTTGTCGTTGGAAGGACAGCTGGAAGCAACCTCCAGGATTACGATCCCATGGAGTAACTTCAGTTAAGGGGGTTGATGGCATCCCAGGGTTGCTAGATACAATGGGTTATCATATGTCAAGTGGGTTTTTGTTAAAGTCACATCTTTCCATTGTTCGCACCCTCTACCATAGTCAGCACCAGCTGGGATGTCAGCCTCATACTCAGCCTGTTGCTCTTCCCGAAGCCTCCCAAGTCAGAGGGCTGCCATGTCTAGAATTGAAACCAGTCAGACTCGCTCTACAATATATATATATATATATACACCATATATACCATATCTATGTATATATATATACCACACAAAAATCATCGAATCATCCCCCTGGAATCACTTGCGTCAAGCATCTGCCAACCTCATCCTCTTTCAACAGCACTTCATCATAGAATAAAGTAATTAAGCCCACTCAACACGCACGGCCATCTTAATCGCAAAGCTGAGGCTGTAAAACCCCAGAACTTAACATGGAGTCCATTATGTATGACATTGTATGGCCATATCCCACTTCGGAAGCTCATCTTCCAGACTCCAGACCCAAAATTAATTAAAATTGGGGTTCCATGCAAACATTTGGAGAAGCAAACCATGGCAACCAAACGTAACTGGCTGGAAAATCAAAAAAAACATAGAATATATATATATATAATATATGAAAAAATGATGAAAAATAATGAAAAATATGGAGGAAAAAAACATAAATGGATGGCTTTAATGGGAAAATCATCTATAAAACGGCCTGGAATTACCCTGACCCGACAGTTTCGCGACACATCAACGCGCCTGGCTCGTTCGAGGGCCTCCTCTTGGGGACTTCCCTGGCAGATCAGAATAAGACGAGTGAATTGGAAACAGATCATCTTATCAATATATGGATGGATCACTATATGGATATCCAAATATCACTATATCGTACTATCTATATATATATATACACACAGTATATATATATATATATACACATGGATCATGATATATGGATAGTCCAATATTTTTTCGTGAAATCATGGATAAAAATTACTATAAAGTGATAGCAATGGATGGTTCATGAAAATGATATAGTCAGCTTCCAGATTTGGACTTGTTGTGCTGGCATTGAACATCTGATAATGAATAAGAATTAAGAATAACATAGAATAACAATAATCATGATAATGATAATGGCAACAATAAGAATAAGAAGAACAATAACAGTTGCAAGAATGATTGGGATGAAGATACGGATATCTATTTATATGTAATCGTCCAAGAAATCATTGACAGCAACGGGAAATCTGCGGGGAAACCGAAAGAAAATTGGAGCATTCCCAACAAACCGGTCCATGCCATTGAAACATGGAGATAAAGAGCTGAGAATTGCTGAGTCATCCACTTCTCCAGGAGGTCTTCAGCTACAGTTTTTCTCCAAAATATCCATAATTCTCCCAGAATTTACATGGTTGATCCACTAAATATCTTTAATCCACGTAAATATCCTGTATCCTTTTAGACTATGCAGATGTATTGTCCAAATCTTTATGGATTCTGTCCCACAAATACAGTATCCCACTGGGTTAGAGATATATATATATACATATATACTTAAAGTTATCCCACTATCATCCCACTATCATCCCACTATAGCACCATTTCTTACTGGTTAAATCCCTTTTTTTGGTGACGGATGGAGTCCTCGGAGCTCGCGACGGGAGGGTCAGCCATCAGGGCACCTAGAACGAAGGGTTCCAATGGCTTCACCAACGAAAATGCTGATTGAAGCAGCAAAAATGATGGTTTAACCATCCACAAATTGATATTTCACCAGCCAGAAATGAGGAACAAAACATCAAGAACTAGTGGTTTTGGGCACAATCAGAAAGTTGGGATTGCCCCAATCATGGAAATTTCTGAGGATACAATGGGGTTTCTCTGAAACCTGGGTTTTTTTTCCAATTTCTTTGGTGAAAAAATGGCGGATTTTTTGCATGGATTTTCAGGGACGCCGTGCGCCTGCCAGATGGCCTTGATTTGCCTGTGGCGGGAGGTGAATGTGGCTACCAGTACCCCAAACCCATGGAAGAATGTGCTTAAAACAATGCCATAAACCACCCATGACTGGGAATGGTTTATAGCACCTATGGTGATTTGGGGGATGGTTTATGATTGTGTTACCCACATTAACCCTTGTATCAGATGCTGTGTCTTATATTTTATGGGTCCACAACAGGGGGCATTTGGTCCGCGTTTCCAACATCCAGCTGGAGATGATCCGGAACTGTTCCAGAACTGCTTCGGTTTGCGTCTGTCTTGGTGGAGTTTCCTGGAAATCCCATGTATCTGCAAACTTTAGGACCCACTTCATCAAACCCTTGACGGTGGTGAAAGCGCCAGTTTCATCTCGCTTCCCAACATCTCCCAGAAGCGACTGCATCTTTGGCATTGTCGCCGGCTGGGTCACATCTATGACTCGAGTTCTTTGGAGTCACCCTGGTTGCGGCTGTCTCTCAATCAGCCATTGCTGACAATTTTCGCAGCTGATTCACTTTGGGTCACCCGTATGAGTCTGGCATTTCGGGATGCCTTAAAATGGCAATGTCTAATGTCTATCGGAAACATCGTGATCAACCATCAAATTTGGTGATTTTTCCCATCAACTTCAGATAAAAACACCATATGAGTGCCATGAATTTCTCGGCGAAGGATGCCCTTGTCGAAGAGGCGCTGTCACTACGGAACCTTTTTATATCCTTGGAGCGATCCAAAGGGAACCATGAAACATATATGAAAAATTGGAAAGGTATCCTTGGTGGTGCCCCCAAATAGCTAAGTTGGTTTATATATAATTAATGAGGTTAACTATGCTTGATGGTAGATATATCGAACTAGATAGTGGGCTGTATAAACCAACAAACATAACTGGGGCACCAGCTTGTATGACCAGTAGATTCCCCATATTTTGTAGTGGATTGATGGGGAAAAACATGGAAAATCAAAAAATCCTCCACAAATCCAGGCATCACTGGGCTCATCCACCTCCACGCAACTTTAGAACCAGGTGAATGGTGCTAGATTTCATCAGGTTGTATTCCGCCACCTTATGTTCGTCCTCCAGTTCCTTCCCTGCAAAAATCAGTTTCTGCTGATCCACGGGGACGCCCTCCTTGCTTTCCAGCTGCTTCTTGACACTTTCGATGCTGTCCTCCATTTTTACCTGCCCGACCCATCTTGGAGATTCTCCAAAAAACGTCCACTTCTAATCTGGATGTAGGAAATTTCCACATAATTGGGACCATACAGTACGTTTAATACATGGGGAAGAGATTAGTTAGGTATGTGATCATAGTCCCCACAAGACTTGTTGGTTTAACCACATACAGTACGCATGTGCACCTACCATTCACCACTCAGGAAACAAAAAAAACAACGCGGCCTGGAGGACAACCGTTTTGCCAGACATGGTCTTTATGGCAATTTCCATGGCTGTCAGAGAATGAAACAGATGAACCAAAACAGGTCTGCAGCAGCACAGGGACGACAAGTGCAATGCCAAGCAATGCCAAGCAGTGCCAAGCAGTGCCAAGCAGCCAGGGAGCTTTGAGCGGCTCCAACTTCCCATCAGTGGGGGGTTTAACCATGAGTTGATTGCGATCAAAAACGGGGCCCTGTTTGAGGACTTGTGACCTTGTTAAGAGTGTGTTTATACTCCCTTCAATGCATTGATTTCGCTGAAATTGAACAGGGAAACCATTGAAACATATTGAAACATATTCTGGTTGGTGGTTTCAACCCCTCTGAAAAATATTAGTCAGTTGGGATTACTATTCCCAATATATGTAAAAAATAAAATTCCATGGTTCCAAACCACCAACCAGTATTGAAACCATGGCTCTTACCTCCAAGTTGAGGTTCCTGCAGATTTTCCCTATCCATGGGTCCCTGGACCGCCAATTCTGCATATTCCCAGGCGACCTCCAGCTCCGAGAGCCGCAGAGCATGCTGCAGAAGCTCGGCCTCCGACCCAGTTTGCCAGTTGGACACTTCAATGGTGGATCGAAGCAGCAAAAATCCAGGATGTTCATGGACTTTCACCCATTTCACCATAGAAAAATTGATGATCCACCTATGTTCACCGTGGATTTTGTGAGATTTCCTCCTGAGGTAAAAGTTTTAGATGTGGAAAACCCAGGGGGAACCCATTACCTCTTGGAAATGATCGACATTCAGGGTGGATTTTCCAACGAGATTTCATGGTATATTGCCATATAACCAAAGGTTACCATAGTTATCCCACATATTACCATAGGTTTATGGATCCAATGAATCCAACGTTGGATGGGGCCCATTTAGGTCGCTAATTAAACCTCCAATAAATATGGTTCTCTTCATAGGCTAAATATGGCTAAATATGGCTAAATAGTAACATAAACCATGGGATTTTGAGCCTTTTTCCTGTGCAACGCCACTTTTCAGAACTGGGAGAGTAAGCGACAGCCGGAAGTTAAAACAACCCATTGTGACGGCGCGAAGACTGTTGGAAATTGTATAACCCCAGTTGGAGGACTTATACATAAATATGAATATATACATATTAGATGTCTCAATATATGTATCATGAGATATGTATGTATGTGCGTATATATCAGGGTTACTGAGCACTGAGCACTGATTCTTCAACCACTGGAATGCACATACAGATACAAGATGATACAAGTAGGAGATCCAAGTAGGAGATCCATCCTGAGAATCTATATTGTTGGGAAGTACGTGAGAATCGTGTATGTGGTTCCCAGGTTGTTATTCTCAACTGCTTTCGCTTGAGCAACAGGACTAGGTATGTATATGTATCCTTCACAAAAGAAACTAACTGTCATTTTGGGCAACCAAAACTCACATTTTTGGGGGTTGCTCAAAAAAATAATACAAACAGAATACATTGGTTGAATAATTTGCTGCTGGGATGATCCCTCAGATAATGTTGCTCAGTTGTTTAATCATCTTTGGTCTAGTCAAATGCCAAAAAACATTGCTCTGGATAAATCATAATCAATAAGTTCACCAGCTACACATATCAATCATGATTCATTGATTCATCTGGAGCTTTCCAATCCAAGGGGGTACCCCCAGTCATCATCCATTTATAGATGGATTTTCCATGAAATAAACAATCCAACTATTGGGGTATCCCCATGACTATGAAAACCCTGATCCGCCTCGGAGAGGTTCGTCGGCTGATACTCATGGGGCCTGGGCCCCGGCAGACGCCTGCAGTGGGGGACGCCTGCAGTGGGGGACTGTCCCAGGTGTGAACCTTCATTTAGTGGATTTTCCAGCTAGTTGTATATGTTTGATTGGGAAAATCGTGGAACCAAATGGGGGGCTACTGGAGCAATTGTTGAAGACTGGTGATTGAAGGAAGAATACTTGGGATTTACAGGACATTTTGGCCACCAATATGGCTAATATGGGTAGAAATGTGATTTTGATTGATCCGTTCCCCTTAGTACAGGGGGTGTATTGTCGTAATAATTGTTGTTTGTTTTGTCTTGTGATTTTTTATGGGATCAGTCTGCTCGGGCAAGTAATCCAAATGCATCTAATGTATATGGATTCGTACTATATTTGTGACTGAGACATACCATGGTTATTATGAATCCTATACCAAGCGGGATGCCAACAAACGTTGTGGGTTTAAGGTGATCTAAGCATCACCAAACCGGACAGGCTTTGGGGACCACGATGTGGTTTGGAACTCCTAACCATTGCAGGGGAGGTCGCAGGCTTCGGTCGTTCGAATTTACCCAGATATTGTGTGTATCTTTACGGCAACCCATCATGTTCGGCTGTTTAGCCCATCTGGCATATGCCAAGCCCCAACTCTGAAAGTCACTTAGATGAAAATGTCCACCAGCAACTGGTTCCGAAGCAGTTCGGAATGTAGTAGACCTAAACACAAATATATATATATAGTATCAATATCTAAGATTCATCAAAATGCCCAACAGGCAATACTACGTGATATTTCGTGTGTTCCAGCATATAATGGGCGTTCCACATCAAAGGACAATGCCAAGCGTTTTTCGTTCGCAGCATGTCTCTGCTCGACCGCCAAAGACCACCAAATCTTCACCCAAGTTTCCACACAGGCAACACTGAAACAAACAAAGCGCAACCACAAATACAAGCAACCGGTTCTCTCATTTTTTTTGTTCAGAAACGCATTTCTGTTTATTTGCATGACTTCTTCAGAAGTCCTATCTTCGTTTCTTGAAGGAGATCATACAATCTGGCCATTGTAATTGTGTCTGAAAACATGTCATAGTTTGGGTTTCAACGGAAAATGTTGTGTGCTCCCAAGTGTTGATTTTCTGTATGATTGCTTCACACATCAACTTCCTCCAAAAGCCGTGACAAAACACGTCGATGCTGGAAACAACGGACGTCTGGCCACCGCGACGCGGCTTGAAACACAGCCACTGCGATCTGCCACTTGCCGATGTGATGCAGCAGTTAAAAAACTGCGTCATCGTGCCCAACCTGGGCAAACATCGAGACCACATGGATGTGTGGGATGATTAACCTGAGATGCCCCTCACAATGCTTCCTTTTAGGGAAAAAGTTGACTAGTCGAATCCCTAAGTCTGCTCGCTTTGGATCCCCATGTTCATTGTTACTTTCACAGACTTACACTAAAAAAATTGTGCTGGTTGAATCTCCATGGCTGCTTCAACTCCAAGTATTCCTCGAGTCCCCATGGCTTCTTTCAATGTTCCGAATGTTCCCTTCTCTCCGGATCAAGTCTCAATCTGTAGCCGAAGTGTCATACCAATTTTCATCCTGACTATAGTTCAAATCCTGATTTTCTCTCACTAACTCATGAAATCTGAGGTTTTTTCCTATACCCTCTGGTAAACATCACCATAACTATGGAAAGATCCACCATTTTTCATGGGAAAATCCACTGTTTCTATGGCCATGTTCAATGGTTTTTCAGTCAGCTCTCCAGTCCTTCACCATGGCGTCAACGGCCTCGTTCTCCCAGGCTGGGTCCGTTCCCAACGGACGCGACATGCCGAGGGTCTCTGCGACGGTCCGAGCCGCGCTGCGGCGCGCAAGTTGCGCTCGTTTCGAAGCGCTCGAAGAAGCCCCGGAGGGTCCATCGCAAAAATGATGGTGTATAAATATTTATTTATATATATATACATACATTATATATGTGTATTACATATATCCATTATATATGGTTAAATATATAATCATATACATTGGTAAATTAATTCACTAACCTGAAGTAAGGTGATTTGGGCATGATTCCCTCTACTAACCATCCCCAATTTTGCCATTAATGGGTGGTATAAACCATCAAAAAAATCGGTATCATGGCTGGGGATAGCTATATACGTATTACAATATAGATCCCATTGTTTTCTTTGTTGGATTCCTATTCTTTGTCGCTTAAATATATGTTTTTGTTGGTTGGATATTGCCAGAACTATTGCCCTTGTTTTAGTTGAATTGCACACGTGTCTTCCCCATTTTTTCAAGTTTACCGTCACATGTCTGCTGGTCCAGTCCTAATTTTTGTTAGAGTTTGTAGGTGATCCCAATTTTGGGCAAGTTTCCAATGCATCATTTGCTAGTCAAGATCCACTTCTTCTCTGGTCAACGCCAAACTTGTTCGAACTCTTGCAGGTCAAGTCCCAGAAATTGCAGCTCCCAATTTTTGCAACTGAAAGCATGGGGGTTCACCATGAAATGATGGCGATTAAACCAACTAACGTGGGATTTAACCAACCAACTTAGACTTGGGGATATATAGTTGGTTGATAAAAGCAATGATTATTCTGGTTGGTTGTTTCAATCATGTTTTTATGTTCAACCCATAAAGCCCCCTTATTGTTGATTGTGAACGCCATTAATTATATCACAAGTTAGTTTCCAAATGGGTTCAACAATAAAGTGAGGATTATATCGCTATACCTACCCGTGACACCCACCAATAAAAATGGCAAAAGTTGGGGGTGGATCCTAGCTTTATTGTTCTAATCGGGAAAATGATGATTAACCTTGAGGGGTGCACACAGTGATGCTATTAAACAACAGGGTATGTTTAATCATCAGAAATGGGATATGAATCAAACAAAGGGGATGCTTCGCAGCACTATCTTGGCAGCCAGAGTTTGACCTCGTTCGCTTCGCAATTCATCCGGAGTAGATTATTTCTGAAAGGGAAACGCATGGATTTCCCATAGCGATTTGTGACTTTACTGGAGGGCAATCATTGAATTCAGCGGCGTTCTCGCAATGGTTCATGACGGTTAATGATTAACATGTTCCACTTCGGGGATTCTCGGAGACATAACAGCCAAGACGCAGGCCTGGCTTGTGAGATTGGCACGGCGCCCCAAGGGCACTCTCTTTCAGTCACTTCCCTGGGTTAAAACATCTTGAGACACAAATATTCCATTTATATATACAATATAAAATTTATTATATTATATTGCATTATATTATATCATATCATATCATATTATATTATGTTATATTGTGTTATATCATATCATATTATATTATATTATATTATATATTATAGTTATGTTATATTATATATTATATTATATTATATCATACTTTATAAATATAAATATAATATAAATATATACAAAAAAACATATGATAAATATAATATGATATATATAATATAAATATAAATAGAAATAGAAATATAATATAATAGAATAGAATATTATATTATATAAATAGAATATAAATATATATATAACAAAAAAGTAAACAATATAATAAATATAATATGATATATATATATAATAAATATAAATATAAATATAAATATAAATAGAAATATAAATAGAAATATAATATAATAGAATATAATATAATATTGAATATAATATTGAATATATATTATATAATATACAATATATAAAATATGATATAATGGCTCAAAGATGTAAGCACACCCAGATGGACAGAGATGCCACGCCATCCAAAGCACCGAAAGTCGGCTTTCAGCCAAGACTTTCCACATTTTTGGGGGGTCACACCACGTGTGGTTCAACGGTTCAGCGGTCGGCACCAGCCCTGGAAGTGTCACTGCCATTCTGTTGGGCAGTTGGATGGTGACAAGTGGGAAAATGGACAAATGATTGAATTTAATAATTCATTTCAAACAATTTGGAATTCATTGACTTGGGTAAGGCGTCTAAAGCAGTGTTCCTAGTAACCGAACTGGGATTGTGACAGAAGACCAGATTTTCGCTGCAGACTTTGCTAACTTCACCTGCACTTCCAGTCATGACGTCATCAATTGGCCGGGCACATACCGTCCTCACCCTGAGAACCTCAGCGACAGGCACTGCAAGGGTCCAAGATGTGATCCAGGGCTCAAGGGTCCCCAGTGGTATAGCCAGTTATGGCCCAAAATTCGGGCCATCATGGGCCATCTTACAGGTGATCCAATTTGGCTTTGGGCTTTGGCTTCGTCAATTTTGGGTACCAAACCTCGCTGAGATCCGAGTCGCTTGGCGAACTGGTCAATGGATCCAATGGTTTTGCTGTCGAGAGTGGTGGCAATGATGAGGAAGAGGAAGACGACGAGGAATCGGACGAGGAGGAGGAGGAGGAGGATTGCTATTCTTACTTACCGGTACATACTATTAGCATGATCATGATGCTGGTGATGCTGGTGATTTCCATCCCATGCGTATTTGAATGCCGCTTGTGTATTGGGGCCTTCTGATTAATGTTATGAAACGTGCGAAACCCAAAGAATCAATTCATACGCAAGAAACAGCTTCTCTATCTCTTGAAAATTACATGTCAATGGCGCAGTGGTTGCAACCCCGATACAACTTTGGATACCAACCATCAGAAGCTTTGACTGGGACCCCTGGGATCCCTGGGACCCCTGGGACCCCTGGGACGCCTGGGACCCCGGCCATCATTCGCCAGGGCCTCCCATGCCGCGGTAGCCGCACCCCTGCATAGGCCCTGGCGCAGGGATGGGTCATGCATCGGAGAGGGATATAGTTTGATATGATCACCAAAAATGCGGAGAGTTCTCATCCCAAATTATAGTTTGAGATAATCAAAGTAGAGTATACTAAAACTTGATAGAAATTTTTTCAAAACTTCAGATTCTCATCCTAGAACTGGAATGGTGTTCTTCCTCATTTGTGACCAATCTATCCGTGCTTTCCGTCGGGATCTTTCTGCCCAGGTTTTCGTCGAACCATGACTGAGTTACTTAAACTCCCAACATCATTTACGACATGGGAAGAGCAAAACAACAGGTTGACCCACCCCCCCGAATCCCCGAATTGGCCGCCTTGCTGCATCATCTGGTTCTGCATCCTGGGGAGGTCGATGCGACGTCCCTGAAACTAGTTGGGTCTCTCTGAAACTGATAGGAAAACCCAAGAAAATTCATGCTTAGACCATCATTCCTCATCAAAGTTGCCATAACTTGGGGTATTTCCCCATTTTCCGCAAACCTTCTAGGTGGTTGAGACACCTAGGCCCAAACGGCCCAAACAGCATGAAAGTTACTTGGGATCATCATAGGGGATAATCGTCCTCATCTTGCAGTCAATCGCACTGTCCTTCCGGTTTTCATGTACCAACCAAAGAATTCTGAAGAATTATTGGCAAGAGTGTGACTGTCCTGAGTATCGAAAAGGGGAATTCACAGTTTTACTGTTTTACCATGCTTTACTAAGAATGATGACCAAAGACTCCGCCTTTGGAGCCTGGGTCATAAAGATTCCCAGTTCATGGATTATGATAGATAGCCCCCAATATAATTCAAGAGTAAAATCATATAAAGGGTAGCTGGTTGGTGGTTTCAACCCCTCTGAAAAATATGAGTCAGTTGGAATGATGACATTCCCAACATATGGAAAGTCATATAGCAGCCATGTTCCAGTCACCACCAACCAGGATCAACCAGGTAGTAGAAAATCCCATTTCTCCTCAACCAACAGGGGTGCCCCACTGCGGCATCATGCTGCCATCGCCCATTTGTGGCTGCCTCGGTGCCGTTACCATCCAGGAATGGGAATATCGAGGCAATATCATATTCAATAGCCACAAGGTGGTGCCCCATAGTTAGCTAAGTTGGTGAACATAACTCCCATTAAACCTATGGTTTATTGCAGATATAACTATAGTTAATGGGGTTTATAAACCAACTTATAACTGGGGGGCACCATCCTGCATGACTGGACCCCCAAGATGCATGGATAAAAACTACCAAAAGCGCTTCACTTGAGAGGGAATCAAGATTTTCTCCCTCGGGGGAACGGATTAGTTTGTACCAGACATCGGCAACATAGCCCGTTAAGTGGGAGTTTCCATAGCAAACCGTAAAAATTACCAGAGGACAAATATCGTCACCAATTCATGTATAGCTGATTTTCCCCTTCCATTCAAACCTCCATTTTTAGGGGATTTGAAACTTCCCCAACTGGTCACCACTGGGAACCCAGGCATACCCTGCATGGTGCCGCCCTGCATTCCCTGGCGGCAAGCAGGATATCAGCGAGGTATATATAAGACTTATATTATATATAACTATATTATATATATATAACATTATATAACTATATTTTATATATATAACATTATATAACTATATTATAATATATATATATACATATCTTTTTCAAAATGTCATCAGGTTGGAAACCCGTTGTCAAAAAAAACAAACCAAATTCCAAACAAGTCCAACGGACTTGCAACCCGCAACCCAAGCAACCAACTCCTGACTCAATATGATCCACCGTCCCCCGACCTGGGGCATAAAGCCTTGCGGGAACTGCCCAGCAGGCACCTCACAGGTTTGGTGAGGTGAACATCTCTTAAGCACCCCAAACATCAGCAGGGCCTAGTTGCAGCTTCAAAATCAAAGTCAAAATACTCAAGAATCGGGTCCCGAAATCGACAAAGACAAAATTCAAGACTGGCAAATTTGGTAAAGCCCGTCCCTTTTTGGGTTGCTCCCAACACCCCACGGGCAATTTACCAGGCGTCCAGGCCATCATGGGAACCACTTGTGCTCCGAATTTGGGCATGGCCCCCATGCCGGTCTCGGCGCCGGGGCTTCGTCGGTCAACGCTAATGCAGGCATCTGCGCACAACTTGAGTATCTGCCCCAAAAAAAACGAGAATAGAGGGCTCGGTGCCCCATCCATTGCCAATATTTACGACCATTTTCATAACTACCAGTTGTGAACAGTGGGAGTTGCTCTTTTTTAATCAACCAAGGCCAAAAGTTGAGGCATCCGACCATGCCCACGTTGCCCTGGGCCATGTTTCCCTGCCTGAGCCATATGTCAGGAATGGAGAGATTAATCAATCACCCACAAAAACTGGGATAGTGTATATGAACCAGGAAACAAAAACATGGTGTTAAGTCGTAAACCTCCAGACTGAACAGACCAGAACAAGGATTTCATCAACTTTAAAGGTGAATTTACCTAAACAGAAATTGGGGATAATTGGGGTATCCACCATTTCACTCACTTAAAATTAAAATGGGGATACAACCATGAAAAGTCAGTCCAGGTTATAACATAGTGGAACGACCTATGGAAAATCGAGGTTTCTCTTTTTGGTTGTTTCTCTATCACCATCTGGAGAACGGCTGAGGGGATAGTTTTGCAGAGGAGCTCTCCTATCTCATCTTTGCCTGCCAATTGGGGATCCCTATTTGAGACATCACGCAAGTAAACTCACAGAGTCTTGCGTTCGTTGAAACTGCTGGTTGATGCAGCAGCAGGATTCTCAGGGTACCACGGCACACCAGGCACCCACTGCTCCGCGCATCCCCCAGCCCCCCATGAAATAAGGCTCCGGGCAGAGCCACAAATTGACCCCCCATCATGTTTTGAGGGCAGCCGCCCATCTGCTGCCTCAAAGGGACCAATCGCTGGAAAAGCTGCAGTCCACATCTCGAAATCACTGGGTTCATCATTTAAGGGAAACCCCTCAGTTATACCATCAATTAAATATTGGTTTTTACTGCCAAATGTCCCGCCATTTCATTCTGGGATGCTGAACCTCTCCAAACTCAAAACAAACAGAATGGAACAGATGATGTTAGAATACTGACTCACCTATGTGCCAACCGTCTGCAGAAAACCAGAAACAGGGATAATAGCTGACATAACTTAACCAACAGAACCTTGGGTCAGAAGACAACCCCAAAATGCTGACGTAACAAACCACCAGTACTCCACAAAGCATTCGCAGGTATCTGAGGGCCCCCAGCTGTCCCTGGCCACTTTGTTGGCCCATCTGCATCTGCGGTTGCTGTTGCGACTGCCTGTGGCCATCTTTTGGACGTTGAAGAGAAAGGCGTTGTGCTACTTCTCTGATAACTTGGAATCGCCGAACTAAATGGGCCATCGAACTAATCATAGCTGTTTTCCACAAATTACCACAGCGTTTGTCTGTCATGGTACCCTTAGCAGTTCCCTCTGATTATATATATACACACCGTAGAGAACTGGAAAATTACCATGTTCCAGGACATGAAATCATTATGTCCATCATCTATTTCTATGGGACTTCAAACTAACCATAGGCATGTAACGAACAACCAAAGGTAACCAAAGGGTTTATACCCATCCCATGAAATCTCCGTCAATCCCATTTTTCACCGTCCCAATCTCTTCCAAACGCCCAGGTACATTCCCTGGCCCTGGGAATTGTTACCACGTCCAGCCTAAGGCGCTTAGGGATGAGTCAAAATGGATGGTTGATACCAAGAATACTCAAAAATAGAGGGTGAATGCAGATTTCGTCAGATTTTCTAGTATTAAAGATCCATTCTTACGGGTACCCAATTTTAACCCATACCCATGTGATTGCTACTTATCTAAGTGGATTAATCCAGGGAATAGGATCCCAGATTGTGGGGATTCATCTGGGACAAGCAGTTCCCACTCATTGGCAGCTTCAACCCATTGGAATCCATCTATCCTTCGCTTGACAAGTGGAATCATATGCGGAATCATATGGGTATGGGTCAAAATTGAAGACCTCTAGGGGACTCTATATATATATATATAAATTAAGGTCTATTTTTAGTACTGTATTAACAAATTCAATTGTTGGGTTGCCCAATTGTGACCCATTGCCTTATTCCAAGGATTTCCAAGGTACACAGTTGCTGGACTGAATCTCAGCTTCTGACCCCTTGAGGCATCTGTTGAAACATCTGTTGCCTTGGCGCGTCATGCGCGCTGAGATGAGGTGTGTTGCGGTTGATCACAAGGCATCATTAAGAAGGAAAGGATCAAAAAACTAAAGGCGCATCTCAAAAAATGAACTCATGAGGCAAAACATGATGGTGAATCTGATAAATGCTTAAAATATCTTAAAATCATGGAATGGGGTTCCCCAATTTCAATGACCAAGCGGCTGCAACATCTGCTGGTTGCCACACCTTGGCACTACACCGGCGAGGCTGTTGCCTTTTTTGGACGGACCTAGCCATGTCAAGTTACATAGAAGGGGCCCCCCTGATAATCCCAGCATCATGGGATTCCTGGATGAGTGGGACTATTTTGGACTAAAAATGAAAATCACTTGAAATAAATGGATGTAAATCGATGGCCATCTCTGATTTTACGCATGAAATAGACACCATATGTACTCTTTGATATTCAAACATTGCAATGTAGCCAAAATTCCCCACCAAAATCTAAGTTTTCATAGGGAATTTCATCCCTTCCAATGGGGAAATGCCCTTGGGCCCAGACCCTGGCACAGCCATTATGAAGCCGCCTGCGTTTGTTTGGGGACGGAAAAAAAACGCTGCGGGACAGGTCACACAAAAACACAATGTTATGGCTAGTTACCCTAGGGTAAACTAACGTGGATGTGGAATGGTTGCCCATTCCAAAAATGATCTGCAAATGGTGGGTTTTCCACATTTATATTAGCTTACAGAAGGCTACATGGACCAAATATCTGGCCGTAAATGATGTTTGATATAGCCAAATATATGACCGGGCAAGTGGCTTCCCATAGATGGTGAAAGCTAGCCTAAAGATCGGATGCAATCCTAAGCAATGTGATGGGGGCATAACCAAGGATTCTGATAAGCAAAATTGCAATAACCAAAACAGACTCATGCAAAACTCAACTACTAGGATTTTCATTGGGATTGTGATATTATTGAACAAACAATTTGACGATGATTTTCATATGGGGCTCCTGTTGATTTTCAAAGGTGCCACCTAACACTTTGCCGCCGCACCTTGTGGTTGCATCATTTGCATTCCCATTTGCTGCGACGGTTGCTGCGACTGTTGTGCCTGCTGCCTCAATCGCAACAGGTAGAAACCCTGCAACCCCTAAATGGGGTCTGGTTGAGAAGTGTCTCTCTCAGGCCTACAGCACAGAGGGGGTATAACTAAGTATGTGTATGTCCTGTGTATGTATGTATATATATATATATAATCGAAACTCCGAAAAAGATAGAAAAGTAATGCATCACTACTTTACATAGGAGGATTCTGCTTTCTTTCTTTTTTGGAGTTGTTCTACACATATTTGCCTTCTGCTTAGGTATATTGTGATTGGAGAGGGGGGAGTTGCGATTGATAATTGGAGTTTTCCTGAGGCGAACCCACTGCCACAGAGTGTTGCCAGAAATCGTCCAAACAAAACAAGAATCATGAACTTGTCAAACTTCAGCCAATTCCAGGATCTTTTTTTCCAGCACTTGAAATTCAAATCCATCGACGAAGTGATTTTTTGTGGCAGCTGCAGCCAGCTGCCCCCCTTGGCAGGACCGAGCACCCGACGTGTTTTGTTGAGACTGCATCTGCTGCTGCATTTGCTGCATCTGCTGCATTTGCTGGTTTTGCTGCATCTGCTGCGTATTTTGCTGTGTATTTTGCTGCTGCGATTGCTGGTTCGATTGCTGGTTCTGCTGCGAGCTCGGCATCTGCTTCATCTGAGACGACTGTTGCATATGCTGTTGCAACTGCAGCGCCAGCGCAGTCTGGTGCCCTTCCGTGGGCCTTGGCGCAACAAGCTGACAATACTGCTGAAGATTATACTCCGGGTAAATCCCAAGATCTTGCCCCAAGCATCGAAAAATCATCTAAGTACAAAGTTTGGAAAATACGACTGTCTACTACTATGCAAGTCGCGGACAGATATCGCTTAAGTGAAGCCGCACAAGGTGCTCCATTACCGAGCTCCCAGCCGTCCTAGAACTTCTTTGTAGGATGGCCCCTTTGCAGATTCCCAATTGGGCGAGCAGTTCTGCCGCCAGCAATGGGCAAAGCGATTTGTGAGGCGGACAAAAAAGGCCGAGTCTTTTGGCTCGTAAAAAAAACAAAAAAATGTGTTTATATCCCAAAATTTGATTTATACCCCACAGATTGGGGTTCTCTCCCACAATTGGGGTTATCTCCCAAAATTGGGGTTATATCCTAGAATGAGTTATCTCCCCAAATTCGGATTATCTCCCAATATTGGGGGTATATATCCCAAAGTTCAGTTTATACCCCAAAAATTATGACAATTCCCCAAGAAAATAATGTTATCTCCCAAATTTGAAGTTATATCAGTTATATCCCAAAAATCACTTTGTGCCCCGAAAATTTGGGGTATCTCCCAAAACTTCGGGTTATCTCCAATTCAGTTTATACCCAAAAAATTAGGGTTATCTCCCAAAATTAGGGTTATCTCCCAAAATTTGGGTTATATCCCAAAATTCAGTTTATACCCCAAAAATTTGGGTTATCTCCGAAAATTCAGGTTATCTCCCAAACTTGGGGATTGTATCCCAAAATTCAATTCATACCCCCAAAAAATAAAGTTGTCTCCCAAAATGGGTTATCTCCCAATTTTGGGGGTATATCCCAAAATTGGTGGTATGCTTGGGTGTGGACATGGCCGTTCCAAAGAGGGACATGAGTTCAGTCCTGCGGGTTGTGGCACTCTTTTAAAAGCCTGGCCAGGAATCGAAGGGCAGCCGCGAACCGTCTGAATTACTCCTTGGGTGAAAATCAATGAACTGGGTTTAGGGGAAAATCTAGAGCAAAACCATGGTTTTTACCATTAAATATGGGGGGTTCCTGTAAATTTTCCCTTAAACCCATCCAATGAGAAAATGGACATGTCCAGGCAGCGCATATGAAATAGAATGCCCCAAAAAATTACCCAAAAAGGCATTCTCCACCAGAAGCACTTGGGAGGATCATGCCCCTTATCAGGTGGTTAGTAAGTGGGGTTATTATAACATATTAATACATATTATAACCCATTGATCAATGGGATAACCCAAGGAATCTGGCACCTCGACAGCAAATCATCTGCCGTCTGCTTCTTTCCTCCGGTTTTCGCCTCGGGATTGGCAGTTGCCAGGACAAGTCTGAGATGCACAAAGGTTGCATCTGCTCACATTTATGCATCATATCACTCTTATCAACTTGAATCTATTAGATCTATCTAATCTATCTAGATAATCTATGGGTGTATATAGTGATTTCATAATTGGGGTCTAGATAGATCTATGGGTGTATATAATCAGTTCATCTAATCTATTTCTAGACCCACCTGTCTACCTATCCATAGTCATTTGTCCTTCGCCCAGCAATCGGGCTCCCAACCGGCTTCAGGAAGTCGGAGAAGGACTTGGTCCTCAGCTGTGGGGCAAGTCACCAGAATGATGGGATTGTACCATATGTTTTTTCCCCCAATGTAGGCTGTGTTGAATTTTTGACCTCTAGCCATTTTCCAGGGTATCCAACAATGGGGTGTATATCTGTTATTATCTCTACATATAGAGATATGTTTTTTTTGTATATATATATATGCATGTATACATATACATAATACATATATATATAGGACAAAGCCACAAGGCCACCCACGGCACATCGCCATCGAATCCCAGCCACGCTCCCGGAGCCCGTGCATTCTGCAACGGTCCCGGCGCCTGAGTGACAGGTCAGGATGAAAAAAATGGAGTTAACCAGCTGGAAATTGGGATTTAACCAGCAAAAGTGGGAATTGAACCTTTTGGATTCGGATTGAATATCCAAGAAATTTTGATGATTGAACCAACACAAATTGGGAGTTTCACCAACCAAAATGGGGATGCAAACCAATCTTTTCATGGGCAGAACAGGGTTGGTTTGAGGGAAAACTGCCAGGAAACCTAAACATGTTTTCTATCATCCAATGCTGGAAGCTAGTTAGTTTGGTACATCGGGATGGGAACCATCAGGAACCAACCAAGATTCATTGTACTTGCCCAAACATGTGGATATGCTTCAAAGTCAGGAACCCAAGATGTTCTTTGAGGGTTTGCCCTGGCAAAATGTACATAAGTGGATTTTGAGGTTCTGAAGTTGAAGTCTGAGGTGAAGTCAAAGGTCCCATGGTCCTGGTGTTTTTCTGCTTATCTCCGTCTATGAAGTGAAATGCCCGGCCACTCAATGACCACCTGACCACCTAAGCTGTAGTTTGACTAGATCTCATCGAACATCCTGGATATAAACCAAAGCCGACCAGCCAATTGATTGGCCAACATGATAAATTAGGGATATTTGAAATGTGCCATACCCTCTGGTAAACTAACATAGCTATGGAAAAGCACCATTTTTAACAGCTAAATCATCTATTTCTATGGCCATTTTCAATAGCTATGTCCAATTACCAGAGCGTACCATACCCGTTAGATCCCATTAAACCACCATAAACCACCATAAATCCCATTAAATCCCATTAAATCCCATCTTCTGAGCTTCTCGCCATAGCGCTGTTCTTGTCGCCTCCCGTGTCCTTCTTGCTTCCTGGTCGGAGGTCGCAACGGTGCCAGTGGGAAGCATTGATGATTGACCACCCGTTGTGCGTGTCTATATGTAGATATAGATATAGATATAGATATATATATATTTATATATTTATAGATATAGATATGTATATAGATATAGATAGAGAGAGAGAGAGATGGAAAGTAGGGATTTGACAAAAAAAATATGGATTCAACCATCTAAAATAGGGATTTCACCATCAAATATGCTGATTTTTGATGGAATGTTAATGGAGATACATTGGAAATAATGGATATACCCTCTGGCAATCTAGCAGTTTGCCATGGAAAATTGCCATTTTCAATAGGTATATCATCGAACTAGATTGGTAATATGAAAAATGATGACGCAGGGATGGGTTGAGATCTTTAAACTGGGATCAAAGACGATGGGAGTTGGAATTGCAGTCGGTTTTGGCTCTAGATCTGGCCATTGATGGGTCCTTTCAGATCCGTCTGGCGCGAGAAATCCCAGAAGTAAAGGAACCCACGAAGGCTTGAGGAAAAGTCTGGCAAGTTCAATGAGGGGCCCAACTTTTTTGCAAGTGTGGGCTATTTCACCCCATCTAGGGTACCTTCAATACCAATGGAGTATGATATACCCCATTTTCCCCACATCATCAATATCAGACTGCTGATTAGATATCCCATTAAAATCCCAAAATCCCACCGAATCCCATTAGAACCCCACCAAAATCCCATTAAAATCCCAATAAAATCCATTCACCCGACCTAAATCCCACCAAATCTCATAAAATCCCATCAAAATCCATTGGAAATCCCATTTTAAAAAAAAAACATGTTTTCCAGGTGGTCTCTCCACTGCCTGAAGTCGGCTTCGCATCCCCGCCGTTGCGCGCCACCGCACTGGAGCTGGTGGGGGTGAAGGCGGTTGCCTGGCCCCAGCTTGGTAAACATGGAGATTTCATGGGATTTTAAGGATACACAATCAAGAATCTAATATTCATTGAACTTTAAGATGGTGTCTTGGGGATTTTCAAGTTCTTGAGGATATTCAATTCATTTTTCTGGGGGGCAGGGGAACCTGAAAAAATGGTGGGGAGCGAGGAAGAAATATAGGGGTTTTGACAAAAAAGACTTAACTAGTTTTTCTTAAGAAACCTAGTTAACTGGTAAGAATTGCATGGCAATAAATTGAAAGTCACCATAGCAAAAATGGAGATTTGACTTCGACCAGGAAATTTCCAGAAATTCACCAGCAAAAGCTGGGATTCAAAGTGAACTTCACCCAGCAAATGAGGCTTCCACCAGCATCACTTTATGTCCGAAGCCTTGAAGTCTCCATGTACTCGTTGGTGGTTGACCTACCCCTCTGAAAAATATGAGTTCGTCAGTTGGGATGATGAAATTCCCAATATATGGAAAAATAAAAATCATGTGGGCAAACCCACCTGGCAATGGGTAGAATGGATAAACTCCACAAACTTCACCATTAGTAGATGATTTTAAAGCAAGGTCTTGCAGGCCGTAGAGGTGAGCTATTGCCCCAGAATTCATTGAACACCCAAAAAGGGGATGCTGATTGGGAACCAACACATTCTGGGATGCAAGGTCCGGGATAACACCTGCCGCAACCTCACATCCCACTTTTGCAGGGCCTGTGGATTGAAAGAGAATTCCTGGCCGATGCAAAGCGTGTCGTGGAACAGAAACTGAAAAGGTCACACGACGGGAATTACATGGTAAACATTTTCCAGGAGAACAATTCCCGGTCCGTAGCATATCTTCTTTCATACATCTAAGTGTCAGGTGCGAACATACTTCTCAAGCTAGCTTGGAACGACGAGCCTGGGGTGCGCTTTGAATCTTCTCGACACCTAGGCCTCTTGATACTGTGGATGGAAAAAAAGAACCGATAACCACCAAAAGGATGGGTTTTCAACTCTGTAACTGGTGACTTCCAGCATTTCCCTCACTGCCCTGCCTTGGCTGATGGATTGAATGAAAACTTGGAGCTTCCATCACCCTTCGACCTGAGAGTTCCGCTGGTGTTGTCTGGTGGACTCTCCCTATGACTTTCACGCGAACCCTTTGTGGTTGATCCTGATATCTGGTCATCTACCAGTATTATTCAGATTCTTGACGGTTTGTATTCCAGGAAGTCGACTCAAAAAAAGGAAGAAATGAAAAAAAAATGAATAAAGTTATAACCATTTCTTAAGCATCACTACTCCTTGTAGGACGGTTTTGTAGTAAAAATCACCACAGAATCACCCTGAGCGGCCCGAACTCCTCAGCGGGAGTCCCTTCCCTGTGATTTCCTCCTCCAGCCGAAGTTTGGGAAGATGTGCATCGAATGTGGGATTCAGCCAATGCCATAAACAACTACCATGTGGGGATGGTAAACATAGCACCCATCATTTCTGGTGATTTTGGGGACGGTTTATAATTGGGTTCCTGATATTAGATAAAAGCATCATTTGGGTGTGTCTGAAAATGGCTACGAATGGACCCATGCAAATAATGGTTACAGTAATCTTTAGGATCAAACCCATCCAATTTTTGGGGTAACTCAGTTTGAGCCATTCACACTTAGTTTCAGGGTTTTAGCGCTAAAAAAATGGGGATATCATCGATGAATGATGATTGATTAGTTATTAAACTAATTAAACAGTCCTAAACCCAAAAACAATAGTAAACCTACCAGCTATGGGTTCTAGAAACTATCCCCCAACTGGGGGAGTTTCTTGTTGCGTTTGCCACAGAATTGGGGATAGAAATTGCACAACAATGGGGGATATCACCGAAATCACCCAAAATCAGATCATGGGATATGGATTTTCTCCAAAATCCAAAGAAATTAATCCAGTGCTTTAGAAAGCCTCATTTTCCAGTGGCTTTCATTAGAAAATGGCCAGAAATTGATGCACTTCATGGACAAAGCCAAGGGAGGTTCTTGGTTGTTGATATCCATGGCATGAAGTGCCCCCTTCTCCAGGACTCTATGCAAAATCTCGTAAAAGCCATGATTGCAGAACGAAAAGGATCACAAGTCATCCATCTATATATATATATAATATATATAGAGAGAGAGATGGATGGATAGATAGATAGATAAGATTAGATAAGATAAGATTAGATTAGATAAGATAGATAGATAGATAGAGATTGACTGATTCCCTGCACTGGTTGAAGGGAAATTTTACAGGACACCCCAACCAATTTGGGGAAACCAGACACTGGTTGCAACTGTAAATTCCGCTGGATGGCGCCCTGTCCTCCACTAGAATTGGTACCTCAGAAGGGTCCAAACATCTCCGTCTTCGAAGAATAAATCCGATATCAGTGCACTTGATGTATCAATATATACATATGTATACAGTGTGTATGTATATATATATATTGATATAATGATAAGCTTATATCTATATATTGATACATTGATATATTGATATAATATATAACTACATATATATATATATATGATATATACATATATAATACACGATTATATAATGTGTGTTTATATATCTACATCATTTGAGGTCTAAACCCGGGCCGCTCCAAGGTCCAGACGTTCCAGACCCTGTGCAGTCCTGGGCGCCGGATCGCTGTGGGGATTGTAGGGATCTTAACAATAACTGGGTAAATCATTATCAATTCACTGTTAATGATAATAGTTGGTTAACTAGTTAATAGCCGGTTAATAACTTCATAATAGTGTAGGGATTATTATAACTGGTTAATCATTATAAATTCCAATTTATAGTGGATGAAAACTAATATTACTAGTTTTCCCATGTTTTCCATCATTATTTTCCAGTTGGGATTTGACTCATTTAACCATGGGGAAATGTGGCATCATATCAGTTGGATGTTGATCATTTTGACCCCACATCAGGTAAGTGAGCAACAGAAATCATCAATAATCCAATGATATGGCAGTGGGTCAAAACCTTGTACCCCTGGTGAACATCAAAATAGCTGGTAAATGGATGTTCATCCCACTAAAAATGTATCTATAGGTATTTGACCCATACCCATATTGCTGAACAAAGTAAACAGAAATGCTGAAATGCGTTCCATCACCATTGGGGATTCTACCCGGATTCTACCCCTCGTACTCTTTCATTTGAAAGGCAATCCCCTATCTTTTGGAAAAGACTCCATTTCTGTGGATTACTCATGACAACGTACACTGAGCGCCCCTGACGGTTTCTTGCCGTTGCCTTCCTTTTGTTGGATGGCCTGGTGCAGAGGCTATTCGCTCAGCGCTATGCCATGCGGCTTTGATGCTCCGAAATTCACTTGCTCATTCTTGTTGACCCATTTTGATGTAATAACTCCCCATTTTGCTTGCTTGACTCATGTTAACTCCAGAGTCTTATTCTTGGTCTTACCCTCTGGTAAACTAACATAGCTATGGAAAATGGCCCATTTATAGTGGATTTACCCATTGAAAATGGTGGATCTTTCCATAGCTATGTTAGTTTACCAGAGGGTAATCACCATTATATCACCATTGTCCACGATTTTGGGTGGTGAAGTCACCAGATTCTTGGCTTTCCCCATGGGTTTTCCATGGTTTCTCCCTGGTTTCAGTCGAGGACCCACTCAAGTTTTCCCACCTGAAGAGACTGTTGTAGCTCTTCGCGCGCCGGCACGTTTCCCTGCCCCTGGCGCGAGGGCATTCTGGTGCTCCCAACAAAAAAAAGGTGAAAAACTCAAAGAACTGGGGTTTCTTATCTCATGATATTCAGAAATATTCAGAATGGATATATATCTATAGCATTCTATGGCTAAGTTGGTTTAGAACTGCCTAGGTCCTTATAGGTGTATGAATTCTACCGCTGATTGGAGCGGTTATTGTAGTTAATGGGGCGCTGTAAACCAACTTAGAGCTGGGGCCGAAATATCCTCAGATAGATTAATGCCAATGCATTATGTATATTATGCACAATATATATTATATTAGCTAGATTGCATAATGGATATTAATGGATTAGGTTTATATTATACTAGTGTGTATATATATATATAGATAAGACCTGCAGGAAGTCATAAGCCGCTTGCTAACTTGGCTGCACATCCAAGAACAAAATGAACTTGGACAAATCTTCGAATCTTACAAGTGGTGCCCCGAGAAGTTCGTTTCTAAACCCCATTTACATCCATTTACCATACGTACATCTACAATGAATCCTAGTTAACCTAGTGATACCCTCTGGTAATTTAACATAGCTATGGAAAATCACCATTTTAATGGGAAAACTCACTATAAATGGCCATTTTCAATAGCTACGTTAAATTACCAGAGGGTAACCTACTTAGATGACGAAGTGGCGCACCCAACCTGGCGCGTGTGCGACTGCTTGAAGTTGATCCAATCCGATCGGGTCTTGTCATCAAACTTCGGCAAGGCCGGCCTGTCGGGTGTCGAAACAATGGCTGCTTTGGAAGAAAAAAATGGTGCTGATGAATAAATCCATCGTGTTTAGATGTGAAAGGGTCGTTTTGACATATCCACCCATGTTTGAACAAACCCTAAAATTATATATATATATGATGTATATATATTATTATATTATATATTTATTATATAATATATATATATTGTTATTGATTGTATCCAAGTGATATCCATCAATTGTGTCCCATAATAATCCATTATGGTTGGGAAATATCCACATTTTGGACAAGCCCTTCCAGTCTCCCATCCACATCCCCACTATCCATTGGTGAAATCCTCATTGTTGTTGTTCAAATTGGATAGATTCCCATCAATTGGTTGGTAAATTCCCTTTCAAGGTGCCATGAAAAAATTCGGGGTCCTCCCTTTCCGGGGTTTCCGTGGACTCCGGGAGCTGGGGGTTCCCAGCTCCAAGTTCAAGGCATTGATGCTTTTCATCTCAGAAAGCTGCGGCATACGCCTCAGGTCACCCCTTAAGCGCAGGAACTCGACACTTCAGCAGGTCTTCATATCTCAAAAAAAAAGGATTTAAAGATGATCGAGAACCAATCGAAAATCTTCAAACATATTGAAAAGCCAAGGTTTGGGCTCATAAGAAAATGGACAAGCAGCTGATCGCTTCGTTCCAGTCCTATTGGATTTTCGAGGTGCCCATCCGTGCCATTGCCATCTGAGACTGCCACGAAGAATGGGCCGTAATCATGTATCGTTTTGCCCGATGTTCACGGGCAAATCCCTGGCACGCTGCGAGTGGCTCATACTTTCTCAGGAAACGGCGGCTGGGATCACCTCTTAGCGATATTCACAACTATCGTAGAGCCATTATCTGTATACCCAGCCAATTTTGTAGCGTTTGACCCGCAAAACGGGGAAGGATATGGACCCCGGCATGATCATGATTGTCGGTTTTCCAATGTGGGGCCTGTGGTGGGGATAAACTTCCACAAGAGAAATCATTATGATCTATTGTGATCACCATCATCACCGCCACCACCACCACCACCACCGCCATAACCACTAGCATCAGCATCAGCATCAGCATCAGCATCAGCATTGTCATCATCATTGTCGTCG